AATCGCAAAAAGGGAAGGCACGGAAATAAAATACAGAGAAGGGAGGCAGAAAAAAGGCGGTGTATCATGGTATTGTAAAGATGATACGGCTGTCTCGGCTTGCTGTATGGTAATACAGGTATGTTACGTGTAAGTTATAGCTTATTAATAAAGGATTAGTCAGTATCCTTTGTCTCCATTTGCTCGTTTCTATACAGCCGGCATACCTGGCTATCAGCTTCTTCTCTACTTGGGTAAATGATGAACTCGCTTCCGAATGACGAGCTCGATTTGCCGTGCTGCAGTGAGACACTGGGTGGCCACTCGATAAAAAGCTCGCCACAGCGCCGACATGTGTTCTTGCAAGCAGCAGACGGAGGCACAAATCAATTGATTGAGTTTATATGTATTCAGACTTTCCAACCGTCAGCGGTAACTTTGCTCCTTGACCAACGTTGCTAGCAGTCCGAATTCAATCTCATCCCCCGTCCCATGGAACCATTTTCAGGGCTGCTTTCACAGCTAGACCAACTATCTACATCACATAAATAATAGACCCGGACTATGCTAAAACCACCCACAAAATAGTTCGGCTAACTCTATTGTCAAACTAGTTATACGTTCACGTGACCTCTATGTAATTTACGGGGGGTGGAAGAAGGGCAAAGGCAAAAAAATTCCGGCATTCCACAAGGAAGACGCAGAAGCAGAAGCAGAAGCAGAAGCAGCAGTTAAGGGGGGAACGGCGATAGCGTTAATCAAGAGGAAGATGAGCAACAGTTGACGGGCTGGCTGGGTACACTCTATGCTTGGTGGGCAGCTGCAGGCGACGTTGATGTACCCCAGTTAACGGGTTCTTCCCTGTAGCGGGCCGCCTTGAAGTATCATTAGCACCCCCGAGCGCTGCAGCTTCTTGCTAACTATCTTCTTGTCTGTCCATCATCTTCCTCCTCGTCCTCATTATTATTTCCCTCTTCGTTGCTTGACACAGAGAGACCGACCCTCCGCGGACTTGCTCGTGCAGCTGCCGAACAGCGAGCCACATCACGCCCACGAAAGCGTAAAAAGGAGAAAAAGAGGGGCGGAGAACATATATAATTAACTAGCTAGTTATCCACTGCTTTTTTCTTTTCTAGAAAATGCAGGACAAGGTCTCGATCAGGCCCTAGCGGAGCTTTTCTTGACATTTTAGTAAGTAATTTATCTTTCTTGCCTGTTCGTTCCACTGCACCAAGGAGCAGAAGCAGCGACAACAGCACAGCACAGCAGTGCAGCACCGCATTGCCTCCTGTACACCACCCAGCAGCGTGTGGGCCGAGCTGGGTAGCCGACGCTGGGCGAGAAGACGACGTACCCCACCTCTTGTTCCCTCTCTCAACCTCGCAGCTGAAGGAAAGGCGTAACAGCGGGGACCTGGGTTGGACATGATTCCATACACGATCTGTATACACCAGATATAGATCCACTCGCTATCCCGCGGGATAGCGAGTGGATCTATATTGTAACCCGTACGGGGTACAGCTATCACAATGTATAATAATGATGTATAGATGTATCAAGAATAGCCCATGGCACTGTCCAATCTCTGCAGACGCAAGCCTTTCCCTTACAAGTAAGGCGTGAGCTGTAGACGAGGGCCCTGTATTTTATATGCAGTTTCGTAGACTAGCTGTGAGCTGTATCTCTGTGCATGGAGTATGGAGTTTTCCGGGGGGGGAAGAGGTGCGTTGAGGCGCAGTCTTCCAGGGATCTTCTCCCCACCACTACCGCCGCCAGTGACAGCAACTCACATCGCAAGCAACACACAGAAGCTTGCTTGCTAAGAAGATCGGTCCAGTACCCTGGCGTTCTCTTCTTCCCTTGCCTGCAGTGGAACGATCCTACTTGGCGGGGCTTTCAGGATCAAACTAATGCACTGTTAGCAGATAAGTTCAGTTACCTGGTTACAGACAAGAATGTACGTGTATACTTCCCTTCGCGAAGGGGAAGTTTTTCGACCTGCTGCTCGTTGTCCTGGCCCTGCTTCCCGGCTCCCTTGTCTATCCTTCCTCTTTCCTTCCCTCCCCGCATGTCCTCAGGATATAATAGGATTCGCTAGATGAGTTGGCCCGTCTCACACCATACACAACCCGTCTTTGCAGAGAGAGGAGGGCAGCCAGAAACCTAGTTACGATCGTGTGATACGTTTGGTCATATAGGGCTGAATTCGAGAATGCTGTCTCTCCCCTCTTTGACTCTCATCTCACTCTTCATCCAAGGATGTGTGTTTCGCCATGGTTGGCTGTGCTGGCATTCGTGGGAAAGCAAAACGAGAGCGTCAGGGCCACAACCCGTCCCATGTATCGAGCATACCAACCAAAACCAGAGGGCCGGTACAATTTCCCTGGCAGGGACCTGCGGACGGTAGATAGGCGGGTAGTCTGGTTGTAAATTATTTGCCATGCCCTCCCATGCGACCAACTGCATAAATACACATCCACCTATTATTATTACACAGTTGATGCGGGAGTGAGAGAGGATATGCCAGCGATGCCCTGGTCCCTTGCCCTCTCTCCCTGCAAGGACTAGTCACGAAGCTGAACCCGTACAGCAGCAGCAGCAGCAGCAGCAGCAGCAGTATTTTATTTCTGTGTATAGAAACTCTCTGTATCGTAAGTAACAGCTTAACAAATATGGATACACCGGAGAATAGCCAGTCGTTAGCAGCGAGCCTAATCTTCAGGGAGTCGTGATGTTACCGAGCAACAGCGCGTCCCCCTCCAACCAAGCGCCATCTCCCTCAGCTGCAGACTCTGGCCATCGGGCTCACCGAACTCCCTACTCCATACTCCGTACTCATCCTTCATCCTCTAGCACCTGTCTGTCGCTTCTTCTTCGCCTTACCTCCGCCATTATTGCCGTCGCTGGGCTTGGGCGAAGTTCCTCGGCTTGGAAGGGCAAAAGTCTTGGCATCAGCTTCCTTTTTTTTTTCAACTTCAAAAAATAAAAAAAATAAAACATCGCCTTTTTTTTTTGTCTTTTCGACTCTCAGCTAGCCATCGGCTGAGCCCCCCGTCAGCGCAGGCAGACAGCTGTTTATATATAACTCCTCTCCAGATCTCTCTGTCTTCGGCAGCCTAGATCCTTCGAGCCTCTGTCTTCCACTCGTATCCTGGGATTCTTTCATGCATACGTGATCGCATGATTCCCCTGTGCACCGTGACCAGATAAGCTGCTGCCAGTCTATCAACCCACCTCAGCCGCCATGGCGTTGAACAGGGTTGGAGATGATAATCTCTATATTGGAGGGTTTGTTTATCCCTCTCGTTCGCCCAGCTATACCCCTCAGGCCCAGCTGTTGCTTGTCTCTATGGCCATAGCCCCGGCCCCCTGGACAACGCAAGCCAGCAGCAGGTGATGAGCCATCCGCCATGCATATTGCATACAGCTAATCAGAATATACTGTATTATCGTGTCTATGCTTCTAGATTAATGGCCCTGAACAATAAACTTGCCCTTGAACGGGAAAACATTACCCATACGCTGACCGTATTGCGTATAAACGTAGACGAAGAACGGTTTAAACGCTTCAAAGAACACTTGCATATCCCAGTCGACGATGTCGATGATGAGGATCTCCTGCAGCATTTTCCAACCACGAACGCATTCATCCGGTCAGGGCTCGAGAGTGGAACTGGGGGCGTGCTCGTTCATTGGTATTGTTTTTTTTTTTTTTTTTTTTTTTTTTTTTTTTTTTTTTTTTTTTTTTTTTTTTTTTTTTTGTTTCTTTCTCCCTTTTTCACCTGTGCATGTTTACTTCTTCTCCGGAGGTCCGGAGTACTGGTCTTGTTATATTTTTTACATTCACTGTTTGGCTGGGCTAGCTAACGGCGCCTATCTAGTGCAATGGGCAAGTCCCGCTCGGCGACTGTGTGTATAGCGTACCTCCTCCATAAGGACCCTGGTGCGTTGACGCCCAGAGAGGCTTTGGACCTTATTCGTCGCACCCGGCCGCTTTGTGAGCCAAATGATGGGTTCATGGAGCAACTGGAGCTTTATCACCAAATGGGATGTCCAGATAATGTTGTTGATCATCCTGTCTATCAACGTTGGCTCTATCAGCGAGCCGTGCAGGACAGTGTAGCTTGTGGAAAGGGGCCTGAGCTGAACGAGATCCATTTTGAAGATCAAGGGATAAGTAATAACTCTATCGGCGATTTTAAGGAGCCAGTGGATAGAACTGAGGTTAGATGTCGAAAATGCAGGTTCGTGGCTGAATGCTATTCAATCCCCTTACTACTCCAGCGAATAGTCGCCAACTAATGGGATAATCAGACGGCAACTCGCAACACTACCATTCATCATCCAGCATACCCCAGGAAACAAAAGCGTCTCGTCCCAAACGCAACCCCTTGTCCCCATATCATCATTGACTCCCACGTCATTACCGCCGTCAACATGCGCCCACATCTTCCTCCACCCACTCACCTGGATGCGTCCATCACTTTTCCCGTCATCCTCGTATCCAACGTCATCTAACGTGTCCTTGGATCCAGACTCTAATCCGCCGCTCTCTGGGCGCCTCACCTGTCCATCTAAATCCTGTGGTGCGAATATAGGTAAATTCGCATGGGCCGGTATGCCTTGTAGCTGCGGGACATGGATCGTGCCGGCCATAGCTCTAGCGAGGGCACGGGTTGATGTATTCGATGCGAGTACGAGGAAAGGCGGTCCGGCTGGAGTTGTGGGTGCTGGGATTCGAATGCCCCCTGGTATGATTAGAGCGCCTGTGGCTGACGCCAGGGCTGAAAGAGGAGATGATGAGAGTGGGAAGGGGCTTTTATGAGCGTAATTGAAAATAGGCACTCCGAATATGCTTGATGAACACCTTGAGATAGATAGACGACTAGATACCCTTTTGAATTGAAGTATAATGGAAAATGAATGTCATACGCAGTGCTCCATAAGTCAAACTAGTACTCTGTAAAGTAGACTTCTTAATATACTGGCTGAAACACGCCACCTGTCATGGAACTTAATGGTTATGACAGATCTGTCTTTGGCACAGAAGGGAACGTCGAGGGGTTCTGCAGACGTTGACGATCTCTCTTAGACTTCTCAATAGCCTTCAGTCTATCAACCCGCATTTGGTAGAAGTTCCTGCAGAGGCGGTCAGTATGTAACTAGTAGTTATACATACGTCCAAGGGGCGTTTAACGTCACACATACTTGTGGAGTGAGTATATTCGAGGCATGTCATCCGTGCTATCATTCACAGGGCTAGCTGCATTCTGTATAGATTTGATCTATTATCCTGTAGGTTAGAAGTGGCTTTTTACCCGTGGGGTACGGAGGAAAAGGGGCCCACAGACCTTGTCGTCTTTCTCTTTCTCATCTTTCTTACTTTCTTCTTCGTCGTCGGCCTTCTTCTTGTCATCTGTCTTTTCACTATCCTTCTGCTTGTCCTTTTCCTTCTCCTTTTCCCTCTTCTTCCGCTGCTTTTCCTCGTACTCTTTCTTCACCTTCTCTATCTCCCGGTCCATTTCCTCTTTTCTCTTCTTCGCCGCAATTTCCTCCTCATCTACAAGAGGGGAGCAAAAACCCTTATCTTTTAGATGGATTGGGCAGACGTAAAAAAAGTCCTACTTTAGTCTTAACATATATTTCATTATTGCGGACTTGTGTTCACAGACACCGGCCTGGCCTTAAGTGTACCGAGAGATGTAAAAGCAACTGACCTTACTGTCAGGTGTAACTAATACACTGGTCGATGGCTTGTAGCATATCAGGCATGATTTGGCACCGGTATCCGCAACCCGGCGGAGGTGCCATCTGTTTTGTAAAAGCTGGGCCATCCTTGGGCTTATAACGAGAGCATTATATGGGGTACACGGTACAGGTCCTCAGAACTATCAAATAGAGCCAGTATCGTGTGCTCTAGAATGGTTCTCGGGGTGTTGTTTAAGTAGCTGCCTAGATTGTAAGTCCAGTTATGTTGTAATGTGAAAGGCGAGGCCCATCAATGGTCGACCATGTGATCTGTTGGGCTCCACGCTTAGACTCCAAGGGGGTTAACTACTTCGATACCAATGCATGCCAACACTGAGTATTCATGGATGTTTGAAGAGTCAACAGCCCGTCATAATAATATATACATACATTCTATTACTAGCCAAGCTAGGACAGACGATTAACTAACTAATAGCTACACCAATCCAAGGCTGCGCAGAATGTAGATTAGCCTCCCAAAGGATCTATCCTAGACGTTAACTAAATCACTCTGTCGCGCCCTCTTTATAGGTGATGGCAACATTGTCCGGCGAGGGCAAACTAGCATTCATATTCTCGACATTCCTTCGCGCTTCCACCCAGATCATGAATTCATCATAGGTCTGTGGCCAAACTTCGTGTTGTCCCTCAACCAAGAAGGTGTAGTTGAAGGTTCCAGTGGGATTGCTAGTTCCATGGTCAATGTTCCTGGCGGTTGTGTCAACCCGAACTTGAACTCTGGTGAACTTTTGTCCGGCTGAGGAAGTCGAAGGCGAGTCCTGAGTATACGATACTACGGCATTAAGGTACGAAACGCAGCCAACTGGGACCGGGTTGTCGAAGGTACTGGGCTCAAGGCATAGGAAAGTAGGTCTGCTGTGTGAGAATGAGGCAGCGCAACAGTAAGCCAGTTCGAACGTTTGCTTGAGAAGGTACCCTCCGAAGATCATGAAGTTATGTCGGTTGCGATCATAAGGCTGCATGATCTGGGCGGCTGAGAGCCTTGTGTCCTTCATGTTCGTAGCAGATACGCCAGATAGCTCAGGAGGTATTTCACGGCCTAAAGCGCGTTAGGGACGACACTGATGTAGGGGCCGCAACTGTAACTGAATAATAATAATAATTTATCCATACCTGCTCTCTTCGTCCACATTGCATGGATAAGGTCACTCTCTTCGTCATTGGGAGTCTGGGTCTTCAGGCTTCTCTGTCTAAGGTCCTTTTTGGCATTATAATTATGCTCTCCCTTCTCGAACAGCCGACGCTCTTCAGCCGTTTCAACCAGGAGCGGCGCAACAGAGGCTGGTCTAATGATACATTAGCGATAATTCCTCCAAACTCGGCAGTAACAGGCGGAAACAACTCACTTCTTAGTCTTTGGATCCAAAGCCACCATTGTAAAGGCGCAAGTAATTAGAACATCTTCAGCCCTCACCACTTCACCTTCAGCCGGCGCTTTGGCAACCTGTAGAGATACTTCCATACTTGATCGGCCAGTAGAATAAGTAACTTGGCCACTCAATTCCAGGTCACAAATTTCTTTCAATGGGTTCTCAATCGTGATCCTGTCAACTGCTGCAGTAACGAGAGCGACATCATCACCGGCATGTCGGTAACTGACAACGCCGGCAAGCGCATCCAGGTCCATCAGCAACGAGCCCAGTCTGCATTATGTTAGCTGTTGTTCCATTGAAAATCATTCCCATATAGCATATATTTGATGAATTACCTGATCTGTCCAGTTGCGTTGACATACTCGTCCAGAAGCCACGGATCTTTACCAAGGGGCAATATCTAATATCCCCATCAGTTTAAGCAATAAAAATACACAAATGCGGTATACAAAATACTAACCGATCGATAGTAGCTGTCCTTCATTCTCTTCGGGGTCATGTTACTGGCCTGCACTGGTCCCCCCGTCCTGGCCTTATCAGAGGCACCTGTGGTCAGACCCGCGCCCTTCTCCTCACGACTCTTAGTCAGTGCCTCAATGTATGGCATCTTGACTCTGGCTTCCGTCCATGCTGGATGAAACGTCTGCCTGGGTAGTGTGGAATGAAGCCCCCTTGACTGGATATCTGGACACGACGTTGCCTGAAGGCAGCTTCGCCGGGTCCCCCAATTGAAACATGACGGAAGGCTTCTCCTTGAGACTGATGCTACCAACGAGGATACTGGATGGTAAGTGTGAGGAAGCATGGTTATTCTGCGGGATATCGAGGATTATCCGAGTATGTTTCCAATCTCAAGTTTACTAAGATGCAAGGGATGTAGTCGGAGATTTGGCGATGGCGCTAACTAGCCACTTAGTAACGAATTACCTGGGTTCAGCAGCAAGGGACAGCTCCTTAAATACGGCTGGGGTGCGCAAACAACAGTCTCGAGAAGTGGATACCAGAATTCGAAACACGGGATATAAGATGAACAGGTGAATAAAGAGCTGCCTTTATTGTACTATGAATTTACGGGATACAACATGATCTATTCCGTCACAGTGCTCCGGGGTGTATATATATATATATATGATGGCGGCTGCAAGAATTAAATCAGATATTTGACTTAAAAAAACGAGCAGAGAAACGCCATGACAAGTATGCTAACTAGACTAGATGTTTAAAAGACAGTAACGAATGAAACGCTCAGTGCGCTGATAACACCGGGGCAACGTAAATGGCACACAAAAAGACAAACGACCAGGCAAAACTATTCAGACTGTAGTCAAGTTCTTAAAAAAGACTCCAAGAAACGCCGGTGGAATGCAATGGGTAAGGGTATGATAGCGAGGGACAACAAGCAATAGGCGGTAGACGCAACCATGCTATAGTGGCTTAGCCATTAATAAGCCAAAGGGAAGGGACGATAAGGGATCAGGTAGAGAAGTGCAGATGGCAATGGTGATTAAAAGAGTATAAGTCGTTGAAAGTGAAAATCATAGCGTGTATGCAGAGTAGGCGGCGTAGATGATAGTTTCAGCACTGCAACAGCGTGCTTCAACTCCAGAGTGAAGAGCCAATGGCGAAGAAAACAGCTAGTGTGAGCCATGTTGGCGTCAAAACACTTGAGGAAGAATTGGGAGAGCTGGTTGCTCCATTGGTAGCCTCGCCATTAGTAGTCGAATCAGAACCAGATTCAGCTGGTAATCCAGGGGAGCCACCAGAAGGAGCCTTGTTGGAGGTAGGATCTATATGTAGCATTAGAACAGATATAGTTTTCTGACAATGGATAGCGTGGAGTAAGAACATACCTGGAGAAGGGGTGGAAGATGGTGGATTCTTAGTCCCCGCATATTTCCTTGCTGCTAGTCCGACTCGGTTCTTATCAAAGTCAAAAACAGAATAAACGTTCTTCAAAAAGACATCACCAACGAGCCACTGTTTAGGCCCTAGTATCTGACGTCCCACGATAAGAGAGTTGCATGTTCCTTTCGTGGCTGTTTCATTCCCAACGTAGTCGTCAGGTTGAATGGTATACTCGACTCCGCCAATTGATAGTTTGATATCAACCTTGGTAGAGCACGGGAGTGTGTAGAATCCCGAACCCTTATCCGCCTGGGGTATCATGGAGTGAATCAAATCGGCATCAGCAGGAGGAAGTATAAGGAAGGATGTTCCAGTATCAATGATACCAGTTCTTCCCTTCAAGTTCAGAGACTTCCCATCCATGATCAAGTCATCCATTGCAATTTCCCATTGATAGCCGTTGGGAACGACATTTGAATATATCAGCTCGCCAGAAAATTTGCTCTTGTCGATGTCGCCAAATGTAATCTGACCATCTGTAGCACCCTCAGAGGCTCTTTGGAGATTAATACCGATGACATTGCTCTTGAGAAGTTTCTGCTGCATCAATAACTGCACGACCGTTGGGGTTTTCGCATTGGGATCCTGGGGCCCTATTCCTAGGATTCCGTCCATGGGGTAGTTCAAGAAATCATCCGAGGCTGTGGATGCAGATCCAAAAGGAGTGACTAACTCGAAACCTGCAAAGGACATGGTGTCATTGACAATGACTCCGGAAACTTTGCCGGTACCGTAAGTAACTCCCCATTTTTCGTCTGTAACCTTGATCGTCTTCGAGTCCTCTTTTCCAAACGTATTGTGTCTTCCACAAGCTTTGCTAGTGCAGTCTGATCCAAACACCCAGGTACCTGACGCACCGGTATCAATCAACATCCACATCTTCTGGCCCTCCGATCCGACTTTGACCTCGGAAAAGTATGAGAAATCGTACCCATCGTTATTGATACCGAGGGTATTTGGCGCGGTTGGCGGAGATGCAATTTGAGCTGGGTAGTTATTATCTCGACGATACTAGAAAGATTGACCAAATCTATTAGCAATTGACTCAACCGCATAGAGATTCTGAACGCAGGTTACTAACATTGCTGGGACCTCTCCTAATGTTTAGGGTTGTAGACCCCGTATGGGCATGTTTATATAGCCCGGGAAAGGTGAAGAAGCGTCTGCCAACGGAGCCGTGGTGCGATATAATACCCTTAGTGAAATCAGGCAACTTGATGGGATAGAACGCCAAAGTGCCTGTGAACTGTAAGGTGACTGCTGACAAAAGACATAGCCATAGGAACTGCATGATCCTTCGGGAGGGGTGTTCGGGATAATTAAATCAAGCGATCGCAGTTTCGGTTATCTCGTCATTGGCAAGAAATCTAACTATCGTAACGAATCCCAGGAAATTCCTCTATTTCCTTCTTTTCTCTCCCGTCTTTGGTAAATCTCCGAAGCTCCCAGGCCTTGGGAGTCTCTAATAAAATTGCAATCTATAAAGCAGCGGCTCTGCAGATAGGGGAAAAAAGGGCGGGATTCTAGGTCCAAGAATTTGGTGTCAGGGGGATAAAGCTCTCGAAACAGCGGATGAGGGAGCCGATAAAAGGGAAGCAGCAGAAGATATTCTTAAACAATGCAACGACTGAAAACGAAAATCAAAGAACAGTGAAAGGAGAAAAGCAAGGAGTGAATTGAGCCAGGATGACGAAAGCCCGCCCACATCGAGGCGGCAGATGATGCAGGTGCAGGAGTTGAAGTACTCTCCCCGTTTACGTTTCGCGAAGAATAGGAGGCGAGAGGGCGCAGAATAGACAAACTTGGCTTGCGGGCCAGATCGACACAAAAAAACGACCGCGGCAAGGGCCTGGAGCATTTTCGTTGGCTAGAAAGGAGTAGTGCGAACGCATGCAGCAATCAGGTGGAGTGAAAGCGTATGCAGGCCACGCTCCCTCGCCCATAGGTCATGGCCAGGAAAACCCCTGGCCCCTGCAGGGCGCCAAAGCAAACATGGCACTTCCGCTTCCGCAAGTTCTCTGTCTGGGGACAGTGTGAGACCCGGATGTTTGTTCGCGGAGAACCGCACGGGATGCACGGTTATCTCACTGGCGAATGCTGGGGAATCTTTTCCAACCATAAAAAAGAAAGGAGGCGAAGTTCGTTCTTCATGATAGGCGCTGAGTCAGCGATGATCCGGGGGCAACCAGGTTGATCTTGGTTAAAGTGAGCGGCTACACACACGGTGTGTATGTATATACAGCGAGGTTTGTCGGCAGGAGAGTGGTGGTTCTTTTGACAGACTGGGTCTGGGAGAACAGGCGAATTGCAAATCCAAGTTTCCTAGCCAGGAAATATTCATTCCAAAAAAAATAGTACATATATACATGCAGGCGCTAAAACAGATGGACATGAAAAGCAGTTTTGGGGGCTAAATGCAAGCAAAGCAATCAATAAAAGAAAGAGGACGATGAGATGGTCATCCTCATCGTACGGAGTACAGGGGATGGATAAGCTGCAGGCAGTTTGTTTGACAAGGAGCGACGCATTCAACCTTGTCGTGCGACCAATTAATTTATTTACCTTGAACGAGCATACTCTCCGTATAACAGGTTGCAAGGCATTCTTGTAACCCTACGGGTCCAGCGTGCTCGGTGTTTGGTTGCTTTTCAACGGACGTTGGTTGCTTCCAGTGGAAAGAGTCTAGATGGGGCCAAGTGGAATTGAGGAGACAAGTCAGAATGACCGGGGTGTTTGCTTGGTTCTTTGCCTTCGTAGGCTGTAGCCGCGCGATTTGAAACACCGGAACGTCCGTCCAAGAGAAGGATATCTTGCAGCTGAGAGATAGATCCGATTCCAGATGTTTATCGAACCACCCAAAACTGAGCTGTGGTCTGCGCATACGAAACATTCAGCCTGTGATCTGAGAGTGGATTCCCGCCTAGCAAGCCATAGCCATACGGGGAAGAGTCCGTCTTCTCTGCTTCGGTTCACATATGTCCCTCCACGCGTCATCAAACACTGTCTTCTTCTTACCCACATGGCTGTCAAGAAGCTTCAGATCTCGAACAACCTCCATACTACCTGTGCCCAATGAGATAGTCTTGCCCATGATGATACACTCTGACACTCCTTGGACAGTGTCACGTCTGCCCGCACCACCCGCATCAAAGAGATGGTCCGCAGTCTTCTCAAAACTCGCCAACTGAAGAACTGAATCGCGAATCTTAGCCAGCCCGAAACGGGTAATTCCAAGCACCTCGCCTTTATATGTCATAACATCTGCAAGGAGTTGCATATGCCGAGGATCAATCGCCATGCCCGACATGACAGAGCTGATTTCGTCGATAATCGTCGTTCGCGCTGCCTCGATACCAAGAACGTCCCGCATCTCCATGACGTGGTTGGTGCGGGTACGGTGGCCCTCAATGCCATCAGTCGTCATGCATGCCCGGAGGCCATATCCTTCAACCAAAAGAATGTTAGTGGCAACTTTTTCTCCGACACGAATCACTGCTCGGGTGCAGTCCGGATAGCCGAACACTTGGATGTTCGGCAGAATTCGCCTCAAATAGTTGATTCGAATGTATGGGTCTGAGCCTGTGATCTTTTGCTCAGAGACCGAAACACCTGCCATTGAGGCACCTTCATCCACGTAGATGTGGATATGCGAGTTGAAGGACCGGAAAGTCAGGTCAGCGGCTTTGAACGCTTTGTGCTTCTTAATGGCAAGTAAAATTTGCCGTAGCGTCAACTCAAGCTGCAACTTTTTGATCGTTGAGAAGTCAACCTTGATGTTGATAAAAGAGGATGTCTGAGAGCGGTTTTCTTCAATATAGTAGACAATATCCTTGAGGAAAAGTTTCTCAACTCGGCCTTTGACGATCTCAGCAATACGCATGTCCGTCTTGTTCACAAGCTCGCAAGTGATGATCGGCGTACTGATCTCTTTTGATGCGTTGATAATTTCCTTGATACGCGGAACACCTTGGGTAATACTCATACCAGCAACACCAGCGAAATGGAAAGTTTTCAGTGTCATTTGTGTTCCAGGTTCTCCAATCGATTGTGCACCAATGGCTCCTATACTGTGGCCGGGCTCGACATGTGCACGCATATACTTATCCAAACACGAAGTGATGAAAGCCTTGAGTGTTCTAGCGGAAATTTTGCTAGTATGCGTAAACGCCATCTGCTCTTTGCCTTCTTCATTATCGCTAGGTCTAAGTTGTGCAGCCTTCGCTGCCACATACTCTTCAATCGAACTTAAGAAGTCACGGTTGCTTTCCCACTGGTCGGTAGCGAAGTCGTTTTCAGCTTTATAAGAGAGCGTGTTTCCGAGTAGATCGTACCGAACCAATTTCTTGCGCTCAGGAGCTATAAGTTCTTCACATAGGGCCAATATTTCATCTGCAGATAGGCCCTTCTCATCTTTGTCGTATGTAGTACTCTCTGCATGCGTAAAGGTACGGTCGAAGTGAACGGGTTTAGCTGAAGCTTCCATATTGACAGGGTCCAACTGATCATCTCCATACTGAAACTGGATGATGAATGAAGACGAATCCCGGACAGTATTGTCGTATCGAGTAGATAGATCCTCGAGAGATTTCATAAGTCTTCGAGACATATAGCCTGTTTCTGCAGTCTTAACGGCGGTATCAATCAAACCCTCACGACCAGACATAGCGTGGAAAAGAAATTCGGTAGGAGTAAGTCCAGAGAAGAAACTATTTCGTACAAAACCCTTTGCAAGAGCATGCTGGGAATGGCGGGCAAAATGTGGTAGGGTACGGTCCTGGAAACCTTTGGAGACACGAGCGTTCTCAATGGATTGTTGTCCGACGACAGCTACCATCTGAGACACGTTGATATTGGATCCCTTGGAGCCGCATGTTGCCATAATAAGGGGCGCGTTGTGCTTGCTTAGTTCTGAAATACAGTATTCACCAGCTTGCTGACGAACTTTGTTAAGGATACCGGTGATTTCGTTCTCTGCCGTTTGGCGGCTATCCGATTTACCCATCTGGGGTTTCTCTTTACTAGCAGCTGTGATTAGATCATCACATTGCTGGAAAGCAGTGTTTATCAAGGTATCTTTTAGCTTGACTAGGCTTTCTCCTGGATATACGTCAGTGATACCAATTGAGAAGCCCTTATTTGTCAACCACCTGGCAGAGAGTTTCGACAGCCTGTTCATGGCTTCTGCTGCAGCTGCGTACCCAAAATCTCTTTGGATGACGAAGAAGATATTATCCTTCTTTCCAGCTCCGATTGTTGATTTGTCTGCAACACCACACAACATTTCTGAATTGCGGATACAGAGCCATCCGTCATTCTCACATAGATCTCTCGGCTGACCCTTGACGAGCTTGAGTTGACGACATGCCGCATCAAGGTTGACTTTGACGGGGCAGTCTTTGTTTGGTCTCATGAGAACGCTGAACACCTGCTTGCCGGTCCAGAGCATTTGCGGCTTAATAGTTGCTGGGGGTGGGAGCTCGAATCGGGTGCTGGAGTCAAGCATGGATAGACATATTTGAGTAAATGTTTTTCTATCAAAGAAATTATCCTTACTACTGAGCAGATAGGCAGCAGTAATGAAATCCTGGATAGCAGCAATAATTGGCTCTCCGTTCTTGGGTGTGGCCAGGTTGCTTTTAACTCCCATAAGTTCCATAGCTTCAGCCCTTGCTTCTTCAGTTTGCGGAACATGCAAGTTCATCTCATCACCGTCGAAATCGGCGTTGTAGGGGTTGCAAACACACTCATTCAACCGGAACGTCCTATGAGGTCGGACTTTGACAAAATGTGAAAGGATACTCAGTTTGTGAAGGGATGGCTGACGATTGAACAGAACAATATCCCCATCTTCTAAATGCCGCTCAACTATATCACCTTCCCGGAGCTGGTTTGCTATCATGTTCAGGTTGCCATACTTTAGAAAGAGCCTGAATGAGTTGCCTTCTTTTATCAGATAGTTTGCCCCAGGCCAAGTTTTTGTACCATTCCGTATACACTGACGTAGCTTTTCTTTGTTATATCTTGTTACTCGCTCTGGATAGGTCATGTTCATGGCAACCAGCTGAGGAACGGCAACTTCGTCAATGCGCAAATTAGGATCTGGTGAGATGACAGTTCGTCCAGAAAAATCAACACGCTTTCCCGATAAGTTTCCTCTGAATCGCCCCTGTTTGCCCTTTAACCTTTGACACAACCCTCGAATGGTCTTTTTGGAATCCGTGTTCTGTAAGCCAGGGATATCACTGTTGATGTACACTGCAATCTGAAGTTGCATGTAGTCCCAGCATTCGATAATGGTCTGGACAGGTGCCCCTTTATCCAGAGCCATTTTCAAATTTAGATTGCTCTGGACAATGTCTCCCAGTTTTGCGGTCAGGTCGTCTTCCGTACTAGCTCCCTCTTGGCCGACGGATGGCCGAATAGGAACCGGGGGAGCAGGAATAAACTGCCAAAGGAAATATTCCGGCCGAGCTCCGTCCACATTCAAACTAAGCAATTCGCAATCTTCATTGGAAATCCGACGAAACAGCTTCAGCACCCGAAGAGGATTTAGGTCATCGAAAACACGTCTGTAATGCTTCTCGATATCCGGGTTGGACTTTTTTGCTTCCTCAAAGGACCGGTCAAAGGCAAGCTTGCTGGGAGGAGGTATTTTCTTAGCCGAGAGGGAAGCGTTGAAGGCCCTGAACTTGTCATGAACGATCTTCAAAGCTCCGGTACTCGCTTTCTTGACAGTTCCGTTGATTGCATTGCAGTAATAGCATACCGGCGTCTTCCGGCACCTGACGTTAATGCGCTTATTTATCTGCATGCGTCTTAGATTATCCAACCCGGGTCGCCGTAGTTCTTTCAAATATGATCTTCTCTCGTCTTCTGGAAGCAAAATCTTGGAGCAATCCTATCCACACAATTGCAAATAGAATTAGCATGTCTTTCAACAACAAAGAGGAAATATCTGTCACTATGTTCCATCCTACCTTGCAAATATCCTGTAATATCTCGATAGTGCGCTTAAAGTATCCGACATGGAAAGCAGGAAGGACGAGTCGAACATATCCGAAGTGCCCGTTACATTCCTGTAGATCACCACCGCAGGTTTCGCAAGTATCTGACTTGTTAGATATACCAAGGCGAGGGTCCATAGGTCCATTTCGAGCGACCGCGCGATTATTATCGAGATCAAAAAGCTTTCTATCTGAGATTTCAACGTGCGCCTGGCTGATGATGTCCTGATTTGAACTGTACGGGCCATTGATTAGTTCATTTTCACGTAAAGAGAGCGCAGTATATATACACTTACAGGACACCGAAATTAATCTCTTTAATAACCTTGGGCACCCGGTCTATGACCTGGGCCTTGCCCGGGTCAACAGGCAGAGCATCTGTGGCCATCATCCTGAAGGCAACGGGCTAGCCCTAGCTTTTGTTTTCACGAACAAGCCAATGGCTTCAGGTCTCCGCTTGCTATCGTGCTCTGCATTCCATGAGTAAGTAAAGGGAGTATACGCTCCGTGATAACCAAGGAAAACAGCCACTGCAGCCGGCCGTTGCTGGTGTGATGTCCCTTCCGCCCCTCCTCGACTCATCGCGAGCTTCAAAACTTTTTTGATTATCACAGACACGTGACTTTATCTGACAGATGATCACGTGACTTTATCTTATCTGACGACGGACGAAACTACAACCTCATCTATCAAAAGCCGAAAAAGAAGAAGAAGACGACGACTAGAAGAGGGTGAGATGAACAAAAAAAAAAAAAGAAAGAAAGGAGGTACATCGTATAACTGGGTAGTCAGACATGGAGCTAATAATAATGGCTGCATGCCACAGCCAACAAGTTGTCTGTGATACGCATGCGATGGGGAAGCGAAACTATATCTGGTGTGATGTCCTTGTATCCCATCAGACCACTTTCAGACGACAGTCCAGCAGGAGGAGATGGAGGTGGCTGCGTCAACACGGCATAACCTCGAGGGATACCAGCCGTTTCATGCCCGTGCTGGTACCTTTGAAAGGTCCCGAAGGTGTTAGGACACTCTATTTCTCCATTTAACCAATCGGATTAGATCTGTATCTCTTCTTTGCCTGCATGGTGATATGTTGATTGGCGAGAAGTTACCCCATTCCATATTACTCCGAGCTAGCAATGCATGCAAGCGTATAGCAAGGATGGTGGTGAAATGATGGTGTGTTGCTTGGATCCTTCTCCTCATCCGCCCATTTCCTGCTCTTCCCTGCAGAGAGGGATGAACAAGCAATAAGGAGGAGAGAGAAAGAGCAGAGGCCTATGGATGGAGCAACGTCACGTCGTCCTCAAGGGCCGGGAAAAAGGAAGAAGACAAAGCTCATGCCCCGCAAAGCACACGAGTGTTTAGAGCCGTTACATTTGAGAAAGATGTTTTGTTTTTGTCTGTGCTCACGAGACACCAGTGTAGATGTACAACAAAGAGCCAGGTCAAAGAAAGTCGTTAATATAGTTAAAAAATAGTAGCTATGATAAATGGGAACGGGTAAGATATAGCGAATGAAAATGAGAAGATGGTCGCCTGGTAGCATATAAGACAAATGGAACATAGAAGGAAGTCATGCTCATCCCAAAACAGAAAACCGTGTAAGAAAAAAAAAAAAAAAAAAAAAAAAAAAAAATATGTCGGTTATTGGGATATACTACTCTGACTCGTCCCCTTGATGTCTTCTAGCATGCCCCTCCATAGGTCTCGGACGGCGCCGCCAACAGTCTCTTGACTGGAATCACTAGCTCTGGCCCCATCTCGGGACCTGCTAACGGCCTCCGTGAGGTTGAAAGGGTTGAAGTCCAATGCATGGTTATCTACAACTTCACTCATTGGGCTGGGTCCGTTGGAGCCCATGTCGTTGCTGACGGTGTAGATCTGAGGCTTCATCACACTAGCGCTGGCTGGGGCCATCTCGTAGTGAGTGAAGGAGTCTGGAGGGGTGGGGATACGAGGCATCGACTGGCTGGCGGAAGCAGACTCCATGAAGGTCGGCATATAGGCGAGGTCGACGGGGGAAGAGTCCTGGGGCGACCTGTTGGCCCGAGATGTGTTGAAGGGTCTGGACGAAGAAGACTGCTGCTGGCCAAAGGCGTGACGATCAATACGCCTCATTGCAATGCTGAATGCACGAGACTGGAGAACATCGTGGTTTGAGAGGCGGTCAACAAGCTGGAAGGGATGTTAGCAGGGCGACGGTCTATATTCTAGGGGAACGACGGAGCATGAGCAGGAGAAACGAGCTGAGCTGACCTCTGATTTACTTCCAGATGCACCGAGATTCCTCTTCTGGCACTCTGCTCTGAGGTCTGCCAGGGTTCTGGAGTGGTAGAGAGTGCTGGCGTCTGGTCCGGTAGCGACCTGGGCCGAGTAGGCGCCGGTGATGTGAAGAGAGCGGCGAGGTTGCTGGGACAGCGACCTGAGGGCCTTGAGAGAAGTCGAACGGGGAGCAGCCATGGCGAGACTAGTGGTTGATAGCTAGTTATGCGAAGTACGGTTGAAGACTCGGTGACCCGGGCAGCAATTGAGCACAGAGAGACAAGAGGTCGAAGAGACGAAGTTTGGCCAGCACGAGCAGAGAGGAACAGGGCGGATGTCAACTTATAGCTGCTGGCTGGCTGGCTGGCTGGCTGGCTAGAATGGCTGGCCGTCCCCCAAGGTCCAAGGTGTAGCTTCGTTATGTAAGGACGCTCCGGCTGCTTCGTCGTCTCTGCTGCAAGCGGCCCAGGGGAAAAAGCAATATTAGTTGAATAGTGAGTACTTCGGTATCCGTAGAGCTGACAGGCTAGTTAAAGGGGAGCGCAGTGGGAACAGCAGAAGCGGTGGCGAGTCTGTTCCTGCTAAGGCAGCGGTGGAAGCGGCCCTCCTTTATAGCTACGAGAGAACTCCGTACAGGCGCAGAGCCGACGGGACGCAGTTAGGGGGGAGACAGCCGACGCAGGGCAAGCGGCCAAGGGGGGCGAGATGTTGTTGAGCGCTGCTGGTTGTTGGGGAAAGCTATGTCAAACAGGCCTGGGCGTCGCCTGCTTATCCACCTTGCTTAGTGCTGAGTAGTGATTGTTATTCTTATTATTATTAGGTACGCCTTTCTCCACACGCCGGCAGGTCGGAGGGCTGGCCCAGCCACAGGGCCAGGGAGATGGCGGATGGCTAGGGACCGGCGGGTGGTGAGGGATGGGGACGGCGCAGTGAGGCGAGGGAGGTCAGAAGGGCCAAAGGGCGGTCGTCCCGGGAGAAGACCCAGGCACCAAGCGACTCCTCGAGTGGCCGGCGATGGATGGAGGCCTTGGGAGGTAATGGATGTACATATCTACGAAGTCTCCGAAAGCGACGGAAGCGCCCGAGGTTGCCGGCCAAAGGCGCATGACAGGGGAGGGAGTTTGTTCCTCCTCCGACCTCGGCAGCAATTGATCCATTATTTTACCTGTCCCTATTTACACTGGGTCTCGCGGTTGATGGTAGCTCGTCCTGCTGGCTGCTTGTGTACAGAGGAGATGGAGTACGGAGACCCGTGAAATGTCATTTGATAGCGAGTAGGCGTATCCACCTCGACTATGCAAGAGGATAGGGATAATACGGAGGACATGGTAAGAGAGTGTATACAGCAAGGGAAGAAATAAGGAAACATGATACGTCATCCTCACAGCTTCGATGAGCGCTTGCTGCGGGAAACGGATCTTGCATACGGATGAGAAGCCGACTCGGGCACCAGATGGTCAATGTCGGCAGTGTTGATGTACTGAGGGCCTGCTTGGTGGAGAGAAGTGATGCCGATGTTTCTCATGGCTCCCTCCAGCTCATCTCTCATGACTATACAGATAGTTATGATTAGTCGGGGAAGCGGAAGATTTACCTACTGGCCAAAAAGGTGGATGGAAGAAGAAGAAAATGTATGAAAACAAATAATACATACTGTCAATCAAGTGCTCGGCACCCTCCTGGCCGTAGTTTGATGCAAAGAGAAAGCTTCTTCCCATCCCGACGGCTGTTGCTCCCAGACAGATGGCCTTGAGGACATCTGTGCCCCGTCTGATTCCGGAGTCAATGTAAATCTCCATCCGGTCAAATACCTCGGGACATCTGCGGTGCAACTCGAGCAAGACGATGATTGAGGCTGGGCTGGTGTCCAGGTTTCTACCACCGTGGTTGCTCAGCATGATACCATCAATACCCGCTTCCATGGCCATCACGGCATCGTCTGCAGACTGCACACCCTTCAGCAACAACGGGAGATGTGTGTGCTGTCGCGCCCACTTCACGTCCTCCCATGTAAGCCCCGGGTCAATAAAGCCGGCCATCACTCGTCCTAGACCACCACCCTTCTTGTCGTTGTTGCCCTTCGCTGGAACCATAGGCAAGGTGAGGTTTTCATCTGCCTTGACCCGCTCATCGGCTTCCCGTTTACCGGGCCAGGCTGCGTCCACAGTGATGCATATAGCCTTGACCTGTGGGTTGGCAGAACACTCACGCAGCTGAGCAGCAGATTTAGCCCGGTCACGGTTGACGTACAGCTGGAAGATAAACTGTGTATCGGGTGCTGCGTCGCTGATTTCCTTCAGGGAGAAAGATGCATTATTCGAGATTCCCTGCATGATACCCCTTGACTGACATGCTCGTGCAATCCCCAATTCGCCATCAGGGTGAATCAGCTTCACCATTGCGCTAGGTGCGACAAAGAGCGGCATGCTCACGCTACACCCCAGGATGCTGGATTTTGTGTTGACCTCTCGCACATTGCGCATCACTCGCGGACGAAACCAAATCCGGTCAAAGGATGACTTGTTTGCATCGCGAGTGATTAAATCGTTGGCTGCACTTGAGTAAAAAGCCCATGTCTTTGCAGGGGCCGTCTTGGAGGCGACCAGTTGAAAGTCGTGTGCACTGATGAGGGTATGTAACGGCGGCTTTTCATTCTCTCCAGTAGGCTGATTAGCTGCCTGTGCAGGTCCCTTCGACCATTCAGCGTCAATAGTCGACTGGTCAAGAATCCCCTTTAGTTTATCAGTCGAAAGTCCCTTGCGGATGACACTAGGGGAGTGAACTGCCGAATAGGCCTGTGTGGCATCACGTCCAGCATATTTGAGAATAACTAGAAAGCAATCAGTAACCATTATCTATACATCCGGTGTAAAGCTACCATAAGTAAAAATTTTATATCTGCATATAATATGAAGAATAACAAGTGTAAAAAATAGAATAAGTCACTAACTTGATGGTCCGCCAGGATGCTCCTGGAGAAAGTCGGTAATATCCCAGACCTGATCGTTTACAACAATCCAACAATCAGAGGCTGTGTTGTGTTTGGCAATTGATTGCGATGATAGCAGCTTGGGTGTAGACATTTTTGCTGTCAAGCCAAGAGGTTGCCGAAAAATTTGCTTAGCCCTCGTTGAAATATGGCCCTCTCTCGTCTCTTTATGCAAAAGATGGACAGACAGTATTTCTCTCTCCCGAGCAAACCACAACGATCAATTGACTCAGTCGTGACGATAACGAAAACAGGCAGGCTGCTCTCGACAATGGGTCTCAAGATATGTAAAACAGCCAATGCAGGTTCAAAGCCGCTGATCGACGAGATTGAAGCAGTTCATATAAAAAGGCCGCAGGATTTATATCGTTAACTGATTTCGGCTCTTCCCCAGAAAACAAGACAAATCGTTAGCTGGACCCCGCCTTACCACCGTGATATTCAAAGGTGTTTATATTTGAACACAACATGGAGTTGAGACCGCTGTTTGTCGGGGGCAGCCCGTGGAGCTTGAAAATCATCGCGCCCCAGCCAGTCAGGGAAGGGATATATACCTGCTGAAACAAAATAAGCTCGGTCGACAGGGTTGGCTGGCCATCTTCTCGCATCGCCAATGAACTAGCCGGTGAGCTAGTATTATTATTACACTTATAGCCCGTTAGCCCATTGTTAATACTGGTACTATGGAGAGCATGCTTGTTGCTTCGTTTGCTCTTCTTTCTTTCAAGTTGCAGCGCTCCTTTTCTTGGTGGTGACCAGGAAATTACTGTGGGAAAGATATGAAGAGATGTCTAATCTCCAGTTTCGCAATTCGCTGTCTATATCTGGGGCGAAAATCAACCATGCTGTGGTATGATATTGAAAAGCCGACTGGCCAGTCGAATATGAAATCGCTTTCAGGCCGAAAAATGATTGGTTCGCTGTGGCGACGCCCTTTTGACTTGAAGCGCTTCCCTGAGGACGCCGTGCATGTCAGGAAGACCCGATGAGCAGAGCATGATAGCATGGCTACCCGTACGAGCCTTGTACCATCCACACAGCGACTAGCGTAATCATACTTAGTCAACACTCGTATCTCGAGAGAATTTCGCGTAAGATTGAATTGATGTCGTCGATATAAAGTGCATCCAGTTAAGGAGGGCGGATTTACAGTTGGCACGTGATATGTGAAGTTTGATCGGACTCCGCAGCCTTCCAGGAGTCACGACTTTTGGATAGAGACCTGTTACCAGGCCACTCTCCTTGCCGAAGCAGGACGTTCTTTATGTTTAAACGCAGCCTGGCGAAGGCTCTTCCTCAATCTATACCAACAGTCCCGAGATTTTGCTTTTCTGGCGGAAGTACGTTCAAAGCGAAATCCCTTGCCTTGTCAGACTGCCTGACAGTGACCAGTCCATTAATGATATCATGCATGAACAGCCCGATCTATCTCCTGTACCATTTGCGGGGGACGGCATAAATTTAATAAACGACCATTCATACCTGTAATAGACGTCCAATCAAACCGCCTTCGTCACTTGTCGGTGGCCACAGAAATGGGCGATTCGACCAAAGAACGAAAATACATTGATGTACGCATGCATGCATATACCCCTCCGAAGAGTGCTATTTCACATATTTTATACCCGTTGATAACACTGCTTCAAGGTTGGCCGGAATGCTAAAACGTTATTTACTGTCTGGAGAATTAGATCGGTATCAATCTTGGAGACCCTGTATTCAGGGGCAAGTACCACGGTAAAAATGTCCACGAGGATGATCTACAAGATATAATCGATCGAGCCGTTGAGGTTGGCTGCCGAAAGTTCATGATCACTGGCTCGGACTTGCATGAGTCTCGGCATGCCGTGGACCTAGCCCGGGAACACTGTATGCACCCACCCGTCTTTGTTACGTGTACATCTCCCTAAGCTCCGAGTTACTGGGCTGACAAACATTATGCAGCAGGACTATGCTACGCTACTGTTGGCGTACATCCGTGTTCCGCAAAACTCTTTGACTCCTACGCTGGAGGGCCAGAGAAGTATCTAGCCGAGATCAAGGCCCTGGCAATGTCAGCCAAGGAGTCAGGACATGCCGTTGCCTTTGGAGAGATTGGTCTAGACTACGATCGACTGTTCCTCTCCCCCAAGGATCAGCAGCTAAAGTATTTTGAGGCTCAACTTGAAGTAGCTGTGGAGGTGCAGCTGCCTCTTTTCTTGCACTCACGAGCAGCTAGCGAAGACTTTGAACGGTTGCTCTCTGCCCGGCTGCCACAGCTCCCTAAGGGAGGATTAGTGCATAGCTTCACTGGAACAATCGAGGAAATGCAACGACTTGTAGCTCTTGGGTTGGATCTCGGGGTTAACGGGTGTAGCTTGAAGACCGATGAGAACCTGGAAGTGGTCAAAGCCATGCCCTTGGATAGGATTCAGATTGAAACTGATGGGCCTTGGGTATCGCACCGCTCCTTCCTTTCTGCCTTCCGAGAGTTTTGTTATTTACTAAACCATCTTTGCTTTGTCTAGTGTGAAATCCGGCCATCTCACGCGAGCTACAGGCACGTCAAGTCTACGCTGCCTAAATCGTGCAAGAAAGAGAAATGGCAGAAGGGTTGCATGGTGAAAGGAAGAAACGAGCCGGTTGCGATTGTTCGTGTGGCCGAAGTGATTGCTGCGGTGAAAGGGATAACGGTGGACGAGGTTTGTGAAGCGTAAGTTGCCGACAACCCTGCTTGCCTTGCATCAAACTAAATCGTCGAATCTCGCTAACAAACGCTAACTTTGCTTCTAGTGCATGGAACAACTCGGTTCGCATGTTTGGACTTGGTGAAGTGGCCTGACTGCCGAATTAGAAAGCGATAGAATGCATAGACCGTTTCCCCGCCGTCTTTTTTTATTGTGCTGTTTATAAGTCCGCAGTATACTAGTTTATGTATGTCTGACCCGAAGGGGGGCGTCGGCGATAAGACCCATGCTGCAGGATCTCACTCAACCATGCAGATCGGCGTTCTCCAGGACCAGCGATCTGCACCCGATCCATGAAGAACAGCGCTGTTGTTGTACACGTAAAAGACACTTGTCGACGCAAGCCGCCGCTGTCCTGCTCAAGCTCGGCGGAGGCGACAACCTCCGTCTTCTTGCTCTCATCCCGGCCAAATGCCTCCCATCTTTTTTTTTTTTTTTGCTTCGTCTTTTGCCTGTCTTTTGCCTGTTGTGTTTTGCCTGTCGTTTTTGCCTGCCATGCTTTTGACTTTGGCTTCCTTTTTCTGCTGCTGCATAAGCAGAAGGCTTGGCAGGAGACACGTGGTCGGGCAGCCTATCGGAGCGGAACATCCACTTCCGCTCGATGATGTAATCGACTTTAATGCCTGCAAAGGCCAAAAAGAAAGAAAGGAAGAAAAAAAAAAGAAGCAGAGCAGAAGCAGGCATTTTCATCATCGGCTCCTGCACTGGGTGACAGGAAAGTAAAGGGAGTCGGCAGAGTCATCGACAAGCGAACTGCAGCGGCAGTGGCGGATAAACCGCTACACCCGCCGTCCGCCTGGATCGTAGCATCTCGAACCCTGGGTTCCCTTCCTCCTGCGCTTCCCGCCTGCTTTAAAACGCTTCTTTCTTCACCTTGCCCAAAAATCCCGTTCACCATGGATCTTTCACGCAAGACCAGTGCTTCTGACTGTCCCATCGGCGGATAAGCAGTAGGAAGTCTAAGAACAGACGGCCTTCGGGGCTGCTCCTTTGCTTCTCCCGACTGCTGTTCTCTTGGTCCGGCTTTATCCCAGCTCCTAAATATATCAACTATATCCATCTCACCTGCGTCTGGACCGACTGACCTTGAAGACATCTCTGTACATTTCATCCCCCCTCCCCTCCCCCCCCCAGAAAAAAAAAAATAAAATAAAAATAAAAAACGTGTTTCTCTTCTGTGGAGCCGACATCATTTTGTGAAGCCCATATACCCTCCCAGTACCAGGCGGTTCACTTGATTTTGTGTTTTTAAGGGGGTGCGTCCTGTGGTCGTCGTTTGCTGCCCTGCTGCTTCTTTTGCACGCATCTTACCTTCGGATAGCTAGCTTCATTCCAGATATCCCACGTAGGCTCTTTATTTTGGCATCGGTTTGGCCGCTGTAGTGACGACCAGTCTCGTGAATGCCAAAGCAAAAGGGAGAAGTCCTCCAACGCAAAGATCACTGTTGGAGCTTCTGTCGTCGAGCCTACTAAACAAGCCCTCCCCTTTTCGGCTTGGAGTCTCGTGACCGAGGAGGTCCCGTCCTCTCTCCCTCCCCTGGGAGAAACGAAAACACACACAACTCCTCTCTTCGTCCTCTCCCAACTTCTCCCCTCTCTCAGCCAGCACTCCCTCTTCCACGTCTCAAAAGCATACAACAATCCTTCTTCCTGCTTCAGCTTGTGTACCTCTGTTTACGGTGCACACTGTCTCAAGCTGAAAAGCAAAGCAGTCGAACAACGCGCAGTATTGCTCGATATGGGTGATAAACCTGCGCTTAAGGCGAACGGTGTTGAAGATTCAGCGTTGACAGTGATATCCAAAGATAATGGCAAGGCAAAATCAGGTATTTCTCTCTCTCCTTGCCTTTATCATTGTTGTTTTGGGTGATGGAGATCCCGGTGGATGGTTCCATGTAGCCCGTGAGAAGTTGTTACCTGCACTTCAAGGACTGGAGAGCATATGTTGCTTGGCTGCGAAGTCCTGCCTCTGATTGTCTCTAACCATTCTCTCTGTTGTTTCCAGAGCAAGAAGTTTATGGCTGCGGGTTTGAAAGCGGACCCAGCCGTCCACCAACCCCTCATGGCATTGGTATGCCAAACAACTTCGCGGAAGTTGTCAAGGGCATCTACAGAAGTAGCTTTCCGCTGCCCGTTCATCTCAGCAGTCTCGCACAGCTTAACTTGAAGACAATCGTGTAAGTACTCTGACTTTGCCTGCTCTCACGGAAAATAGGGGGATCTTTAAGCGTGGAGCTTGCTGACCACTTGGATCTAGCACCCTTGTTGATGAAGAGTGGTCCCCTGAATATTCGGCGTTTGTACGGGGTAATGGCATCACCTCTCGCATCATCCCTATACTAGCAAACAAGCAGCCCAATGTTTTCACCCCCTATAGTACTATTGTGGAAGTCTTGACCATCCTCCTTGATACCAGAAACCATCCTGTTATGGTTCATTGTAATAAAGGAAAGGTAAGTTTCTTCTGTTGATTTTGTTTTGACATTTCCTTTGGTATATGGCCTCAGTGACCTAACATAAGGTATCATGGAATATAGCATCGCACTGGATGCGTAATGGCCTGTTTCCGCAAAGCCCAAGGATGGACCTCTGTGGCTGCCATTGCAGAATACATCTATCACTCAGCTCCCAAGACTCGGACTCTGGACCGTAATTATATCCAAGAATTTGATGAAAGTACGGTAGCAGACCTCGTCAGAAGGACCGGTGCTCAAAAGTGGCTTCCAACCTTCCCACCCATCAAATATACCTTTGATAGCGAGGATGAAGAAAATCCTCATATGAACGGTAACGGTGCGAAGAAGTCAGAACTTGCAACTAGTGCACCTCCAGTTTCATTCTATGGAGCAAACGGACTTCGACATACCAACAGCCTTTGAGGCTGGGTTTTCCACACTTACTTTTCTTTCCTTGTCTTTGTAAGTCATGGCATCCGTCCACATATCTGATCTCTCCAAGTGTCGCGTACTAACATGCACCAGAGTCGATTTCAAACGAACGGAGTTCAAGTCGGAGCACCGGAGTTGGCATGTCTTGTGCAGGTCCCCAAAAATAGAGGTATCGGTGGGCAGAAACCCAGGATCAACCGGATAAGGAGCATTTTCTTCGTGTATCTTCTTATGTATCGGCGTTCGGACCTTTTCCTTGTCCTTTTTCTTTATGAAGGTCTTCGTTAATTTCTTGCTTTGCTCCACCTCACCAGCTGGCTGACCTTACTCCTCTCACACCTGCCAGGAAAACATGATGTTATGGTGTTTACTAGGCAGTCTTGTGGAGCAAAGCTCAAGATAATCTCCTGGTAGATACCCTTTCACCAACAGTGGAGAGATAAGTGGCCCAATAAAAGTTGAATAAGGTTGATATTTAAAAAGGACTGAAAAGGAGGACTGGGAGGCAGTGTGTGTGTTTTTCATTGATGTCTCTTCTTCTGACGTTGTTTATTTCCCTTTTTGTTCATTCCCCTTCACTGGACGACTAAGCGGGATCCTTATCGCCATGCGTGGATCTTCCTTTTGCCCCTACTCCTTTTCTTTGCTTCACACCCCCACAGCTTTAGTGGTTTGTACCCATATGTTGGCGGTCATGTTTCCCTTCTGCTAGTTATCTTCTTTACCTTTGTACGACGGGATAGGGCTCATACAGGGCATTACTGGGATACGGGATCAAAGGGGTAATGGATGGGATCGGCGGGATGTTACTCAGTGCATTCATAAGGGCTGTCTGTTTCTATTGATACGTTTATCAACTCTGCTTGCATGCACAGTTACAAGCCTAGCAGATATTTATGATAATGTTCTAAGCCACATCCTCTTTCATTTAACTGTAAAAATAGGTTACAACAGAGACTAGAGTTCTGGTATGAAGGAGGTAGATGGTTTATAGCAACATCATCTCAACATCACTGCTATCTAATCTAGGAAGGGTATCTAACTCCTCGCTCCTGTCAGTGTCATCAGTACAAGGGCTCCCCTGGCTCGCTGATAAAGGCAAAATAATGGGAGATGAGGATTGAAGAATCTCCATTGTTGGGTCATTTCCTGCTCCTGGGTCCATTGGTATTCCAGTATCGCAGTCGTGTTCTTCTCCTGGCCGCTCAAGTATAGGACCTATATCTACTTCTGCTAGTAAGCACGGAGATGAGGACAAGATACCATCTTGATCAAGCATCATTCCGGCTATCTCTGGTGTAGTTATGAACCGGAAACCATCATTATTGATAATAGATTCTGATAGAGAAGGCGATTTGTACCATTCTTCTTGTTCCTCAGAGTATGCTTCATCGGTTAACAGGATATCATCTTCCTCGTCTTCAAATATATGCCAATCGGAGTCAGGGCAGCCACTGATAGCAACAGGAGCTTCTACTGAGTCGGCCTTTCGTAAAGTGTTTGCCGGGCAACCCAATATTCCCTGCTGCTTTGATGCAGCAGTTGCAAAGAGATGACTTCTTCTTGCTTTCTTGTTGGCAGAATAGAGCGAATTCTGGGTTTGAACCCATAGTATATATCGTAACATGTCCCTTATGCCTGACGATGCTGGAGCCGTACGAAATCCTGCTGTGTAACTTTTGAATCTATAAATATCACAGATCTTGGAAGTCGTTGATTCACATCTCTTAGAATCCATGCTCCTTATTATTGAGGCCATTCCCTTGATTACCAGTGGCACAAAAGAAAGTCGTTGAAACATAGCCTAGGGAAAAGGAGTATGAATAATCCTTTCTCTGCTTTCATTAGGAAAAACCAACCACTTACTATCTTGTATCCCGGGCTGAAAATAACTGGAGACAACTCTGCCAGGCTAATTTGGTGCCCATTCGACGGCATACTTCGTACAGACCTAGTATCAGACGAGGGTATATTTAGGAGATTGAGGAGCCCAGCATTTAATAGGGAGATAATTGACCGTATATGGCTGATATTGTGACTGCCAGAAACCGGGCTTTCATGCGTGGACGATTCGTAATTTGAATTGCCGGAGAAGCACGTAGAGGTCGATTCTTGACTGGAAAAGGGAGTGGAATCATCCAATGATTCCCACCCGTCTGAGTCGGACAGCAACACGTTGAGAGGTCCATTGTAGTTGTCACCACTTTCTGGTAACAGTACCGGAGAACTGGAGCCGTTCGAGAAGACAAGCTGAATGTTGATATCATGAACAAAGATTGTAGGTATCTCTGCGGGTGGTTGTATATGCGGGTTCCCGTCAAGCAATGCGCTAAGTGACGTTGGAATTTTATTTAGTTCACAGCTAGTAGCTTGATCCCTGGTTGGCCTAGCCTGTAGAGTTATATTGAGAGTGTTTGTTTCATTTTGGTGAATTTTTCCATCCTGCGTAGCATCGAGGCCATAGACAGACCATACCTAAGCAGGTTAGGATGGGTTCAACATATACAGGTTGTAGAAAGCATACCGATGGCAGAGTTAGTAGTTCTGAAATAGTCCGTAGTGTGCCTGGTATAGATACTTTAGTTGCCAGGAGGGTTTGTATTTTAACTGATATGTTAATTTGTATCGTGGAGTTGGAACCCCAGGAAGCCCAAACGTCTTGCCTTCGGAGATTTTCTATAGATAGCTCTTCTAAACATGGTGAGTCATTGGGTTGTGCAATTTGAACGGAGCTGGATATATATAGTTGGATTTCATGATCTTTTTGCATATGGATGGTTGACCCTAGGTCAATACTTTTGTAGAGCATGATGCCATTCGATTCGAGTATTACCTTGAAATCAATAGAGAACGGTGGTTAGCACATAGCCTGGTAAATGCTTTACTATGTGGAGGGAACAGAATGTTGATGGTATTCGATTGCATGTCGAAAGTTGGAAGCGAAGGAAGGATACATCTGCACCCCAAAGTGGAAATATTGAACGTCTTCCTTTCGCACAACGCAAAAAGGCCTTCCATCACCATATATCATCAGCCGTTAGCCTCAGGTATAACACCGTCAAAGTATCAAGATTTTCCAGCCAGCTATATATTTTGTTTCTAGATCGTACTTTAACCTCTTTAGCGAGTTGCTGCGATACTTTGATATTCAAGATTTCTACAAGAGCCAACTCACTATTATCAGGTAATTTTTGGAAGAAGTTCTTACCTAGGACGTATATAATTATAGGAAAAAGGTAGTCAAATTAAAGAGTTAAGAGATAAGAATATTAGGATAATTTGGGTAATTATCGTTAAGCTGGCTGACTCTGCCTAGCGGCAGGGAAGGCTTAGCCCGGTTAACTAGCTAGAAACACGTTTGTTGAACAAAAAGAAAACTGCTGCTCTCGAGAACCCCAAGGCGAATACCACGTATTCAAATCCGGATATCGCGAGATTTTGTGACTTCTTTTATGTCTTCAAAGAGGTCCTGTGCCTCGATGACGAAGCCAATGTTTCTATCACGGTCTCCACCAACATGGAGACCGATGAACTTCGCTTCGTGGTCCATCACAAAACTTCCTGATTCTCCTGGATCACCAAAGGTGTCACACTTCCAGGGAAGAATCACCGACGCGGTTCCCTGGACATATTCTCGCTGGCCCTGAGCATTTGTGACCCATCCCTGTAGGTCAGCCAGCCTGATGCCATTTACGGTGCCCCCCGTAAAACCGGTCCTCCGACCGACCTTAAACACACGATCACCCTCGTTCACTGAGTTTGTGCCAATCATAACGGGCTGTGGTGGGGTATATACGCGATATTTGCTGTCAACTGTTCCATCTGGTGGGATCTAATGATGAAAGTTAGTTGGCGGGACTTATTAGGAAACCAAACTCGTGGTTTACCGAGAGCACATAGGAACGACGTACCTCATTGACTGTGAGACGGCATTTATCGACATCAACTAAAGCCCAGTCAAGGAGTTTTTTCTGCTTGTTAACATTGAAACCAGATGCAGCGTATACGGAGCCAAGATAACGCTTCTGTTGGTCAAAGGAAGTGGCAATCCGTAAAGTCTCTCTGATTTCACTAAGCGTAGCTTGTTGACGCTTGTATATAGTCTTTTGGGATCTTGAAACCGACGGGTCACCAGAGAGAATACGTTGACGTAGGTTGTCGGAAACATCACGTTGAACTTCATCGATTTCTTTTCGGTAGTGTTGGAGGGAGAACTCGTCGTCTTGAAGGGCTGGTTGATCTAACTGCAGGTTGTTGCTGTTATCTCCAGGTTTGATTCCTTCTTTGACCCATCGTCCATATGAAGGGTGAGACTCAGATCCTGCAACAACGCAATGAAAGTTTGTCATCCCAAATCTTTTCCATTCCTGTGAGATTGGGTGCTGTAGGTCAATAAACCCGCCGAATGTTGATGCAGATGTGGTGGATCCTCGAGGACCAAGGCTTCCTCCAGGTTTTGCTTTGATAGCCCAGTCGCCGCGATTTAAGACCTGATTGTCAAAAGATGACGCGTGCCAGATGTTACTACGGCATATTTCAACGGCGACGTTATAGTGACCACGAGTGTCCAATAGCTCCACGATTCTATCTCTTACTGCGGTCCAATCGTTGGTAGACTCTTCCGTGACGGTAATGGCGACAGTGATAGGTCCTTCAAAGTGATTCACATTTCTTCGACGGACAACACACAGAAGAGTCCAATCGGATTCGGCGAGAATCCTGAGTATGACAGGCCGCAAAACACGCCAAGAGTCAACGAAGGGGTCAGAGACAGACACAGGGTAGCTTATTAGTTGGGTATTAGCTCTTGTATCGATGATCTCGACGTTAAGCTGCATAAACCCCTTAGACCGAAAGAGCTGTAACATTTCCTTGCATGCTCTGAACCAGGAGTCACTCGTCACGACATGCTTTCGAGCAGTGACCAGTGCAGTATCGTACTTTTCAGCACTCCTCCTCGAAGATCGACGGAGAGGACCCACTCCAATGATGTCGATGTTATAGTTCTTGATGATGGCTCGGACTGGAGCTTCAAGTTTATCTTCCCATGCGACGAGGAGAGGGTCGTTCTGCATTAGGTGGTGATTGAAGGCAGGCAGCCTCACCAAGTGAGGGCCACCGCTGCGAAAATTTTCATTGTAAACCTCTGAATCACCTATGGCAGAAGGTGCTTCGCTTTCAGAGGAGCCTTCGGTTCTTCTCACTCGATTTGGTCGATAGGCAGGGATGCCTCCAGAGGACGAGGAGGGCGGTGGTGTCGGAAGTGCGCCTGCATAGGTGACCTCTGCATTGACCCTAGGCTTAGAAAACCCATATGGGTTGCTGGGATGCGCCATACTAAGCAAAAAAGAAGTAAAAGCAATTGTATATATTATCTTGAGCAGAAAGGCAGAGCTCGAGCCCAAAGTAAGGCAGGAGGTTCATCTCGACGAAATGATTTGAAGGAAAAAAAGACAGCAAAGGAAAGGAAATTGAAGCAGGAGAGAAACTTGGTCAAATGGTTTGAAGAAAAGGAAAGGAATGAAAAGGAGATGAGCCGGGCAAAATAGGCATTATATTTTATTTTAATAGGCCATGACGTCAGTGACTTGAAGTGAAAGCACGCCATATAAGGAACAGTTAATGATATCGCTTATCACTTGAGCTAGCATACTATACTATGGCTGAGGAACAAACAACCATAGCTAGTGACTTGGGTAGGATTTATCTGTATATGTCTTTCCCAAGTAAGGAGCTGCATTGCAGTAAGGGCATCAGCCATGACGGGACAAGAGCTCATGGAGCCGAGGGTATAGTTATCTAGGATGGGTATATGAATGACTGCGACACATGCCGCCCTGAGGTTTCGGACACCGATGAAATTATATAGAAATCAGGAGATAAGTAAAAGAAGTTGTGAGACTTGAAGTAAGAAGCCGTGAGATTTGAGGTCTGTAGCGGAGTCGAGGCGGCTGTCCCCATGGAAGTCCCCAGATAACTTACGTAATTAGAACACTTTCTCCAATTTCTATTGGTCAGAATATGTTAACCATTGGCTAGTATTGCTCCCGTTGCTAGTTGGACAGAGAATATATAACATTTATTATTGGCTTAGAATATTTGTGCCTGTTTTCTCCCGGTACAATTATCCAATCATCATCGCAGGAGTCTTGATACTGCTAACTAAGCAGCCATGCGCCTCCTGCAGGGGGACTTCTCGATCCTCTTCTTCGAGCCTGGAGCGGTTTGATATCGCGGTGTCGCTCTTTTCTCATGCCCAAGGAGAATGATTCCCACATGTAGCTATGAACAGAGGAGACAAACTAGATGTTCGCGCAGCTGAAGCATCAAAATACAGCGAGGAGGAAGGCCGCTCCCTTCTTTCCCATGGATCTCACGAAGATGACGACTATTTAATTGTCGAGGAGCCTTCGTCGACCTCTGGTACGCCGTCGTCCCAGTCAGCCTCGACCCCCAAGATACCTCCGTCCCTCTCGACCTCCCCTACCGACCAGCCTCGAACAGGCCGAACGTCAAACCGCGTCAGGTTCGACATCCAAGACAATGGGGAAGAAGATACTAGCCAGACCTTTGAGAGTCGCCGTGATGTCGACTGGATTGCGAACCAAGACTACCTTGATGAAGAGACAGCTCAAGTACCAGGAGATCGCTCTCGTCAGGCAGTTCCGCTTCTTACGAACATAGAAGCTCCCAGCGTCACTGTCGCCACGTCAGACTTTATCCCTGAAGACCACCTTGAGAATGCTCGGCCCAGGAGTGGATTGGGAAGTGCCTTCATGAACATGGCAAACAGTATCATCGGAGCTGGGATAATTGGCCAACCATACGCTTTTCGTCAGGCTGGGTTGACCACAGGCATCATTTTACTTGTTATTCTGACTTGGACCGTCGATTGGACTATCCGTTTGATCGTGGTCAATTCCAAGCTCAGTGGAGCAGACTCTTTTCAAAGCACTTTGGAATTCTGCTATGGAAGAACGGGTCTGATAGCAATATCTGTCGCACAGTGGGCATTTGCATTTGGCGGCATGATTGCATTCTGCATCATCGTCGGAGACACTATACCTCATGTTGTGATGGGAATAGCTCCATCTATCAGGGACATGCCGGTTCTGTGGTTGTTGACGGATAGACGTGCTGTTATAATCATCTTTGTTCTTGGAATATCCTACCCACTGTCACTGTACCGTGATATTGCTAAGGTATGCATATACCTTCTCTATACTCATGTTTGGTTGTTCTATAATTCTGACATTCTACATACAGCTGGCGAAAGCTTCGACTTTTGCCTTGGTCAGCATGTTAGTCATTTTGATAACCGTCATAATAGAAGGTATCCAGGTAGCTCCTGAGGCTAGAGGGGAAGTCAAAGGATCCCTCTTGGTCAATAGCGGCGTTGTTCCGGCTATTGGAGTGATCTCGTTTGGTAAGCCTAAATACGATAGTATTTATTGCTAGCTAGTGCGTTGCTAACTATGGAATAGCCTTTGTCTGCCGTATGTTCATATTGATGTATATTGATACATTGGTGATGTCACTAATTCCCTATTAGACCACAACAGTCTCTTGATATATGGTTCCTTGAGAAAGCCTACCATGGACAGATTCGCTCGTGTTACCCACTACTCGACCGCTATATCTATGGTTATGTGTCTAGTCATGGCGGTGGCCGGCTTCTTAACCTTTGGGTCAAAAACGAAGGGTAACATTCTTAATAACTTCCCTCCAGACAACGTGATTGTGAATATTGCAAGACTGTGAGTTGTCCTGGATCGGTCCTATCTTCGAACTTTAGCTAAACTGAATTCGATAGGTTCTTTGGGCTTAACATGCTGGCCACGTTACCCCTTGAGGCGTTCGTCTGCAGGTCTGTCATGACCACGTTCTACTTTCCAGAGGAGCCTTTCAACCTCAACCGCCATCTTATCTTCACTACCTCCCTGGTTGTAACATCTATGGTCATGGCTCTGATCACATGCGACTTGGGCGCTGTATTAGAACTTATCGGCGCAACAAGCGCTTGTGCCCTAGCATATATCCTTCCACCGCTCTGCTACATAAAACTGAGTAAACAGAGCTGGGTGGCGAAGATCCCTGCCGTCCTTTGCATTGCGTTTGGTACTGTGGTTATGTGCATTAGCGTCCTTCAAACGGCTGCGAAAATGATCAAGCGTAAGTTTCTGTCCATCTCTTTAGGAACGATTCCCAAGCATCACTTTTTGCTAACATTATTCTATTATACAGATGAGGGAGGCGCAGTAACTTGTTGAAACTACTAACTGTTTTAATTGAGATTAGATGTGTTCTACTTCTATTCAACATTCTACCTTGTTATTACTAGATGCATTGATACATATTTTCATCCTGTCCCGAGCTTTGGCTAGGATGGACATTGATATCGAATCCAATGTCCGCGTCCATGCAGTCTTTTTGGTGTGATTCCACATCGGGGCCCCTTTAATATACGATTTTCGGTTGTACAATCTATGGTTGGAGATCTAGCATCTGCAACCGATTAGGTTCTGTGTTTGTAATCAATGTTGTTTTCCTTTGCTTCTTTCCATTCTTTTTCATCCTGCGGCTATCCATATACCATCTGCTCTTTTCATTGTTTGCATGTCTCAGAAAGAGTTTTTTTATTATTGAATACGATTTCTCGTGATCTTTCTTCACTCCCTGATATATCTATACCTACCTTAACGCACTATTATGCCATCTAGTGCTTGCTTTTGATATCAGCAGAAGAAGAGCTGGTTGTGGTTACACTGCTACTTTACCCGGTATATCTATAGCCATTCTCCCTTTCTCAACATCCAATACCAATCGGCTATAAGATCCTGGATAGCAGAAGGGGAAAGCAGTGGGAATTTATGTTGATTCTGTTGCACTTATATCCAATCCCCTTCTTCGGATACCCAGAAACATTATATCAAATGCCCCAAAGAAGACTACAGTCACTAATATCTAGTTAGAAATCTCCCAAAGGGCCCTTTCATCACTATACCTGCCATCCCTTCTATCCCTTTTCTCTTTTTTTCTCCTTATCGCATCGTTTGAGCGTGCGTCGTCTGTAGTGATCAGGATCTCTCACACAGACAATATCTCAACTTCTCACAACCTCAGTTCTTCTACTTAACCTTTTGTTTTGAAACTCCAGATGATCTTTCAGCCCTTCTGTAAAAATAACGCTTTTCTTCTCTCTGTTCTCCCTGGAAGCACAGTGGCTGACTAGCTGTAAGTTATACTCCTTCCTATATCCCCAATTACAGAGTTTGTGATGCTCCAAGGCCTCTGTGACATTCGTTGGCCCTCTGGTTTGAAGAAGTTCTAGCTCAAACTTGCAGATATAGTCTTGAAAGGTGCTATAACTGGGACTGGGTTTATACTGCTGCATACCAGTTGATATCAGTGCAGTGAATAAAGAAACTGGTTGAATCTCTAAGTATCAATGCTGACAGTCGAATATAGTTGTCTTTGCATTTGATAACCTCGCTACTTTGAACGTCTTTTGAGATCCTGTATCTCGGCCTACACACGGAGCCTGCCAGGTAAATTGAGAGAGGCCTATCATTTCCTCGAAAGGAGCGTCAAATTGTTCAATTATAGGCGCGTTTTGACGCGCCTGAGCCTGTAAAAGAATGGCGGAAGCATCGGTTACGGATGATGAACGCGCCAATCGCATGAAAGCTCTTCAAATGGTGTGTTTCTCTATGATGGTCCCCCATCTTCGACACTGAGCTATGTTTGACTGACTTGAATTTGCGAAAATACAGGCCGATTTGGGTACTGCTCGCCGTGAACATATATCAACTGTTGACCGCCCAAACAAGCTTCATCGCATTGGTATTCAGCAAATCGAAGCTATTCGAGACTCTAATCGCAAAGGGACTGAGGCATACACCCTTGCTGAGACCAACAGAGAGAAACTAAACAGCTGGGCAAGTGAGTATGCGCTGCTTCATTTTCTTTTAGGTCTGTATCGTTATTGACTGTATATAACAGCTTATCATGAAACGCTCGAGGAGAATATGGATGCGGAAAACCTTGATCCACTACTGGATGGACAAACACATAGACTGGCCCTCGAGGCTAAGATTAAAGGAACTAATTTGGACCATCCTGCTAGCTCAAGTAGAGGAAAGAGAGCCACTCGTGGGGCTCTGCACAGTGGTCGCGGAGGTGGTGCCGCCGGATCTCGTGGCCGTGGCGGCACAAGGTATGCATACGGTCTACACCTACGCCTCAGCACTACATAACTAACATAGCTTCCTTTAGCCATCAATCAAATACCCGGAGCGGAGACATAACAAAATCGGACCCAAGTCGTTTGAGCCCCACTGTATTCACACCAACTAAAAAGGCTCTTGCACCTCTTCCACAGAAGCCTTTGGATCCATCCAAAGACTGCAACAATCCTCCAGCTACCCGTGGTAGAGCAGACAGAAAGAGATATGGAAGCTCGAGAAACCTACCTCCCGTTACGAAAGCCAGGCGTCCCGTCTTTGCTGCTCCTCCGTAAGATTTGACAATCTATATATCTATTTAGCTCTCATCACTAATAGTACCTCTAGGAACATCAATTTCGAGTCACTGCTTGCAGATGGAGATGATTTCATGGCAGCTGTTGCTGGTGTCCAATTTGCTACAGTTGCTAAACCAGCACAGCCACCAGAAACTCCCAAAGTCCCCGAAGCTCCAACTAAGAGCCAAGATGTGTCTCCTGATCCACCTATGTCCCAGGAGCGTTCAGTTCCCTCTGATAACTTTCAAAAAGACGTGCCAGAGCCTCCTCTGCAACAACCTCAGTCAGAGGTAAAGGCGGTTGTGCCATCCGAGCCCAACGCTGAGGCTGCTGCCCCAGCAACAAACCTTAAGCCGGCTGCACCCTTGAGAATAGATGTATTTACAAATCCTTCCGAGATCCGTGATGGTCAGGGAGCTGACACTATACCACTGAAGACAGACCATGGATTCGGTTCTTACCTACCACAACCACAGCGGCACTCTACAGACGCAGAAAATCATGATGCTGACGACCTCTTCCTATGCACATCATCTGAAGCCACTGCTGCCGCTCAGATCGAGGAAGACAAAACCGAAGGAGTCAACATCAGCACAAGCCTTCTTGATATAAGTGATGGGCCTGAAGATACGATACCCCAGACCCATCCTGCCCCCCAATCTGCTCCCCAACGGGTCGAACCAAAGGATGAATCAAATGCTACCAAAGAAGAACTTGCAAAGCTTACGAAAATTCTTTCTAACCAGTCCTTACTTGACCCTGAAATCGTTGTCTATCTCCAAGAGAGAAGAGAACGCCTTGAAAAGGATCTGGTGGAAAAGGAGCTAGCCAGAAACCCGGAAGTTGTCAAAACTGCTATCCACACTGCCGAGCCGGGCAACACGAAGTCTATCCAGTCTGGCGCATCAAACCTTGTCGCCTCAGTAGCTACACCAAATGCTCCAACTACTGCCAATCTTTCTGATATCACTAACCGCAATACTGGTGATGTGGTTAACCCAAATTCTAGGTAAATAAATTCTCAAACTAGACTAGTCTACGCATCACACTAACCCTCCGCAGTGAAAACATCAAAAATGTGCCAATGCCAGTTGAAGTAAAGAAGCCAGAGATTCGAAACAGCAGCAATAATACCTTTGACCATAATATTGTCTATGCAATTCCTGGAGCCTTTCCCTCCAAACCTCCAACAACATCTCCTCACGACGTTCCCCTGATCATCGGCGACCATCTTCTTCCTGGAAGGCCTATGAAGAAATGCGAACCGCCTCGGCCTAGTGCTCCAGTTTATGAACCAAAGCTGCACCACCTTCCTGGAACTTTGAGTGGCAATAGTAACCAGCCTTCTACATCAAACCAAGCCCATCAATTTCATGAGCCAATGATGTTCACATACCACGCAACTTCCGGTGGCACGTCTGTCGCAACATCTACTTCATTTTCTTATGCACCTCTGGGACCGTCGACTACAGGGAGCCAACCAGCCATCATTACTCACACTGCTCCTGTATCCTTCGTTTCTCCTACGGGGTCAGCTGTCCTCAATGCTCCCAAATCCCGTTTCAAGATGAGAGATACCCCTCAGTTTCCAATTAGCGCTGCTACGATGCAATATTACTCGGGGACCTTCCTAGAAGAACAGATGAAGCAACCAACCACCCCCATCCGCAAGACAAACGAAAATATCAATCCTGCAATGGGCTTTGCTTCTTCACAGCCCATAGAACCTGGCCAAAAGTCGGGCGACCACAGCCGAAACCAGTCTTTTTCCCTTTCCCCTGTTGCAAACACCTTTCGACCAGTTCTACAGAGCCGTAGCCCTATCCCAGCTGCGTTTGGTGCTCCTAACTCTGGCCGTTCTGCAACCAGCCATCACTCCAAGTTCTCATCCACTGCTTCTGAGACACCTTGTGAGCCAAAAAGTGTTTTTGTTGCTGAGATGGCAAAGCGTGGAGTGTCTGTTTCTGGAGCTCCAGTTAACAATCAACCTGTTGAACGGAAGAAAAGTGGAATGGAGAGCTCCAAGTATGCTCACTGAATACAACCCTCAAGACCCTAGCCCTATGGTCATTCGGTTAAAGGTAAGGACGAGGCTTACTTGCCATTATCTTTCAATTTTATCTTGTCACTTCTAGGGCTACTGATCCTGTCATCTAGCTCAATGATGCCTTGGATTGCATGCCTCGGATGTGTACAGCGGCCTCTTGTTGCTTTTCATACACATTTTAGCTTGATGTTCCGTGAGAAACTGCATAGGACTCCGGTTACCTTTCCATGACGATGCCGACTGGTCCCAACTCTAGACCTTCATTATCAGTTGCCCGAGATTTACGAGAATTTCAACCAAGAAAAAAAAAAAAAAAAAAAAAAAAAAAGTAACTAATATTACCCTCTATTTGTATTTATTACTCTAGCCTACGGCGATGGATTGCCAGATAAAAATCTAGAGACATGACAGAGCCGCACAACCTTTCCAAAGTTTGAAAATAAAGACTATATGGTAATATTCATGCCATACATAGCCCGTTCAGGTAATGGGTATATACATAACCTGCTAAAATGTGTGCCAACCGCTCTGCTAAGAAAAATAATAATGATAAAAGAATGAGAAAAGAAAGGGCAGAATCCCAAATTATCCCCCAAAAAGAAACAAAGTGCCTGAACTCCGTAAGAAATACCGCCTATAACCGCTTCAAATTCGTAATGAGTCGCTCAAAATAAAGAGATAATGAGTGAAAGGATTAGGAATTAATCATAGGTTGTTCCTTACTGGCTCCGAATACAGTGAAGCATAATGCTACTGTTGACCCTGAAGGTTTTGTTTTGGAGCATTGGCATCCTCAACCCTCGTTCGTTTTGCGGCGTCTGCCTGATTCTTTGTCCGTTCGTTGTTCGGAACATTTGTGGTATCAACTAACGGCAGTCTTTTCCCATATTCGTTTTGCTGCTGCCCACCATTGATAGGGCTGTTGTGATTTCTCACTGGCGGTGGCATGTTGGAAGCGGTGCTAGCGTTGCCACTGTTCACTGCTCCCATGGATCGCCGTATTGGTGGTCGATACGATGAAGTCATAGGCGGCCTCCCTATTGGTCCATGACCACTGTTAGGTGTCGGCGCATTTGCCTTGGCGCCTGGTAAGGGCACCTTGCCAGCCTGTTGTTGTAAGGCCTGAAGAGATTTCCTGACAATAGGGGAAGAGCTAGTATGATCAATACCGGCAGTTTTGCGTATGGATGGGCTGTCAAATTGGGGGTCAAATACTGGTGCTGATTTTACAGCAGTATGGGGATCGTTTATTAGAGCTTCTGCAGCCCGAGCAGAGAAAAATCCAACTACATGGTCTTCTGATGCCTTGTCTTCACTGCTCTGCGCGCCGGAGGCCTTATTTCCATCATTATTTGGGGCAGGATCATGTTTTGGTCGTCCTTGGTCATTGGAATGTGGGAATGGTGGACCATTTGGTTGCATAGCTTGTCTCCCGCTGGGGTGTCTGGAGTCATTATTTTGATCTTGTGCAAATCTGCCCGGAACTGGAGTTTTCGGGCCGGTCATATTGCTCCTATTGATTCCATCGGCCTGGCCATTGTGTGAAGGAACAGTGCCATTAGCCGAAACCGAAGCTATGGGCTTTCTTGTATCAACTGTGGTCGCTGCTTTGGTTGCATTTGCAAAATTTCTTGCATCTGTTGGTGGGTGAGTAGCTGAGGGACCATTTTGTCCGGTTGATCGCCTTGAATAATCAGATTCCTCTATAGCTACTTCATCCGGATGTAACGAAGTGTGTTCCGCAAAATCGGCCTCATCAAATACATCGCCTTCCCAAAGTCAGCTTTAACTAAGGTAAAAAGAGTATCTGAGAACGATCTTACTTCCAAACTCGCCTTCAAACTCGTATGCGAGAGAGTCTTCTGCCGTGATATTCTCAATATCAGGAACCCGTGCAGGTAGATTTGACGGGCCATTGTTCTGATATTCTTGTTTGATAATCCTATTAGTAGGGGCTGCAGTTGGTACTTTGGGAGGCACAAAATCCACATGACGATGGAGGTTGTCAACATCAAACTTCACCTATATCAAAAGGATATTATTAGCGTAGGTAGCCTCGGGGCCTTACACCAATGGCACAACTCACTGGGGTAGCTTTAATTTTCACTACTTTGGAGAGGTACTCTTTGTCGTATATGCAATTTCCGAGTACATTTCCGAATGTCCTTAGAGTACGTTTCAGGGCGTCCGTGGTTCCTTCTTTCTTAGCTTTTTCAAACGCAGCAGCCTTCCCTTTGCAGTTTTCAATATGTCCATATCCTATATCCTGCCCAGATATGAGAATTAGTCCGTAACACTGGGGCGCGGGTATCATGGAAAACAAACCTCATGATACGTTCCATCTTTTAAAGTAACCCGCACGATCACGGATAGCCCTACTGAGACCTTACCCGTGGTAGGGTTCTCATCAGCCTATGACCAAGTCAGTACTCCTATCTATACAGGGGGAGGCGTTGGCTGAATAAATTCCAACTCACAAAATCCTGTGTTATATTTTGTATAGAGCTCGACCATCCATTGAACCCGAAGACTTCATTTGCAAGGTTGATACATTTATCTGCCGTGATATAATGTACTTTTCCTCCTCCAGAAGGCCTGGATGAGAGAAACTCTGGGCCCAGCTGCTTGTTTAGTCTCTCCCTCAGCGAGGCAACTTCGGTAGGTGTAAACTCTTCAACTCGACCGGTTCCTTTTAAATATGGATTCGCAGAGATTGCAGGATTGTCCCCAGGCCCAAGCCGATGCTGGTCTCCGATCCTGTAAGAGTTGGTCAGCGCGTCTTATCGTAGCCTGTGATTAACTATGAAGAGAGTTCTAGAGCACTTACGCAGGCATAGTGACCGGAATCGTCTAGTATAACAAGCACCTCCAGATAGTACGATGATTCGAAGCCGGATAATGACTTTCGGCACCCCAAGCTGCATCTCACGACATCAATCAAACGCGCTGATGTTTGCCTGGACGCGTCTAAAAAGCTAATTACGTAATTTGATAAATGCGAGTTGGTCCAGTTTAGGTACGTCACGTGAAGATAACAACCTAATTATCCCCTTCCCCGCAAGAAAGATAACCCTGAGCCTCAATATCAACATTGGATGGGGAACCTACAAGCTGCCCAGGTAGCTCGTGAATGGTCAATTTGTTGCTTTGTAGCCACCAAGTTCGCGGGCGTATCACAGTTATTGGTATACGGTGCCTTCGTAAGCTAGCCATCTCAAGCTGTCTAGTTATACTAAAACCGAATGAAACCACCATCAAACTAATGTCCCAGGATCCTCAGCCCACGATAAGGCTTCCACTTGGCACAAAACCCAGCTCTTTTAACGTAGCCCCAAAGTCTTCCTGATTGAAAACCTTCTTTGGAAACGTCTGTGTAAAGCTATTCACCTGATTCCCTTCCTGCTGTAGAGCGGCGGCAACCTCAAAGAGGGTGGTATCAACAGGGAAGGACTTGATGACATTCCCGGATGGTGTCATCAGTCGCAGTCTCGTCTCTGTATATGCTGAAGCTGGCTTTGAGGCCACTGGAGCTGCAGCTGGTGTAGGCTGTGCCTTTTGTTCCTCCAGAACACGACCTTCTCGTTCCGCTTTTTCTTTCTCTGCCTTCAATTTCCGAGCCTGCTTGTCTGCTTCGATCTTGGCCTTTATCCGTGCCTTTACTTCAATTTCTTCTTGTTTCTCACGCTTCTTTTTAGCTGCTTCCTTCAACTGTTCTTTTCGTTGAAGTTCTTCCTTCATATCCTGAGTCTCCTTCGTGCTCTTGCGGCGGATTTCCTGATAATTGAACCTGGGGGTCAGACTTTGAAACATGAATTCCAAAAAGAAAGAATTTATAAATCTAACCTCGTTTCTTTTTTGGTCCTTCTTATCCTGCTCAGACATTTTTTGCCTTTTTTCTGCCAGTCTTTGACGTAGCTCTTCTAGTTTAGCCTTCTTCTCTTCCTCCGTGAGCGGTGCGATCTCCTCCGTCGACTCTGAAAAGTCAACATGTTCTGTTTTAGAAGCGTGGAATTCGGCCTGGCCCTGGCTTCTGAACCGTTTCCCGCACTCATTACAGACCAAGCTCTTTGGTTCTTCTCCAGGTTTTAGCTCTGGCGGTTCATCCGACGCTCCTGCTTCTGACTGTTTCTGGGCCGTTTCCTCTTGTATTTCTTCCAGCGACTTGTCTTGGTTGGCTTCTAGCCACTCGAGGGCCCCCTGTACTGAATAAAAAGACAATATGTCAGTATCAAGTATTTTTTTTTATACCAAAACCATCCAAGATCCTAAGGAACTCGAAGGCTGATGCTGTGAACATGGGTCGGCCTGACTTACAGCCGCCGGATTTAGACACTGCTATTTTGGCCCGCTCTGGGTCAAAGCCCATGTCGGCTAGAAGCTCCAGGTCCGAAGGCATCCTCAGCGATTTGTGGCAGCAGCGAATGTAGAATGGAGGACAGGAGTTGATGTTCGGAAGCGAAACTCTTCTGATGATGGAAGCGCAAGCTGGTCAACTACCGGTTAGTTATCTGCTAGCTAGCTAGTTACCTGCTGCTGGCGTAGTTGTTGAACTGAGGAACAGCCCCACTAAAGATTTCCAAGCAGTTGCCTTTAAGCCTGACTAGTTATGATGATCACCCTGAAAGTAAAAGCAAGTAATAGGAAAACATCAACTTCTGGGGCTTTCTACGGAGTAGCTGCTAACTAACTAGTTGTTGGGCTCTACAAATATTTACTTCACTATCCAGAGCAGCTACACAAAGCAGACGCCTATGCAGAAGGGGCCACCAAAGACATCCGTATAACCCATATATTCCTTACTTCCTCCATCGCTTCCTGGATCATCTCAGGGTTAAATAAAGTGCGATAGAGCCTCCCCAAACAGACCTATCGAAACCGGGGCTCCTCTTATTCCAGTAAATATAGCCCAGGTGACGAATATACAATCAGGTCAGCGCTGGGATGGAACGGCCTTGCATAATTGCTGCAAATATCCTGCTGGCGATAGAACCAAGATCCAGCTCCCGTTGCATTGCTTAAGCAATCGGCAACAACGCAGTGGGTGTTCGCAACGTTCTGCAAATCGCGGATAAGGCTGTATATCAGACGCTAGTATTGTAGGAATCGTCCGGCATGGCAGTGACAGGTTTCACCGGGACGTGGACTTCATCCAATAAATCGGTATAGACTGCAGACATAGCTTGTAGTTAGCCTGTTCCTTGGTCGCGTTGGTTGTCTGTAGTTATGAGAGGCAACCTGTTAGTTAGTGAGTTTAGTTATGGCAGGGCTACCATGGCCCAAACTCCAATCCTGCATGTCGATGATATACACGGCCCCAGTCTCTTCCCATGAGTTCCAGCTTTGCTGCTTATAGCTTGAGGACCACCGCCACCGGTTGATGTGATGTCCGTGGCGGTCTTTATTCTTTGCTGGTGGTGTGTCACAAACAATAATGTCCAGCCGTCCCCCAGCCCTCTCCGCTCCACGGCAGTTAGAGCCTATCACATGACTTTGTCTTACCTAAGCCACTCCCAGCGACATCTTGGGCTGTCTATCAACTTGCCAGCATCAAAAGATCCAACAAGGCCGACTATACCTGCATCACCCACTTCACCACCGCTCTCCAGCCCGTGTTTCCCACCAGAGATCAGGTATTCCACACTTGTTCTAGTTGTCTTCCCACAGCAGTCACCATGTCGGTCGAAATAGAACCCGGCGAGCTCGGCTTCAAGCGTATGTATTGTCCTTTGCAGACCTGGTACAGCCCGCGATTTGTGCCTAACGCCTGTAAAATATAGGCCCATTCACTAAAGAAGTCACTGAGATTCTCTACTTGCGGAATCCTAACAGTGATCCCGTTGCCTTCAAAGTATGTACTCTGCTGCTCCAAGGCTGGTCATTTTGACCGAGCTGCTTACGATTTGTCCAACAATATAGGTCAAAACTACTGCGCCCAAACAGTGAGCTGCACCCGTCATACTGGCATATATTTCACCCTAATAGTGCTAACCGGATGACTTCAGTTACTGTGTTCGCCCTAATTCTGGCCGCATCGAGCCTGGGAAGCAAGTTGAAGTCCAGGGTACGCATCTCCGCAAATTTCCCAGCCCACCTCCCCCGCGTCCTTGGTTGTGCGCAGTCATTAACCTGCGAATCGATAACAGTTCTTCTTCAGGCCATGAAAGAAGACCCTCCACTTGATGCCAAATGCCGCGATAAGTTTCTGGTCCAATCTGTTGCCGTCTCCGCCGATAAGGAGTTCTCGAATGTTGCCTCTATTGTGTGTACTGCACTCTCCCCAACCGAGTGGTTGAACATACTTGGAATTGTTAGAAACCTGGTCGCTTACAATATAGCAGTGGCAGGATGTTGAAAAGAAGTCCAAATCTCTTATTCAAGAGCGCAAAATCCGGGTCAACTTCCTACCAAGTGACGACTCGCATACCAATGGAGTGGTGCGTACCCCCGGGGCTAGCGATTGACTTCCGTCATTCCACTCTACTACTTTTTCTATAAGCATAGCTTCATTTACAACTTCGTGCGAAAGTTATGCATACTGACTGTTCGATATTATAGGAGCCTGATTCCGAGCCACATGCCCAGTCTTCTCCCCATGCGCCTCAGTTTACCACCCCGGTTGTGCAGCGCACCGTTGGTAGTGGCCCCACACCTCCTAAATCCGAGGATATGAAGCATGAAAGCCCGCCCGAGCCATCATCTGAGCCGACCAACACTTTCGGCATGGCTACTTCCTCTACTCGCGTTGAGCCCTCTCAATCAAGTGACGACCTTTTGTCCTCCCAATTAGCGGAAGCAAGGCTGCAGATCAAACAACTACAACAGCAGATAGCCGATAACGAAGTGAGACAGAGAAAGAAGCCTGTCGAAGGTGGAGAACTTTCTACAAACCAATCTTCTCTCAAGCAAGCACAACCTCCTACTCAATTGGCTGCGGCGGGTGGTGTCCCTTTGCAAGCCGTGGCTGGTCTCTGTCTTCTCAGTTTCTTGCTAGCGTACATCTTCTTCTAGAACCATACCCACCCTCATTTCGAATGCTTCTCCCAACCCCTCCTGTTTCTTTCACACCTCTGACTGCCGTGCGTCACGATTGATAACCCCTGATTTCTCCGCCCCTGTTGCTTCCCCCTTTCCCAATCCCCCCTTCCACCACTAAGTTTTAAGTTCTGTCTTGTCGGAGTCATCACATCTTTTTACCAGCGCCCTAATACATCTCAGACCGAAGAGGTTGGCCATGCACACACAAGCGTTCCCTTTCCCTATTTCGCTCCAGAGCTGCTTCCGCTCCCAACCGGTGTATCATGGGATCCAAGTATTTTCCTATGTCCATTTTCCTTCCCACCTCCTACTCACTGTTAACTGTCTATTTCCTACTGTCTGAACTTTTCCTTGCTTAGTATATTATGCTCTAACGGATCTTCTTTCTCTCCCTACTTCATTCTTGATCTCCTCTACTCCCCTTCTCATTAAGCCGGTTGAAAGTTCCGAGATTAGCCATCTTAACATTCATGGAAAAAGGTGATATTTTAACAACAGTAATTCTCTGTCAATGGGTTTCTTTTGAGTTATTTTCGGCATAGTGACGATAGCTAAAGAAATAAGGGCCTTTTTTATCGTGGGATTCTTTCTATTATGTCTATCTGTACCACCATAATGACCGTATGGCGTACTATTTGTACTAACTATCCTCCCATCAAGACCTTGATGCGTTATGAGGAGGGAGCATCAACCGAGCATGCAAGCGTCTGTCAACGTCTCCTGACACATTAGTCGAGTGACGAAGCCTTTGCACCTGTTTCAGGAGAGGCATCCAAACAAAGAGTATGAAGTGAGAAATAAGGGATAAAAGAAAAAGAGAAATAGAAAACAATATTATGAAAAAAAAAAACAGAAGGAAAATTATGAGAAAAATGAGAAAGCCTCCCCAGAGATAAGCACCCAAGAAAATGTGATAAGAAAACAGATAGTATGAATGAGTATCGTGAGACCGTTAGAAGGCAAAGGAAATGTAGGATGGTGGAAACGGGTAACTAGAGTGTATTTGGAAGATGCGGTAAAAAGGAAAAGGAAGAAAAAGGGGCCATCAGTTATAGTTATCCGGAAAATAAAGTTATAGCAAGCCATTGCCACATGTATGAAGGCTGGGTGGGACGCGGAAAAAAGATGTATGTATCCACAGAGCAGATGAAAAAACTCGATCTAGTATTTAACAGATGGGTATCGTAATCGTTTCATTAAAAGGTTGCTCAAAACGTTGTCTGCTTTCACGACGCAAGGGGGGAGGCAAATGGTGGAAAGCAACGCCATTTGGGAGGAATGGAAGGGCCTCAGTCCGTAAAAGGAGGGTGAGATGAATTGAGTAGGATTACCATGGCCCGACCTTCAACGGCAGGCCAGCTCCGTAAGTGCCTGACATGAGCTGTTGACGTATTGACGACATGTCGCCTTGAGAGCTGCCAGCGTTGGAATTGCACGGGTTGCCCACGTTGCCACCGATCCAGCCAAGGCTCTGGTTCAATTCATTCACGGCGTCCTGGAGTTTTCCTCCGGCGGTCTCGTTGTGCTTTGCAAGCTTTTGATCCCAGCCTCCGTACTGCAGTTGGATACCGCCTCCACGCTTTGCTGCCTCCCTGATTACTAGACACCATGCTTTGCCCATCTCTTCATACGCTGCATACTTCTCAAGATTGTGTTGTGGCGTCGTCCACCGCGGAAGTTGATGTATGATATCTGTAGCACCATCCAGGTAACTTAGTGACGTTGACGGTTGCGATTCATTTGGCGGGAGAAAATGGGGTGTAAAGTCGTTCAGGGCTTCAAGGAGGTTGGTAAGATGCTGGCGGACTCGATTATATGCATAGTCGGAGGAAGGGTTCCCGCCCAGCGGGAAAGAGGACTGTAGAGTGGACTGGTAGTTGTTAAGGACTTCAAGGGCGGCGCTGACGCTGGGCCGGGGGGCAGTGTGCATGACCTCAGAGGCTATCTCGGGATGGCGATCACAGAGCGACCTCAACACTGATCGCAGAGCATCTGTGTCGAGCGTCTCCATTAACCGAGGGAGAGACAGCGGCCGGCCCGAAACGTTCGGCCGTGGTCGTTTGAGGTGACGGGGAGCTAACGGCCGTGGATGGAGGGCAGGAGACCCTGAGGGCGAGGCAGACATGCGAGTATCGTCGCTCGGGAGACTGTCATCCTCGGCCTTTCTCTTCCGGTTCACTGAGGCGTTGGTCGATGACACTATAGGGAAGCAGTCAAGTCAGTCAGGCATATCGAACTCCCATCTTATTGCTTTCCTGTACGTGCTGGGGGAGGAGGCGTGGCTCGGAGTAAGTCCTACTGGAATATGATGCAGAGCGACAAGAGGTCTCGTAAAAGTGAGGAGGAACAGGCGGTGTGGCTACCAGGCTGTTCATGATCACCGAGGGCTGCTCGGCAAGGAGTGACTGCTCGCGAGAGGCCGTGAAGCAGATGCTGGGTGAGTCTGCAGGTGCTGGCCCTTTGGTAGGAGACAGACGTCGACAGGCACAGGAAGGGAAGACGAGCGAAGAGGAGGATGGAGAAGAGCAAGTCAGGCGGTTGCGTTGAGTTGGCAGCGAAGAAAAAAGGCGACCAGGCTTAAAAGCGACGCTAAACTCACTAAGGGGAGCGAGAGGGCCCGAGCTTAGCTCCAGCGTGACCATACATTACACAAGGCAAAAATACAACACATAACACTCAGAGAGGCAGATACAGATACAGACTCGTGCACAGGACGAGACCAGAGATGTTTTATTCATATTTTGTTATTGCTGGTGCAGGCAGGCGAGCTACTACTGCTACTGGCGCTCACGGGGGTGGCGACGTTGGTGGCTCGGGTCTTTGGAGTAAGGAGGCTCTTTGTTCAAGGGCTGTGTGTGGTAGCTATGGTTACGGCTGTTTATGTGTATTATTCTTGGGAACCCACTGGCCGCTTACCGACTGGCGTAGCCAACAGGGCGTACGGAGGATAGGTATGGCAGGCTGCTTTTTTGCGATCCGGAGGAAGAGGGCGGCCTCTTGACTTTTTTACTGTTGCATGGATGACTGGTTCGCCTTCTCTAAGGCGAAGTCATCCTCGGCCTGGCCAAACAGACGGCAGAGTCAATATATACGTGCATCCCAGCCATTAATAACCACTTGATGATGTGTTCTCGTCTCGAGCATCAATGGATCTTCCGTAAGCACACTAGCTGTCCGTGATAGGCTTCAATCCCTTGCGTGTTACGCACTTTCTCGGCAACCAGAGCAACCTGCTTCTGTCTGGTTGGGTTATATTTCTCTGCCGAAAAGATAGAGATCCATAGTTTTATGAAAAGTTTTTATATATGCACCTTTGATACTGCGGCTAGAAGGCAGGTTCTGGGCTAGGGTAACAGTGTTCCAGCCAGGACTAATCTATCGCCACCAAATACTGTGCATTGGGGAATGCTTGGGATTGTATAAAGGGCCTATGAAACGACAATCACTCTCGTTAATCTCGGTATAGACACACAACCTCCCGAAATATTGCCAGTATCTATACCGTTAATTATCGCACCTATCTCCATACATCCAATCTGTAGTGTTACAGAGTACTTGATCTACATAGACACAGACTCACCATTCACTGTCTTTTCTCAAAAGTTACTAGGCAAACATATGCATTGGGTAATCATCCTGATACTACACCTGATATCTCTTTCTATATTCTCGAAATTCCTTTCCCTTGCTCTCCTTTCCACAGCCAAACTCCTGCTCCTCTTCATGTGTTTTTTTAACTTTTTGTGATACTTTTTAATCATATTACGTCATAACCTTAAATAATAAGCTTTTCACGGGGTTCTCAGCCCGAAAACTTATGACTAAGCAAAGTTATTTTTGTCACTTTTGCCTTTTTGCCCCTGGAGATGATTTCAAAGGGAAAGCACAAGAGCAGAAAAGAAAAGAAAAAGTATCAAGGTAATATTAACCAGGCAGCCATATATTGCATTGCCCATGTAGCGGCATGTTTCATTTACTTTTGCTATTATACGGGGAATGCCGCACACCCAACGCCACATATGCATTCATCTGTGTACAGCCAGGAAAAAAAAAAAAAAAAATTCCAGGTCGCAGTAAATGCAAAAAGCCAATATCTATCAGCCAGCCAATAATGATATATGGTAACAAACTATCACAGGTATAGTGACTGTGCGGCAACAATGTCTCGTTTTATGAGTGTGAGGGCGGTTTCGAACTTCGTTTCCAGGTCGCTACTTCCCATCACTTTAGCCGCTTGTGCCATTTGCCGCATACATTCTTCAAGGCGCCGGAAAGCTCTGATCAAACTTCCCTCGTAAACTTCAGTCATTTTGCTTCATCAGAAATAGGTAGTTAGTTGTCTGATTGAATTTGGCACGTTGCGGGTTTGGGACATGAACAAGCTTACCAGATATCTGCAAAGGATTTGCCCTTTGCCCACTCGAACATCACCTCCATAAGTTCCCATCGGAAGCTCTTCACGTATTCGTCTTCATTCACAGGCAGTTTTGATTCCTGGGAAACTTTAGCAATGATTCTAGCCTGGGCTTGGATGTCTCTGAGCGGTTTGGCGAGCTCCTCATTGGTAATGGCAGGGGTGTCCTTGGCATTTTCTTCGAAGACAAATACGCTTAGTGCTGCGGCGCATTGCTCAGGTGTGAGATTATTGAAGAAACCGTTGAACAACAGCTCACTGAGCATAAGTTCGTCACCACTGCTGATTTCACAAGCAACTCGAGCCTTGAGCTGTACGACTTCATCTTCGTTGATGAACTGGAACCGGCGAAGTACTCGTTTACGGCATTTCAACTCATCCATCTGGATTATCGACATGGCCTCGGTTATCTTCTTTTTAGTCTCCTTGATTTTCTTGACAAGCTCCACCTTTGCGGCATACTGGTCGTACAATTCTGGAAGCCGAGGAGAGTTGTGTAGCGGGTTAGATATTAGACGTGATTCCAGAACCTCGATTTTCTAAGTTTCACTTTAGTACCGGGCGTTGCAATGAGAGGGTGTGGGAAGATTTCATACCCTTAGTAATCTCTTGAACTCATCATCCGTAATGTTCATGTTTTCAATGGGGTCAAGGAGCGCCAAGCCATCAGGGAAGCGTTGCTGGATCTGCATAATCTGCTTCTTGACGGCCTTTCGGCTTTCTTCTGGTTTTAGGTTGCTGGGCATTTTGATTTTCACCATAGAAATTGAATGTATACAGTTGAGGAGGACGGGAACAACTTCTAGCTTCGAAGGCTCGCCCTTGTTAGCTGGTTTGACACCAGGTGGCAAAGGCTGAACACCTTTTGATTTTAGGAAAGAGTCCTCTGAAACTGGTAGTAGAACGTCTACTATATAGCTCTCACGAGGCTCGTACTCTTCACGCGGGGCGTTCTTTGGTGGTTTTCGCGCTTGGCAGTTGACCACCACTGACCATCCGAAATCAAAGTCCTGGTATTTGATGTGGATTAGACGTCCAGGCTTGAGAAACGAAACGCAATAATTGGGATGTGTTATCACAGCTCTCATATCAGAGTTGTAGGTATCAATTTTCTGTCGAAGGTCATAATATTCTCGTATTGTGCCTTCGTCTTCAATTGTCATCGCATCCCTAGAACTTTCGAGCTCAGCCAGTTCTGATGAAGTTCGTTAGTAAATCGTTGGGTAAAATCAATTCAGGGTATAAAATATTCACCTTTTTCCAGACCAGAAACACTAGCTGTATTTTGGAACTGGTAGAAACACCGTTCAAGCATGAACTCAGGTGATATCCCTTCCACACGAAGCAAATTGAGAATCATATTATAACCGAGATGGAAAGCTGAATTAAGCTTGTCCTGCTCTCCGCGAACAATATCCTTGGCAACAGGAGGGTCCATCTCTTCATCAACCATCATGATAACAAGACCACGGTCATCAAGGCCTCGACGACCTGCACGTCCGGACATTTGGACAAATTCCGAGGATGTTATCCATCTTGAGCTGACACCGTCAAACTTGCGAACGCTTGTGAAAACAACGGTCTTTGCGGGCATGTTAAGACCAATAGAGAATGTTTCAGTCGCGAAGAGAACTTTTATTAGTCCTTCTTGGAAGAGAATTTCAATGGTTTCCTTGAGGATGGGCAGGAGACCTGAGTGATGGACACCAATACCGCGCCGGAGAAGGGGTAGGATATGTTGGATCTGGGGTAGATCCCTATCCTCTTCTGAGAGGATCTCAATGGCGCTGTTAAAAACCTTAGAGACCATCTCCTTTTCGGAGTTATCGTTGAATGCCAGTTTACTCATCTGTAGAGCAAAAGCCTCACACTCTCGTTTGCTGAAACTGAATACGATAACTGGATGGTAGTTTTTCATCATGATCATCTTGACGATTTTGTAGATATCAGATGGCCCATTCTTGTCTCCTCCTTTATTTGTCTTCTTGTCTTTCCCTTTCCCTTTCCTTTTAGCCATGGCATCCGCAGGGTCTGCTCCTTGCCTGTCTGCAATCGAGCTCATGGCCTTTTGGAAGTTCTCCTCACGGAACACACCTTTCTCATCAACAACAAGATGGATGCCCTCGGCTCCGGCAGGGAAAAGATAATGTTGAAGGGGGGTCGGACGGAAATCTGTATATACAACGTGGCATGGCTGGTTGTGCATCTTGGTAACCCACTCTGCAAACTGCATCGCATTCGGGATGGTAGCCGAAAGGAACACATATCTGACTTTGTCTGGAAGTAGGATAATGGTCTCCTCCCAAACGACACCTCGGGCTTAAGCAGACGTTAGCCATGTGCATTGTGCAAGAACGGTAGACATCCTTACTCTTATCTCGCATGTAATGAATCTCGTCAAAAACAACCCAGGCGACCTCACGCATAATCTCTGAGCCTCGGTATAACATAGACCGCAAAATCTACAGGGACATTAGCTCCGCGTCCAACTGATTATTCACACTTTGATCCTACCTCAGTAGTCATGACAAGACAAGTAGCAGTGGGATTGATGGTGACATCACCGGTCATCAGTCCAACATCACCAAACTCAGCCGCAAATTCTCTGTATTTTTGGTTACTCAGAGCCTTGATTGGGCTCGTGTAGATCACCCTCTGGTTATTCTTCAAACACTGAGCAATAGCATATTCGGCAACCACAGTTTTTCCAGCACTAGTATGCGCAGAGACAAGGACACTCTCTTCCCGCTCAATAGATGCAATCGAGACTTGCTGAAAGGGGTCGAGGGTAAAAGGCCACACCCGCGCGGGCTTCTCTGGCGGCTTGTGCTGGGAGATGGGGATGTAGTCGTAGCCCGCAGGCAGGGCAACTTGATGTCGTACTTGATGGGATAGCACCACAGCTTTCCCATCTTGCTGACCCTGAAATCCAGCAGACGCGGCAACTTCACGGGACTGTTCTGTTTCAAAGGTATCTGCCACCACTGGCTCTGGCTCCTGGTCAACCCGCAGGCGCTTTATGTCCGGCTGGTCATCCTGGACTTCTGCTTCTGCAGCATCACTCTTGTCCGCAGCGGGCTCGACCGGCTCTGGCGACTCCGTTCCGTTGGCTGTCGCTACATTTTCTGACTTGATGTCTCCGTTTGCTCGTCGCTTCTTGTTCCTGGCCTTTCTAGGTCTGGGGGGCTCGTTGGTGGCATCGTTCAAGCCTGGCTTGTCCTCGAACACGTCGAATAGGTCGTCCATTGCGCTAAGAGTCTAGCAGCTTCAGTGCCTATAGGCGTCTCCAGAGCTGCCTAGGCCTCTCTTTTGCACTGCAGCACCGTGCCAATTCTTGCTTTTCTCTCCCTTGCTCTTCTCCCAGCTATCGGTTTCCAGGCGCATGTTCTACCCTCCCTCCATCATAAATTTTAAAGTTCCAAATGGATATATATAAAAAAAAAAAAGCTGTCGGACTTAACTTACTCCGTTACCGGATTACATCATCCTCACGTGATTGTACCAGACTTGCCTCTTTTTGGCGAAATCGTTCGATGCGTTCGAAGCTCGCCAGCATCTTTTATTCACATTCTCCGAACAACGAACGACACCAGCACCGCCAACAGTCAAGGTACGCAGCCAATTCGTGCTCAGGGACAGAGACACGCCAGCTGACGCCTTCTCCAGATGTTTGCCCGTTCTGCTATCCGCGCCAACACGGCCGCCTCCATCATTAGCCGTCGAGGCTTCCACTCAACTCGCACCCAGCTGGGCTCCGGCTTCCACTACCCAGAGGGCCCTCGCTCCAACATCCCATTCAACCCATTGACCAAGTTCTTCTTCCTCAGATACTGGGGCTTCATGAGTTAGCATCCCCATCTTCGCTCTCTGCAATGTCGCCTGCTCTTTGGCTAACCTATTGAAATAGTTACCGGGTTCACTCTCCCATTCGCCATTGCTGGTAAGTTCCAACGCATGCTCTTCGACAACACGTTTCAATCTGCTAATCACAGTACGTTATTCAGTCTGGCAAACGAAGAAGTCCCGTTAATTTCGATTCCCTCCTTGTCCTTCTACGCCGAGTCCTTGTTGCTATCCTAGAATTACTCACAAATACCCTATCGCATCATGGGTGGCTCGGAATACCTGGTCAGCTTGTATAAAGATTAAATCAGAATTAAAATATTGTATTACTTCCGATATCTTTGCTCTCTCTCTATATATATATACGTTTATCTTATCTCTACATTTGCTCCTTGTTGGCTGCGTACTGGGTAGTTGACTCTCGGCTCTGCCCGTTTGTAGTTGTGATGTTTTTCGAGATGCGATCATTGGCTGATCTTGATGGATACAAAAAAGTAAAAATCTGGCAACCAAAACCCATACAAACCACCAACTAGAATGAATATCAATATAGCCGACCGATAAGTACCTGCAGCATGATTACATGCTCTATATTGATTACTGCATGGTAAAGATTCGTCTCCGGTCACGATGCGCAACCTCAGAAATATTCGCTTTTCTGAAGTCCCGCTGCTTGGTGGGCTTCCGTTGGCCGCCACTGCGTGGGATGCCTCAACGGACTCGCTGATATGCGCATTTGGCCCGGCGGAGGATAACGCAGTGATCGAGCTGAAGAGAAAGCTGCAGCATGAAGATGCCAATCCCGAGGCGCTGCCTGGGGACATGTCCCTGATTGCATCCTGGGACGCGCCTTGCCCAAACCCAGACATGAAGTGTGATCGCATATTGTCTTTGCAGTACTTCCCCGACACCTTGATAATATGCTTGGTACTTGAAGGTGGAGATATTATTATCGTTCGTGAAGAGCCTCAGCCAGGAGAGGACAAGATTGAAATTGTTGGCAGCGTTGATGCCGGTATATCTGCTGCCGCTTGGTCTCCTGACGAGGAGCTGCTGGCCATCTCTACAAAGGCAAACACTCTACTCTACATGACCAGAGACTTTGAAGGCGCTGCGGATATTGCTTTAAGCCAGGAAGATCTCAAGATATCCCAACATGTCTCCGTGGGCTGGGGAAAGAAGGAGACTCAGTTCCAGGGGAAACGAGCGAAAGCTCTTCGAGATCCAACAATGCCAGAGAAAGTTGACGAAGGAAAACTAAGCGAATTTGATGACGGGAAAACCACTCTCAGCTGGAGAGGCGATGGTGCATACCTCGCTCTCAATAGCATTGAGACTGGCATTCGTCGAGTTATCCGTGTCTATTCTCGAGAAGGTGCATTGGATAGTGTGAGTGAGCCAGTGGATGGACTAGAGGGTGCTCTAAGTTGGCGGCCATCGGGCAATCTCATTGCTGGCATCCAACGGCTTGATGATAGGATCGATGTTGTCTTCTTTGAAAGAAATGGGCTGCGACATGGCCAGTTTACTCTTCGGTTATCAAATGAGGAACGACTAAGCTGGGCATCCAACATCACTCTCGCCTGGAATGTTGATTCAAATGTGCTTGCAGTCCAGTTCAAAGATAGGATCCAGCTTTGGACAACAGGAAACTATCATTACTACCTTAAACAAGAAATCTCACTATCAATCGATGGGGCATCACCACTTTGTACGTTCCGCTGGCATCATGAGAAAGCGATGCGTTTCACCGCAAGCTCGCCAAGTATGTATAGTTCAAGTATCCTCTTCCTCTGTTTGGGTATCAATAAAATTGCTAACATCGTCTGAAGCCTCGTTGATTGATACCGATTGGGTATTTGAGGTTGCGGCTGGTTCTACTATCATTCCTAATGACTTTGGTTCTACCGCTGTAATCGATGGATGTAGGTCAAATATACTAGTCTATCTCTAGAAGACAATTTATTAACCGATCTGTATAGGCACCTTAAAGTTGTCTCCGTTGAAGGTAGCAACAGTGCCTCCCCCGATGGCACTTTGCGAGCTTGCCCATGACTCAAATATTATTGATGTGGCGTTTAGCAAGACGAGCGCAAAAATTGCTATCCTCGGTGCAGCTTCATTTACGATCTACACTTGGAATCTCAAGTCCACCTCTCCCCTCGAAGCAACACTATACTCCTCACATGCCATTTCTCCGTCCAGGCGCCCTAGGCTAATCGCTTTTCTTGGTGAGGACGATATCTACGTAGTAACGCAAGATGAATTTGGCGGAGAAGTAGTTGAATGGACAGGATTACAATTGAATGCTTCCAAACCTGTCTTTCTTCCTGAGGAGGGAGTTCATATATCCTCTATTTTCCCCGATTCTGAGCAGGAGAAACTTTGGATTGCCCACATATCTCCGAGCAAACGAGTCAGAAGTTATAGCTTTGTTCGAAACAACGGAGCCGAGGACTCTTCCGTTGTTACATGGCAAGATGGGCCCGCAACCGACACCAGCTGGGCCCGTGCTATCCAAGTTCCTAGTGGGGATGTGAGTAAATTATACCATCCAGAATGTTGAACATTTTAGCTAACTTGACGTAGGATATATTGTTCACGCTTTCTCGGTCCGGAGCTCTGTATGCCAATAAGCGATTGCTCACCAAGAGCGTTACATCTTTTCTCCTGACTTCTGCCCATCTGATCTATACAACTGCGCAGCATCTACTTAAATTTGTTCACATAACTAAAGTTGATGGTATAGCCAAATATCCTAACCCAGCCAAGCTATATATATATATATATCTAACGATTTGGTGCAGATCTTGAAATACCAGGGGACACCCCAGAAGAGGATGAGAGGTGCCGAAGCATTGAGCGTGGAGCCAAATTAATTACTGCCATGCCCTCTAAGCTCGGCCTTACCCTGCAGATGCCTCGAGGGAATATAGAAACAATCTACCCTCGAGCTTTTGTCCTGGCAGGTATCCGTGGCTACATTGAAAACAAGAAATACAAATCAGCCTACCTGGTTTGTAGAGCACAGATGGTGGATATGAACATCCTCTATGACTATATGCCCGAACAATTTTTGCATAATATACCGCTCTTCCTTGATCAAGTGAAGAGGGTCGAGTTCATCGACGAGTTTCTATCTCGCCTAAGGTAGGTTTATTATCCGTCTATGTCACTGCATGGCCCAATTTATCTAACCACATCTCATGATAGAAACGAAGATGTAACGAAGACAATTTACAAGGATACTCTTAAGCTTTCGCAGCCGACAGAAGCCTCTCGAGGCAACGCTCCCGGGTCAGATCAGGCGCCGGCTATCTCCTTCGGTAAAACTAAAGCTGAGAACAAAGTGAACAAGATCTGTGATGCGTTTATAGCCGTCCTTTCTCACCGAATTGATACCAATCTTCAAAATCTGGTCACCTCGCACGTTTGCAAGTCTCCCCCAGATCTTGATGCTGGGCTCAGCCTTGTCGCCAAATTACGCGGTACGTCCCAACCCCTTCATACTGAATTTCGTAGTATCTAGCTAACGCTGAAACAGAACGGAACGCAGAACAGGCAGAGGAAGCAGTAGAGCATATGTGCTTCCTTACAGATGCCCACCAACTTTTCAATTATGCACTAGGTCTATATGATCTTGAGCTTACGTTGATGGTGGCTCAACAAGCTCAACGAGTAAGTGAATACATAGTATGAAACCATAAAATGCTATACTAATTGTATTTCAGGACCCGAGAGAATACCTCCCATTCCTTCAGAAGTTACATGGTATTTCAGAGCTTCAACGCAAGTTTGAAATTGACAATCACCTTGGTCGTTTCAATAAAGCATTGAAGACTCTACATGCATTGGGCTCATATGATGATCTGAAATTGTACACAATCAAACATGGCCTTTATAAAGATGCATTGGAGTTGTATAAGTACCAGCCAGAGCTTTTGCGGGATATGACCCAATTGCACGCAGACTACCTATACGACCAGTCAAACTACAAAGAAGCTGCTATTGGTGAGATTCCCTCCTTCTCTTGTCTCTAAATGAATGCTCATTCTAACTTTTTCTACAGCTTACGAATCTCTTGGAATGTTCAAGCCTGCTTATGAATCGTACAAACTGGCACATATGTGGCGAGAATCACTTTACTGTGCAGCCTTAGTTCCGCTATCAGAAACCGATATGAATGAATTAGCCACATCCCTAGCCTCCACGCTCACAGACGAAAGTAAAGACTACGTCTCCGCTGCACGTATTCAATCGGACTACCTTCATGATATTCCTACCGCAGCACGACTGCTTTGCAAAGGTTCTCAGTTTGGCGACGCATGTCGGCTACTTGTCCTACACAACCATCAAGACCGAGTCTCCGAAATTGTGGACCATGGCCTTACAGAAGCAATGGGAACTATGACCGAACTTCTAGCAGACTGCAGAAGCCAACTACAAGCACAGGTGCCACGGATACAGGAATTGCGAGCTAAACGCGCTGCTGACCCTCTGGGCTTCTATGGTGGTGACCCAACTGGTGCTGGCGCTGGAGACGTTGATATCCCTGACAATATTTCTCTTGCGCCAACGGACGCAAGTACAATGGCAGGTAGGAGTTTGTTCACCCGATATACTGGGGGAAGCAGTACGTCACGGGCTAGTAGCCGGATGAGGAAGAGAGAAGAACGCAGGCGTGCAAAGGGGAAGAAAGGGACTGTTTACGAAGAGGAATACCTCGTAAATAGCGTGAGGCGGCTGATTGAGAAGGTGAACAGCTCAGTTGAGGAAGTGGAAGCGTTGGTCCAAGGAATGCTGAGAAGGGGGATGCGCGAACGAGCAGCTGTAGTGGAGAAGAATCTTGATGAAGTTTTGAGTATGTGTAGGGATTGTCTGAGTGATGTCTTCGAGACCCCTGCAGAGGCCAGTTCGGATGCGCAGGATAAGGAAGATGAACCTCCTGCTGGTGCGATTTCAAGTGGGGAACGAGTTTATCTGGAGAGCATGGAAGCTCTCAGGGGCAAAGGGAGGGAACCCCCTGTGGTCAAGGCTTTTAAGAAGCTCTCTTTATTGGGTGGATAAAAACAGGGGACAAAAATCAAATGGATGATGTGCAATGTATATACGGCTTCCGCCTCTTGTACGTTATAGCCTAACATGAGAAAACGAATATCCCGATATTTATTTCTTTTCTTATTAGAAAGATATACTCCATCAGTAAAGGTATAAGAAAAAAGAAAAAAAAATGGAAACGCCTCACAATCAAGCAGCGATGGTCAATATCTCGCCAGACTCGCTGACAAGATGCTCTTTTTTACTAATTGGACCACCACCAACGCCAGTCAGGAACACTCTTCCTACACCCTTGGAAAGTAGCTCGGCCGCTCGAGGGTCGATGGATTGTTCGAGCAAGTTTGTGTTCTTGATGTCTGCCGATTCCCAGCCCTCGGTTGCGGATGTCAAGATAGACTTGAATGTTCCCAGGACGCAATCAGCATCTTTTTCTAGGTAGTATATGACGGCATTTGGGCCAGCATCAAAGGTATATGCACAGACTGAGCGTCCAGCTGCACGATTTATGTCATGGACAGCCCTGATCGCGGCACGAGACGTATCGTTCAAGTAGAAGGTTGGTGGCCAGGTATCCAAGTTTGTGGCATGGAAACCATTGCTGTCTCTCATTGTGATTTCTGCAAAGGTCTCGAAGTTGCGCTCCTGGATTGACTTCTCAATTGCAGTCATACGTTCCGGCACGATGGACTGAGCACGGCTGGGAAACAGGGTTGATGTAGCAACGGTCAACTGCATTCCTTCTGTGCTTGGTACTTCTTTCTGTGCACCACTGACCACCAGAATAAGGGCTCGCATCTCTGGCCAATGACTCTCGGGGGCAACTTGTTCGGCTATACTGTCACTGCCATCCTCCTTTTCGCCAGCTCTCCATGCAACGTATCCACCCATTAGCGAACGACAGGCAGAGCCGGATCCCTTGCGGGCTATTTTGCTCAATTCACTAGCCGACTGTGGTAACTGGTATAGATCCGCAACAGCGCGTACGAGAGCAGCAAATCCAGCAGCTGAGCTGGCCAGTCCAGCTGCCGTGGGGAAATTGTTTTCAGACACAATGCGGAGTGGATAGGTAGAGAGCTTGGGTAGAGATGGGTCCGAGGATTCAATTTGTTGTCTGAGAGACCTTAGGTCTGCAAGACAGGCAAGAGTTCGCGGTGAGCCCTGGATGCTATGTGGTTTGTTGTTGAGGGTGAGGCTGTCGCCGTCTGCGGTGGGGTACTTTGAAGAGCATGATGCCGTGGTGTATGCGCGAAGAGAGCTCTGGGACAGTGTCACCGAGAGTGAGGAATTGGTAGGCAGATTGAGAGTGGCGTCTCTCTTCCCCCAGTATCTGTACAGGAAATTGAAGGTGGTTAGATATTGTCCATGAACGGTTTGCTTCTCTGCTTCACTCCCGCACCGGTCAGAGGCTCTGCTTACTTGATAACAGCAATATTGACCGGCGCAGTTGAGCTGGCACGGTAAACTCTCTGGTCATTAGCTGCAGCCATCTTCGGTCTCCTGGCCGTATGGATCAATCCTGTGTGTAAATTGGAAGAAGCCTGCGGGTAAAGTTGGGGTGGTAGTTACTTGGTTGGGTTTTGGGTCCTTTTTTTTTTTTTTGGCGGGGTTGGGATGAAGGCGTTCGGAGGGAGCAGACCGACTCCAAATATTCAACCAAACCTAGTGGTTGCTAATAACGCTACTATTGATTGACCTGCAGACGCCTTAACCAAGTGATTGAGCGAAGAGTGACTGTTACGTTGATTGGTCGATGGAGACCTCCAGTAAGTGACAGCTGTATTCATATGCTACGAATAATCCATTGACCTGAATGAAGGATTTGGATACTAGTAAGTCAACACCATCAAGCCTGCGAGGCAAAAGACACAGATTAGTATAAATATTCGAGGCATTTTTGATAATTCCTCTCTTAGAGTGCCGACATCCATGAATGGCTTGGCTTCGCCTGTTCTGCGGTCGAGATACCCGCCACCTTCTATGGCCTATGCGGATTCAAATTCACTCATAGAGTCTGGGTTTTCGGAGGAATCAGCATAGAGGTCCCATGAGGCTGAATATTTTAGCAAGACACCATGCTGTCTGATTATTGTCAACTGCGTCTCCCCGCCTTTGAGGCTGGAGTATCATGCGATTGAGCGTCCTTGTAGTTTTTTGTCGACGCCCTCGGAAAAGGCGACAAATCAGTGAGCGGCATGGAGGATTGGATTTCAGATATGAGTCTTCCAGCATACCGTCATCTAAATCCCCAAATTTGACAGTAGGCCTTGCTGATCCGAAGCTTGATAGAAATATGTTGTGTGGATATTCGTCTATCTGCATGCTTTTAGAGTCGGGTTTAGGAAGTTTGGGGAATTGGCCAAAGAGACAAGCCGGCGTGAACGCACTGGGTGTTCTGGAAAACTAGATGCGCTTTGAGGACCGATTTCGTAAAAATGGCTGGTAGATTAGAGTTAGAGAATAGTTCCCCATACGCGCAGTCACCACAGTCACCACATATCCAGTCCATCCATTCGAGACTATGCGCTTGTTCATGGATAGCGGCGAAGAGGACTAATCTTCCACATAGCCCTCCTCAATAATATCCATAGCTTAGGGAATATATCTGCATTCCTGTATTGCCGAGTGCTGGTGCACTCGTAGCGAGCGGTCTAACGCCCGGCCTTTTATTGCAACGCTGCTATGCCAGTAGAGAATTCAAATACATCAAGGTCTGCCGACTAGAGGATAGTTTGATATACAATTTATTGGCTTCGGGCTTTCCTGATCGCAAAAAGGTGGTATAATGGCAGCTTTGTAAAGTGATGGCCCTTTGAGAATCTCAAGGAGCTTGTAAAATGACTTTCGGCTAGTCAATGTATGGCTGATAAGTTTGCCATATAGCCAAAAATTGCAAAAATTGCATTTGCGAGAGATCTTGTTACTTTTCCAATAAACCTGTAAACAAGCAGTAATATTTGATAGAGAGATGAGGCTGGAGACATAAACACTGGAAGGCTCAAGGTTTGTGAAGTTTAATATACAACCTTATGATTAAGCTAGAGCTTAAATTGACGACATGGACTATATATAATCCGTAAATTGAAGTTAGAGGTACCTGCCCGTAGGAACCTTTATTGGCATTCCAGTGGTTACCTAGGCACTTGTCAAGAGAAGTTGGGCGCTTCTTTTTAACCTGCAGCTATCGGGAATGGAGTAGTTGCTTATCATCAATTACAATCCTCTGCACCTAGTTACGACTGATAACCCTTTTCCGCGATTAACCCAGCCATGGGCGCCAGCGTTAGCACACCAGTTCCACCTCCAGAGACCAAGTCGGCGCCTGACGGCTGTCCAGTTGACCACAAGACTCGAGAGATCTGGCTGGCTCAGAACAAAAACCCCCCACCGCACAATATTCCTTCTGAGACCCCTAATGAACGTCCAGCTAAGCTTCAAAGGGCTCTTTCTACGGACCGCGAAGTCAGTAGTATCCCACGCGCATTACCATCTAGCAAACCAGCTTCTGAACGATCACCTCCTACATCTCCATACGCGCAACAACCAGCAGTAACGGTTGCATCACACGGAATACCCTCAAATGCGGAATCTGAAACGGGCACCGATGGCAAAACCGGGAACTGGATATATCCGTCTGAACGGCAATTCTTTGATGCGTTGATGCGCAAAAATAACACTCCGTCGTCTACCAAGAATGCCACTGAACTCGCTACGTCTGTGGCATCGATAATACCAATACATAATGCTGTGAATGAAAGAGCTTGGGCGGAGATATTAGATTGGGAGTCAAAAGGGCCTGTGTCAGATCCTGGAAGCACAAAATGCGGCGGGCCAAAATTATACTCATTTCGGGGATTAGGTGCCGAGACTCAATATCTGAGCCCTCGTGCAAGATGGAATGGACTATTGGGTTATCAACTTCCTTTTGACCGGCACGATTGGGTTGTTGAGCGATGCGACGGCGCAAGGTTAGAATATGTTATTGACTTCTACCAAGGAAAGTCCGATCGGAAGGGAGATGGAGGGAAGCTGAACTTCTTTCTCGATGTTCGGCCGAAATTAAATTCATGGGAAGGTTTAAGAATGAGAGCTAGCCGGTTCGTGGGCCTATAACTGGCTGCAGGATTTGCGATAATGACACTAAGGCAATGGCGCCTGAGATTGTAATATATGTGTAAGATATGTATATGTACGGAAGGGGAAAAGCAAAATATCTTAGATGATTCAACTCCCGTCACATCACGGCCAAAGCAAGTGGGGTATTAATATAGCTGATGAGCTCTAGATCCATAGCAGATCAGGAATGGTAACATATGAAATGTAAAACAAGTGGTAAATAGAACGCATGCGCCGTAAACGCCTCAGCAAGCAGTATGGGGAAATGGTACAAATCGAAGACTTGACTAACCAGTCTACCTTAGTATCGGGTTACTCAACCCAGTACAACGGCCAACACAATGATAACTAGGATGATAGCCATGATAACTAGCAGGCAGCACATCTTGTTTCGAGCATTCTTCTGATGCCTGCTCGCAGTCCGAAGTTCCCGCTCTGCTCCTCGCGTGTCGTCTCTTGTGTTGTATACGTTCTCGCTGATTATGTCGATTTGTCCACCTTGTTCTCGAACAATGTGGCCAACATCTCGGAATAGTTCGTTGAGTTCCCCGACACTCTGTTCAATGTTCCGGATTTCAGCCTCGCGTTCGATAATGAGTGCTTCTTGGAAATCAACATCATCTTGCGAGGCGAGACGAGGCTGTTCCTGGAGTTGCTGTAAACCCTGATTCTCCTCGCCTTCAGGGACAGTGTGCGCAGTAGACTCCTCTATAGCTGTTCGTGCAGCTGCAGTGGATGCACGTTGTTTCTCAAGGGTGCGGCGCTGGACAGCTTGAAATTCATCAAGAGTAGATTTGAATTTGGATGAAAGGTTGTCTTGGGTCCACTTCTGAGCGGGCTAGGAAGGCTGTCATATCAGTAAAACAGAGCACAACATCGTAACTATCAAGTGCATTGCCGATTGCGCTTACAGTAACATCCTCCCATGCTTGTATCTTCTTGATCCCTTCTCCGGCCTCCCGGAACCCCTCCCTAGTTTCCTCTAGTAGGTTGTGTACTCGCTCTCTCGCACGGTCTGTATCACGCTTCGTCCCAAGAAGCGATATTTGGTTGGATAGCCGGGTGGTATTAGAGGTTAAAGTGAAGATCTTATTAGAAAGAAAGTCCGTCAAGCGTTGAAATTCCGGGTCGTCGTGATACTCAGAGTCCGCTTGGCGCCTGCCTGCCGGCTGCGCTTCCAGGGATGACAGTCTATCGAACGACATCCCAGCTATTATGTGAACCTGAAGCGAAGATAAGAAGGCAAATGGGTAGGAAGGAAAGAAGCCGAGATGTGTGTTATAGAGATGGATGGAAGAGCGAGATGCGAATTGTTGCTTGTTGGTTGGATGTTCCTTGAGCCGGAGCAGCGAGCGTCATCATAGACATGAGACGCGTGTCATGTGACAACTGGTAATTGGCCAGGCTTCCCGCCGCTTAACCTTCCATTCTTGTTCCAGCCCCCATTTATCAATCGCGAGTATAAGCGCCGTCTTTACCGCTAAGCGCCACAACAGGCTATCAAGGGAGACATCGGAGCGTGGCTGGAGCAATGTATAGAAGTATGCTGGCTGCTTGGGGTATTGCCAGTCTGATTAATAAGTACGGCTACATATTTTGACAATACCCGCTGTAGACCTAAAACGACCGCATGTGCCATTTACTCTTAGCGATATCGTAACCCCTACCGTTAGCATTGCTGGGGTAATAATGCTGTTAATCAAGCCGATAAGTTGAGTTGCTGCAGTATCCAGTAATAGCATGATTAAGCTCGCCAATTACTTGTATCTCTTCGACCATATTCCTCCTAGAATGCTGAAAGACAGGAAGTAGCTTTGACTTACATAATCAGGTACATCCTGCGCCATATGAGGCTGGCGCCGAGCTAAGTGGCTTTCCTTGTTGACTTGCCTTCCGCGAGGAAAAAATAAAAATAAAAAAAAAAACAGCGAGTTCGTGATGAAGAGCAAACCACAGAGCTGTTGAAACCGAAGCTCATTACCAATTTAAATCTATTCCTGGACTAAACCGACGGGTACAGAGTACTGCCTACGCTAGTTGCTCTATGTGGATGTTTCAGCTGGCTATATACCATTAGCCTCCAGCTCCTTTTGTCTTCCAACATCAAGCTATGCGATAATCACCAAACTATCTCCTGCGCGAAGCTCTCCAACCGCCATGGCAGCGCCCGTCAAGTCAAGGCCGTATAGACGGATATTAACGTCTACACTTCATAGAAGATTTGTACACGCTTCAGCTTTTGTGCTTCTTGCGTGTTATGTGATTTCATTTTTCATTGGGGTTAAGTCATCGTGTAAGTGCCAGTTTGGATGCGCATTGCCAGAACTAGAACATCCACTAACTACTTCATCTCAAGTATTTTGGTCATGGTTTCCTCTCGGGCCCTGTGGAGTTCGAGCTCTTCTTCTCTTCGTTTCGGGGCTATGTGTGTTTATACTACGGGTCGGGCAGATGCACGTTGGTGCGCGTATCGCAACCTCTCATTTTCACAATCTCAGACTTGCTATCCTCTCTTTTAACTCCATACAAACCGTCGTCTGGTACCTGTTCTCGGCATGGTGGTTTAGCGAAGTCTATAAATGGTCTTCCTCGGCCGATGCTCAATTGAACTGGGTGAATCCCGGAAAGTAAGTGATGAAAACGGATACGTTAGCCTTGATTAAGGACTGAATCTAACACTATGAGAAATCAGGTCATATGAACGATCACACCTGAACGAACGACCGATATATCTTCATTGTTTTTTCATTATGCTGGCTCTGGTCCAGTCATCAATACATCTCTACTTTGACATGGATGAGGTCCCTGTTCCTGTTGCGAAGCGAAGTCCCTTAACGACCAGCCGGAGAACGCATCGACTGGCCCCTCTCTCTGTGCAGTTTAGCAACATTGCGCCAAATATTCTATTTGAATCGGCCATAATTGGCTCTGCGACTGCAGTTATAGGTCCAATACTCTACATGCTCTTCTTCCGTCGGACCGCCTGGAGCTGGACACTTTACTTTGCAAAGCTGTTTTGGAACTTTCCTCGATCAGCAGCTGATCCACCCGGTCTACTTCCACCGTCCAATATAATGTTCCACCTGCGGTCTGCGACATCAGGGTCCCTGCTTGTGATGCTATGGCAGATATCAAATTTCTTGTTCTCTGCATTCCTGGGTCAAGCGCCGCTGAAGAAGGGCAATCCACTCACACATGGTGCAGCAGACCCTAATGGAAGCCTTATTAATGGACTTAAGTCAAAAAAGGAGACAGTGCTAGCCTTTGCCTTTTGGGAGCTTTGCCTTATCAGCCAAGAATTTCCAGACAGACGGAAGGAAATATTCAGAGATATTGATAGAAGCGGAGGCTCAGCGTGGAGTCAGATATTAAAGGCATCAGAGGATATTCTCAACGGAATTACATCTAGAATACAAGAGTATCAAAACCCTCAGCCACAAGCTGCAGGCGCTACCGATGGCCCAAAGGAGTCTGGGCCAAAAACGCAGGAGATGGTACAAACTCTGCCTCGAATTACACAGCCATCCAAGAACGAGAATATCTTACTTGCCTCACCCAAACCCAACACTCGGTCGGAAAAATTTGAGGCTGCGTTTGGCCCCGTAGCTAAGTCTTATGGACAATCACAGGATTGGACGCCTGCAGCAAAGGCCAGAGCTCGTGCAGCTATCACTCACGCCTCCAATGCTCTGTTAAGCCCCGAGCAGAAGCGCACTATATCCAATTCGGCACAGGAATTAAAGCTCCTGACGAGTCCTCCGAGTGCAAGCGGTCCACCTAACCCCATAATACAACAGTTCATGAAGTCCCCAGTTGGGTTACCTTTCAGGCAGTCATTCGCGAATCGCCTACGAGGGATTGCACTAGGCTCCCCGCATTCCAAACTTGCACCTATTATTGATGCTACGGAGTCTCTCAAATGCCTGCTTATAGCTAGTTTGGAGGAAGATCAGTTTGGCAAAGTCCAGGCTGATGTTCCTTCTGTGGTTAAGCTGTTTACAAAAACGATCATGGTTCTAGAGTCACTTGTTGGTAAGGACGGGCTGAAACCCCACTGGAGCGAAGTTGACTCAGAGAGCTTGGATGGAGTGCAACATTCGCGATCAGTAGAGCAGGTTGAAATTGTGATTAATGCTCTTAAAAATGGGTTATCGGAACTATTGGCGGCGTTCAGCTTATATTTGAACGAGGTTGGTGTTGTAGGACAGGATTTGCAACTAGCAAGAGAAGCAGCGAAGATAACTGATGTATAAATGAGAGCAATGCTAGATGTTATAATACCCTTTATTCAAATCATCGACAGATTCGTGTTCTTTCATAGTAACCCTATTTACTGTTGTCATTTGTAAGCCGTCAGTGGATGTTGCAACGCATAGTATTTTGTCAAGTAATACTTATTTCAATAAATATTATACTAGTTCCGAAGGAATATCATTATTTACTAGCTATTTCTAACCGAAAATAATCGAAAGCAGTTCTTGCATAGTGGTGTAACAAGGGAACAGCGGCCTATAATTAGGTTTATATAGGCCGCTAGTTGTGATTATATACATGACTGAACATTTGAAGCCATAATCGAATGAAACAAAACTCATAATACTGCATTTCCAGCAACACGCAACAGCCATCTTACATCATTTGCCCAGCCGCCTTCTTCGTCCGCGGGGATAATTTTCATGGTCGTTGAAAATATCTCGGTGTCAGAGCAGGAGCCATCATTTTTTTCCGTTCCTGAGTCAGATGCAGTTTCTAGCTGATCTGTAGGGTTTAGCTCAGTTGTTTCTTGCGTGTTGCTGTCAATATTGAGGTTTGTTCTCTGTCCCGGCCGGTAGGAACCATGAATGATAGGTGGCTGGACTGATTCGTCTTCGGAGCCAAAAACGGTCCATTCAACTAACCTATCTATCCATGAACCTAAACCGAAACCACGCTCCCGAGTGAGACGGTGCACCTCAATTTCGCTAATCTCTTCGTCTTCAGAATCATCCTCGCTTAAATCAGATTCATAGTATTCCTGAGATGCAAATGGAAGCGTGCTGGTTTGCCCAGTTTCATTATTGTCGGTATTGCCGTTTTCTGGTAAATGGGTCTGCAAAGCAGCTAATTCTTCCCGGATTGACTCATCTAGAAAATCAGGAACCAGCCCAGGAATGTCCCTTGATCGAGGGGTAACGATACCGGACTGATGAGAATGCCCTGTAGGGAAAGATGGTGTCATAGCAAGGTCAACTCGACTGGAGCGTTTGCTTGCTGCATGTGAATGTGAACCCCTCCTTGACTGGGCGAGAGGAGTCGACATCCGCGACCGGCGACCTTGAAAGTCCGATCTCCCACGACTATGGGTTTTCCGTCCATCTTCGTCATGTGAAACGAGACTTGTTGAGCTTTCTCGTTTGACTAACCATGACTGGCCCTTTTCTTCACGAGTTGATGACGCCAGCGCCAATCCAGTCCGTAGTATCCATTCTCCATCTTGGATCCGGGGTGTGGATGTTCCACTAGATCCCATCATTCCGCTTCGGGGGTTGTAGCTCTTAGATCGTCTGTGATGGCGAAGTTGTTGATGATGTAGTGGCCCTGCAACATCGAGTGCATATAAACGTGATTCACTCAAAAGCATTCCTTGAGAGTCTTTCTTCTTTCTCGCAAGGTCCGTCTGGGAGACATTTCGCGATTGAGATAGAAGTGACGGTGTTGGAGGTACAGATACACTGGAGAGATATGAGCTGGTCATAGTATGGGGCTGATATGTACTCTGCTCAGTGTCTATTCCCGCTCTATCTCTGTTGACAAAGGAAACGGGGTTTTCATCCTCGGTATCATCGAGAGGGAACCGGGAACTTAATGGTGCCATGGAAATGTGTTGTAACGATGTGTGGGAGCGGCGGGAGCGAAATCCACACGATTTGGAGCCGGGTAACGACTATTTAGAGATGTTGGGTGTTAGATACTCTTATACCCTACAGCACATGGGTATTACGAACCTCCATCGTGGTAATTGTAAAAGGGCCTCCTGTATGTAGAGCTCGGCCCAGGGGAATGAAAATACTCAACGACCGCTAGTAGGAACAAGTCTTGCCCAAATTGTCAATAACCAAAGAGACTTTCAAGTAGTTGAGTCCTTATCTAGTCACAGGATAAGTTGAATGAGGTCCTCAGGAACTTTTGATACAGGTTTGGACGTGGGGAGAAAGCACTAGGCGCTAATCCTAAAACGGATAAAGCCCCATAGAGCGCACGGACCATAAAGTCTTATCGATAAGCACCCGACAAGGGAAGAGCACGTGAAGGTACCTAACAAGCTGCGGGTGAAATGAAGAAGATGGCATTGTAGCATGAAGGAGGGCTTGATGGATAAAAGATGTAACTAAAGAGAAAACAAACGCTCTGACACCAAATAATCACATTTCTATTACGCTCTGCCCTTTGAAGTGGCACTTTAGCGCAGCAAGATCCAAAAGGCGAAGGTTCTAGCACAAAAGGAGTCGAGTAACACTCAGACAATTCGGCCCTTCTGCACTACGAAGGATTGAATAGCCGATATCGCAGCCCAGAGTCTGTTCTCAGCTTCTGGGAACACCAGGGATCGCTTTCCATAGAAAACCTCATCACTGACTTCCTCGGGGTGCCGGGGCAGACAGTGCATGAAACGCCAGCCCTCGTTAGCTCCTCCACGCCTTGCGAGTTCGCTGGTAACCTGGAAATTTTCGAACGCCTTCAAGCGCTGTAGTTTCTCTTCTTCTTGTCCCATTGATACCCACGTATCAGTTACAATCACATCTGCCTTCTTGACCGCTTCTTCGGGCGAATAGGTCTGCGTAAGGGAACCGGGAGTTTGGACACCTTCCCCTGCATGTTTGACTAGGTCAACAATATGAGTGGGCATCTCATAGCCTTTGGGAGTGGCAACAGCGACATCCACACCCATTTTAGTTGCTCCAATGGCGAGGTCAAATAGCACGTTGTTTGCATCTCCAACCCATGCAATCTTCAACCCTTCGAGCCCCAGAGAGGGCGACGTACTCTGACCTGGAGTCAACTGAGGTGCAAAGGTTTCTTTAATTGTGATGAAGTCGGCTATGGTTTGCAGTGGATGGAAGGTGTCGCACAAAGCATTTATCACCGGAACGGCTGAGTGCTTGGCGAGATTGGCCACGTCGGAGTGTGGACCAACACGGGCAACAATACATGATACCATGGAGGAGAGAACTACTGAAGTGTCGTAAAGAGACTCATTAACCCCTAATTGGATATCATCTTTTCCGAGAAACATCGGATGACCACCCATCCGTGTCACCGCCGCTTCGGTGGAAACTCTAGTTCGCGTGCTCCGCTTGTGGAAGACCATGGCAACCGTTTGGCCTGATAATGCACCTCTGAGAGACTGCGGGATTGACCCGGATTTGATTGCCTGCTTATGGGACAGGCCATTTCGAACTAGAGCTGTGAACTCAGCTGGGGTAAGGTCTGCTATCGAGAGGAGGTGTCTGGGTGGTATGGCCGAGGGAGTAGCGTATGTTCGAGACTGAAGCTTTGCAACGTGCCCAATGCATCTTCTTCGAAGAATGGAGTGCATATTTATTCGATCTGTATATCTCCGAGTTCAATCTGACGGTCTTGATTGCTCACTTCGAAGTTATTGCCGTGACAGCAGGGGTACTTGAAGTCAATAAATCAGAGCAGTATAGAGAACAACTCCCGGTCAATCGGACTAAAGAAAGGACAGTCAAAAAGGGAAGCGAAATGTTTTAACTTGCTCAGCTGTCCTTTCTCAACGTTCGTGCTACTTCAAAAGAGTCATCAAGCTTGACAGAAAGAAACACTTCAATATTGGGTTTCATTATGTAATCAGAATAATAAAGTGGAGCCCCAGTCACGCGCGCGCTAACGCAAGCGGGAAAACCGCAGCGGCGCTTCTCGGCCCATTAGTCCTCGTCGCTTGTCGTCATCGAGCAGTTGAGAGAGACAACATGCAACCCCGGAGTGTTGAAGGCTATGGAGTGTTTGGTTCGATAAAACATACCTGAGACCGCTCTTAAGACAGATAACGATGACCAACACTACGGTCAGCCCTCCGCCAGGGGAATGGCAATCTCCACAGCCATCTAGCCACCGGGAGGCTGTGGTAGCCCACGATCACGACCCAGCTCTGTCGGAAACCACACCACTACTTGCACACAGACACGAAGGCCTACAGGAGGACGAAGATGATTCCATAGACTCGATATCTCAGCAGAAGAACCGTGGGCTGCGATGGCCTACGGTGATCGCACTCGTCGTTCTCTGTCTCTCAGTCATTGCCATTCTAATTCTGAGATTTGCCGCGCCATCAATGATGAAACAATATGCCCAAGAAGCCACAGTTTTCAAGCCAACCGGCCTCTCCATCACAACTTTTACTCCCTCTGGTATAAAAACGAGGGTGCGTGGTACCGTTGTTTTGGACGCATCTCGTGTGAAGAACCCAACTGTCCGAGACCTTGGCAGATTTGGAACATGGATAGGGCACGAGGTCGAATCTGAAAAATCAGAGGTGGACATATATCTTCCAGAGTATGAAGATGCTCAGCTAGCCACTGTTACTCTCCCTCCGATCAAAATTAATATTCGGAATGGATATCTTAATGAGATCGATTTTATCGCAGAGATTGCAACGGGTAATCCCGATGGAATCAAAGGGGCCGTCAGTGACTTGATTGAGGCCAATATCGCCCAATTGAGCCTTAAAGGAATGGCGAGAGTTCCGTTGAAATCTGGTCTTTTGTATTTGGGGTCACAATATATAACAGAGACTGTGGTGCTGCGAGGTCTGGTGGCCCGTCCCCCCTACTGCTTTTTGATATTCCCTCGTTCTCATCATTTTCATGTTTCCTTTAAGGACTCAAGGACATAAAAATTTGCCTGACCAAGTGCTAATACTGCCTTTCAGATTTCTCCGTTCTCCCCGATTTCAATATCACAAACCTGGACATCCATGAGAGTTCGGGCCCTGGAAAATCGAAAGCCGTAGTTGCTGATGTGGCCGTTGCAATTTCTAATCGGTACCCCATCCATTTGCAATTACCACCAGTCGAGTTTGACATATTCGTCCCTAGCTGCACCCCCGATGAAGCCTACATTATGGTGGCGAATGCCACAACCGATTCAGTGAATATTGAGCCAAGAAAACCTATAACCATATCTATGCATGGCTTCGCCCCTAAGGTTCCGCAAAAGCTTATTAGCAGCTGCCCTGGGACTACAGCATCACCGCTTGATTTATTGATAAGTAAGTACATTCGTGGGCTCGTTACCACAATTTACGTTCGTGGAGGATCGATGGTCTCCCCAACTGTCCCTCAGTGGTTACAGGAACTGCTGAATAGTGTTACTGTTCCATTCCCTTTTACCAGCCCAGGATTTTCACGATTAATCAAACGCTTCTCGATGAAGAACGTTCAGTTTTACCTTCCTGACCCATTTTCAAAGCCTAATACCCCAGAGTCTATGCCAAAGGTTTCAGCTTTGGTGCAGGCTGTCGTTGGTTTACCAAGCCATCTTAATGTTCCTGTGAATATTTCACGAGTTCGTACTAATGCTGATGTGTTCTATCATGATCACAAACTTGGCATTATCAACATCAAGGAGTGGCAGAATGCAAGAGTTCAACGAGCCGTGGATGACGCGGATGGAAACCCAATAATGGTAGTAGAGTTCGACATTCAAAAGGCACCCCTGCAGGTTACAGATGAGGATCTCTTATCCGAAGTCTTACAAAAAATGCTCTTCGAACGCCAAGGTATCCCCCTTCGAGTCGATGCCCATGTCGACGCAGAGCTGCAGTCAGCCCTTGGCGAGTTTATCGTCCGAGACATTCCTTGTGGTGGGAATATTATTGTTCAACGTGAGTCTAATCTACTACAATAAGAGGCACAGGAAAGATTTCTAGTACTAACAGCTCTAAAGCACCATACGGCTCCGGCTTTACTCTCAATGATATAAATCCTCATATGCAGTCTATCAAAATTATTGAAACCACGAAGAACAGTGTACTCTCCCGGATTACTGTGGATTTCACCAATCCAACCAATTATACTGCCCATATGCCCTACTTTGACATTAAGTTGGTTCACAATTCAAGTGATGTTGCGCATATCATCGGGCACAACCTTCATATACACCCAGGGCAGAATACAAAAGTCGAGATTGATGCGCTGTGGAACCCCTTGGAATCCGGTGGTGAGGAGGGTGCAACAGCAGGGCGGGACCTCGTGTCAAAATGTGTCTCGGGTAACGTCCATCGATTTGAACCACTTTCTAAATAAAGAATCTAACCGCTTTCCAGGGAAAAACACAACCGTTGCCCTCAAGACCTATACAAACACTATCCCATCACTTCCTCGACTTGGCGCAGCGTTGTCCAGGTTTGAAATCGAAGTTCCTCTCCCTAGGCTACGCCTTCCTGGTCAGGGTGATGGAAATAGCGGACCGCTGATCAAAGATGCAACGGTATTATTTTCCCTTCTCCAGAGTTTTAACTCCTGATTCCCTACTCTCCGCTGCGGGACTGTTTCCGTCACCGAGCCGGAGTTCGGGTTGTGCTGGTTTAACATCATTCTTTCCCCCGCTATGCCGAACCGTATACCTTCCTGAATGCCGTTTTTCCTTTTCCTTATTCTTGGATGGAAATCTCTCAGAAAGCAAATGTTTACTTGGCTCTCCTTCCGAGTAGTTACATCTTTTGACATCTACTGCCGACTTTACGATTATGTCGCCGCTCTCATCGAAGACTCTTTATGTCACACACATCAACGCTACATCGCTTTTTAACCACACCTCTCCTGTCGGTACAATTCAATATGATACACCTTTCGCAGTACCGCCAGGGTCATCTCTCTCGCCGAGACTTCCTGTCCACCCTGACCTGACCGGAGCAGGGTACCAAGCATTAAGGGATGCTCTGGGTGGATCCCTACAACTTGATTTATTGGCTGATATCGGAGTAAGACTGGGAGACTTTAGGCAAACTGTCGATTACACGGGTCGGGGAATAGGTATAAATGTGGGTTGGTAACATGCTGTGGCCCTTTGTTTCTTCCTTTAATGCTTCCTTGCATGCTCTGGTAAGGAATTTTTATGGCGTCTTGATGGCTTGGAACTCGTTTTTGCTTAGGGTATTCTGTCTCCTTTTGATCTATTTATGATGAGGTTATTTTGGACTTTGGGTACATTATTTTACGTGCAGAGTGAGCTTAGATGCTAGTCCTGACAGGATGCGAATAGAAATTCGGCTAGGGTCCTTGCGACTCATGAATGCATATGGCAAGAATGTGCCACTCCTGTCGTCTTACTGTTGACTCGAGATTCCTTCCATGCATTGCCGCTTAGCTCTCTCATAGTCGGCATCATTCGGATAAGCTGACCCCCTTCGGCCCGGGGATAACTATTTGCCAAGCATCATCCTTGGCATCAGTCTCAGAAAACAGCACGAACTTGGGAGGATCCCTGGACTCTTGGACGCAACACATCGAACTTTAACCGTTGCTTTCCACCGACAGCGTTTTATCAGATGACAAGCGCAGGGTTCGGTTTGTTCAAGCCACTGAGAGAGAAGTGCTGTCAAGTCCAAGAAATACAAGCAAGATGCACGATGCATGCTGCAGGAAACAAGCATGGCCTGGCATGCACTGCTATATTTACGACACAGCATTCAGGCCACGACATAAACGAAGTACGAAGTTCATACGACCGTTTAATTTAGTCTCTGGGTTGGTTGGTGGTTGTTTGAGTGCAATGTTGGCATGTCTCCATCAACCTCCTTTCCACTCTCCGTATTCCATCCTCGAAGGAAAACACAGCTTCGAGATCTGGAGCAAAGATTTATCGAGTCCACCACATACTATGTATGGTTTAACCAGGTTATTTTTTTTGAAGGGCCCTGGACACTGCAATGTCCATCCAAACGGTCTTGAGTTCTCCATCCGGTATCCTGCATGTTCAGGGTACAAAAAATAGAACCCTGGATTGTTGAGCATGGTCCGATTTTCGAGTATTGACCGAAATGCAACCGGGCCTTGTGGGGGTTTGTTCATTGTGAAGGAGTTACCTCTTCACTCCAGCATAGCTGAAAGCGAGAATGGGGACAAAATCTGACCACGCCCTCCCTTCGTATCTGCAAAAGTGTGGGAATATCAAGAAGCTTGACAATGAGGGACGAGGGAAATGAATGGCAATTTTGGATTAAGTACACCATAATTAAATACTAAATACCATGATCAGGATCCCGCCAAGAGGAATCTTCATCGATAACTAATGAGAATCAGTCGTCGATGAAATCCTTTCTCGTGGGCAAAAGGAACAATCCCATCGTATAACGCATTCTCAGCATCACCCCAACAACTGGCTATCTACGGAATGGCATCCTGCATGTCCACCCCGGTGGATGGGATGATATTGCTTTTCACATCTACATATTTCCCTTCAAGATGCTTGAAGACTTGCCACTACTTGACGCATTCGCTAACTTACGTTGGGTGGATCGACACAACGCAGGAGGTTTTGCTTCCGTTTCCTTCAACTCCGTTGAACATGTGCTCCATGCATGGAAAACATATCCCAGATGGAAGAGTCATGGTAATCCTTGATGATACACAGAAACAAGGGTAACATCATAGGAAACTTCCTTTTTCTTAAATTTTTTTCGGAAACGAGATAACTCATGCTAGTTACCTACTCGCGCTAAGTGTTTCTAACAAGAAAATTACTCTCAGTTGCCCGATAACTGCATTTTGGAATACGCATACGAGGTAGCGGTAATTCTCGACAGAAGGCAGTACATTCACCACATTTTGTTACGGCCTTGATTCTATCATGTCGTGGCGAAAAACCTTCCAATTGGAGAAATAGTGGGATGAAATAGTGGGATGATACCCCTGGAATGTTCATGCAGCCCCCCGGCTTGAAAGCGTGGGAAATTCTAATTTGGGACCAGAATGCCCTAAAATAGAAACTTGTGTTATTTACGGCTACCTTCCATTGGTCGCGTGTTTCGAGATCATGGCCACCAGCTAACTTCCTATCCATCTCATTCAAGAGATTCTGGGCAGCTTCTTGATCGACGTTATCCCAGCAGGCTTTCAACACTCTTGATATGAACAGGCATAACATGGATTGGAACGCTTCGGAGGCTAGATCACAACGAATGCATTGAGATGCCCGTTTATGGAGTACGGCCCGTAGGAATGCGCTAGGAAATTGATTTGTTGAGCAATAGGGTATCCGCTTTCCCATCAATGGAAATGCAACCTTCGTCTCACTCGCTTTTGCTCCCTACCCTGCATTCGAGTATGCAAGCTCAAGTCCGTCGTTTAGGCACCGTATTCCATTCCCCATCAGGAGCTCAGTCATCCTGCTCGTATGCCCTACAACCCGCCAGAGGGGAGGCCGATTGTGGCCTTCGGGGATGGATATGATATACCTGTATCCACCTTGGACAGAACATAAATATCATGAAGGCCCACCACCATCTCTCAATTCAAAGAGATCAAGATCATTAAATTCATATCGGATTGCCCTTTGGCCCACTCTCGCGATGAGGCTAAATTATCTTCTCAATATTGGCTTCTTTGCCACATGTACCTTTTCCCTATCCGTTCCTCGTTGGAAAGACACCCTCCCCGGCCCCTCGTTCAGTCCCCCGCCAAATGTTGACAGTAACAGCCGCGTTATTGAGTGCAAATACCCTTCAATGAAGGGCTGGGCAGCTGATAATGGCAGTAAAACTGGATGGTTAAAATGGGTTGGTAATGGGCCAGCACCTGCGCCAGGAGCATTCAATATTACAACCGATTATGAAAATATATTCCCAGAGGGTGTGACAAGGAAGGTAAAATTCGCAATCTATCTCCTTTACTACCCGTGTATCTTCAACTATGCAATCTAATCTCCTGGCCTGGTAGTATAATTTGGTGGTGGATGAAGGTACTGTCAATCTTGACGGAGTGACCGCAAACCATGCGATGCTCTTTAATGGCCAGTACCCAGGCCCTTGGATTCGTCAGTATTCCCTCTCGATTATTTTGGTCCGGAGCATTTATTAACATTGACTAGAAGCGTGTTGGGGCGACATTGTTGGTTAGTAACCCCAAGAATGATTCTGATCTCCTACAACCTTACTAACTCAGATCAGAAATAACCGTTACCAATAAACTGAAATACAACGGAACTGCCCTCCACTGTCATGGCCTCCGAATGTTCGATAACCTTCTAATGGATGGTGTACCTGGCGTTACACAATGCCCTATTGCACCAGAGGACACTTTCACATACAGGTTTAGAGCTACACAGTACGGTTCAACGTGGTATCACAGCCACTATTCTCTTCAGTACTCAGATGGCTTAGTTGGTCCTTTGACTATCCACGGTCCTTCAAGTGCAGAATATGATGCGTCCATTGACCCTCTCCTTTTGGGTGATCATCTTCATAGGAGTGCTTTCCAAGACTACTATAAAGTACAGACCAGGATACCCCCAGAAATGGACAGCCAGATTTTGAATGGAATCGGTATGGGATAATTCTAACTTCAACCTGAAGGTTTGATGCTGATAATAATTATAGGAAACTATAACAACGATACAACCCGGAAACCCTATAGCACACTTGTGAAAGCAGTGAGTAACTGTCTTGCTCGAAAACATTTCACCCTCAAAATCTAACATTGCTTCTATAAAGGGCAAAAAGTATCTGATGAGGTTGATTAATACATCCACCGATACCACTTTCGTCTTCTCGATTGATAAGCACAATTTTACTGTCATAGGTGCCGATCTTGTTCCGTTGGAGCCGTATGATACTTCTCACATCCTCATTGGTATTGGTAAGTGGCATTGCACTTTGTCTCAGAAGGAGTGAAAGGATAGGGAAGAAAGGCATCTAACACGCTTAGGCCAACGTTATCATGTCATTCTAAACACCCTACCAGACGTGAAAGACGGGGATTCTTTCTGGATTCGCATGGTACCTGCGGGAGATGGATGCAGCAGATTCCGGAAAGATCATGTGCCTGACGAAAGGATGGGGGCGTTGTACTACGGGAAGAAGACCAATGTGCTGCCCAAATCTGAAGGCGGTGGATACGATATCAGTTGCCGCGATGAACCATATGAGCGACTGAAACCAATACAGAAATGGACTGTACCAGATCCATTACTTGCACCAGACTTGATGACAAAGACGCAGAAAATCGGCATTGATATTTGGAACCCTCCCGGCCGTCCTACTGATGCGCCAAAGATTGCGAATTGGGGGGTTGGGCCCCAGCCGATGTGGCTTAACTACTCTAAACCCATCGTGAAGAACATGGACATCGAAGATTGGCCTGAAACTTGGACTGTTTACCCAGCAAACGACTATACACATGAGCAGTGGGTATACCTTGTCGTTACGGGGCAAGAAAAACAAGCAGAGCTTGCGAGAACACAGGCTCCAAATGCTCATCCAGTATGTCAATAATGGAAATCGTCTCATCACACAGGGCTATCAAACGCTAACATTATTAAAATAGCTACATTTCCATGGCCATGATTTCGCCCTTCTACAGCAGTCTTATGAACCATTCAACAGCAAGAATCTGAATCTCAAGCTTGATAACCCACCTCGCCGCGATGTTGTTCTACTTCCCAGCAATGGCTTTGTTGTCATTGCCTTCAAAGCTGACAACCCTGGCTCCTGGCTTATGCACTGCCACATCGCATGGCATGCTTCTGCTGGCCTCGCTCTTCAAATCTTGGAAGATAAGAACGACGTTGTAAAGTATCTCAAATCCCACCCTGAAGATGTCAAGGAAATGCGCCGGGTGTGCGACAACTGGGATAAATGGTACGGCAACGCTGAGAATCATTATCCCGCCGAATTCTTCCAGGAAGACTCTGGTATATAATAGCTCATTCCCTTCTTTTTCTTTCTTCTATAGTTTCTCTCTCTCTCTCTCTCTCTCTTTTTTCTTTTTTTCTTTTTTTCTTTTTTTTTTGATAGTATTGTACTTTTCTATATATCCACTTGATGTTATATTAATTCTGTAAGCTACCTAGATGATTAGAACATAACCTATCTACTTTTATATTCGATCAAATTATCTTATCAGTTTATCTATTTCGTGCTCTTTAAGAGTGAGTCTACGGATACATGACTATATGCATTCAGAGCGCATAAAGGACAAAATAGTTCTGAAGGAAGCAAGCTATTCACTAGTAAAATACATAAAACATGCTGTAAACTCGTGATGGGCATAAAAAACCGAAACATTCGAGGCGTGCGGTTATCAAATCATTGAATACATTATTGAAGTGGAAGAGGAGAAAGGAAATAACAAACCCAATTCCACCAGTTCAGTTATACACATATGTAGCGGGTAGTGGGCCAGTATATTCAAATCCAGCCACATCTGCCCTATAGCAAGATTTTGAAGGATCTTCAATACCGGGGACCGTTATATTGCTGAAAGGGGCAAATAGCTGGTAGTAGTCCTTGCGTAGCCGGGTGTTCGGGCATGCCCACCACCATGTCCCCGGTTGATTTGGCACGAAGACCCAGTCGTATGCGTAGTTCAGGTTAGCCATGTATGAGCCTGGCGGCATTGCAGGGTCAGATGGTGATGTATATCGCAGGGCACCGTCAGCGTCGAGATATATACGCTGGCCGCCATCAACTCCAACGCTCTATCCCAGCGATTAGAATGGGGAGATTGAAAAAAGGGCTGTTCATTGGAATGGGAATAGGGGAGGGGGGGGTTTAATTATAAGGGCATTTACCAAAGAATCCATTTTGCCTCCATTTAGAACTGTCTCTTTTATTTCAGAACAATTGTTATCGGGGCAGGAGGTTGACGGCTCGCCCCCTACCCAGAAGCGTGATTGGGACGCCTGGAGGTATTCTTCTCGAGAGGGATTCTTCTTCATAACTCTCATGGTGACAGCTTTAAAAGGAGCTTCCCAACCTGGGTCCCGCTTTTGTGTAGATTCATTAACTGGTACGGCCGCACTTAAGGCCAGGAAGCAAGGTAGGAGTAATATTGTCTTCATAGCTAATATGCTCGAGGCCGGAGGTCAAGATTCTAACTGCTTACGTGGGTATAAGATTGATTTTTCGAGGGCTTGATGCTCGATGGAGGCAGTTGTGGTGATATATATCCTCATCATCCATGCCATGTTGCAATACTGGATAGATCATGGGCTCCGAATTACTAAAAAATGGAATCAGGGAATGTCCTAGACCGAAGTCGTCATTTCATCTCGTGAGGAGAAGCTGGGGCATGGTTGTTGGTTTGCCCCTGTCACCACCGAATGAACATGCGATACAACGGGCATGGGCAGTGACGACGAAGGCAGGGAATGAGGGAAATGGATCGAAGAAAACAGTGCCGACCACAGCACCTAAATTTCTTTGTTTCCCGCAAAGATATTGAACTGGAGGGCCATTTCTAGGTTATTGAACGAAGAATGCATCTCCTACGGGGTACATGATTTGAGATATCTGTCCTGCTTTGTTCCATAAAAAGGAAAGGAGGTCGACAAAGCCGCAGGGTCAAGTGAATCGAAAATGCTTAGCCGGCTCCATCCCCCGCAGAAAGCAAGGCCCAGCAGAGTGCACCGGAAGGACGGAGCACGTAGCTCTTGTGTATATCCTGTTTATCCCTACAGCTGTTCCAAGACAGTGTTCTCCCCGCCCAGGATTGCCTTGTACTCCGGTTCAACAGGCAGAGAGCCGCCATTACTTAACCAGCCAGTAACTAGTTAAGGGGAGCGAATCTTTTTCCGGCTCCTGTATAGCACTTTAACAATATATTAGAATATGGGTCCAAAGCTGCTTCTCCTTCAGCTAGCATACGGGGGGAAAGAGTATGTTGATGGCGACAAAGAGCAACCAACTAGTTAACCAGCGAGTCGGCCGAATGTAGTTGACATCATAACCAGCCATGGGTGGTTCTCGTATGCCATGACCTGCATCCCTGGCAGCCGGGGAAACTGATACCCAAAGCCCAAGGACGAGTCAACAAGGCCATGAGCCTGGCAGTGAACATTCGCCTTTCCTTTGGCGATTGTGATAACTAGGGATTACTCCATAGAAATTTGTCTTCCCCTCACGCGGAGCTCGATGTTTCGGTGATGGGTGCATGATTCCAGCCCGAAATCCATCGATACCTGCAGGAGAAGACCTTGTCCTGACATGACGTGCTTGGGTAGCAAGCTGTTGATGGCATCAAGTATGCATATGCTGCGATAATCCCTCCCCTGGATGTGTTCGGCTCTGGGGATGTTCCTCTGTCCAAGCGTACGCTTCTAGAGACACGGCCGAGCTCGTCTCTTCCCCAGTTATTATTAATCGAGCCCGATGCAGGCTCACCCCAAGCTGTCCAGCATAGTCATATTTCGAATAAACTGACTGTTCGCTCAAAGAGTTGCGGCTAGGGGTGCTGCTCTGTGGAGCGGCCTGGATTTCCCTTGCTTATTTATGCGAAATCCCGTCCTTGAACCATTTCTCTTCCACATATGAGCTCACGATCATCTCATATACCATCTTCAAACGGCTCGAACATAGTAGTGACCAGTATAATAAAAGGCAAGCGGAAGTATACTGCTTAGCATCGGGCATACAGCTGGATACGGTGGATCTAGTAGTGCTACTCTGTTCATGCACCATCTGCTCTTCCACCCTGAGAAGAAGCTTTTACACAGCGAGACCTTCCGCATATTGGAAATGATCCTTTTCCATAAAACACAAATTTAAGAGGTGTACTGGTTTGCAGAGATGATGTTGCGAGAAAAGCGGTTGTGGCCGAACAGGGTATGCTGGCGATCAGCGGGTGAACGTTCCTCTCTCTCTGTCACACAGGTACATAATACCCTTCCGTGAGTTATTTTATTCAATCCAGTTGCCAGTTTCTCACAGATAATGCTCGGTTCACCAACAGGAGTAATGGCTAGCTAACATACAGGGGGTGTATGTAAAAGTATGTCAGCCTCGAGAGGTAGGTGCATATGAACTGACTGTGAGAATGCGAAGAACATCTCTGTTGCCTCTAAGGAGAAGGGTGATATGCTTCGGACCAGCCTGACCAGGGATATAGAATATTGCCAGCGTCGTCCTCAGTCGTTACCAGCGGGGTATTGAACACGACTGAAGGAAAGGCGCATATGTATGAAGGGGGGTCGAAGCAACAGCCAGTGAAAAGCTGCATGAATGAATGCACACGACGAGGAGACTCCCAAGTCGGCAAAGAAAAAGGGCGTTGTCAGCTGCTGGCAACAACCCCGGGTCCTCCTCAGGCATCAATCCGGACATCCAGCGCAGTACAGCCTGATACTTCCGCCGTCCTTTGTCCACGCCGGAGCCGGGAGTATGGAAGGGTATCTTGCAAGCTTGGCCTCTTCCCCCCAGAGGCTGACCTGATCGTGCATATGCTGGATGCCGCATACGTGGGTCGAATCAGTGAGCAGGAAATTCGGCTGCAGCTGGCGATCTGAGCGAGCTCGCGAGTGGTGGTTAATTTGTTAGTTATCGGCTTTCATGTCCGCCTGCTGCTTCAGCAACTTTCACACGTACTCCCTACAGCAGACACAAGGAGCTACCAGGCAAGCGAATATGCGCGAACTGCTCCTCCATCCTTCGCCTGCAGCGGCTGCACATCACATGTTGGAATAAGCACGATGGCTGCTCTCGTAATTAGCCTCAAACACGGTTGATGTCATTGTGCATTTCGCCGCAAATTGGCAAGCCACATCATCCCAATTGTACGTTTTTCCACGCGAGAATACGAGTATATCGACCCCGCCAGCAAGTATGTCTCTGGTGTTTTCCAATTGATCGAGGAAACATAGCATCCGGAGCCGTCGAAAAAGAGGCTCAGAGGTGTGCTGACTCCTCAGCCTTGGGCGGATGCTTCCGGGAAGTCTTTGCTAAGTTTCATGATGGTCTGTCGAGTGACCATTAGTTAACTGATATCTCATCTAACGGTTAGCTAGTGTTGAAGCCTTTATGTGGTAATAGAATACCACAAAAGCTGCATGGCATGTTGTACATACATAAACGAGGAGAACCTATTCTTAGATTCATCAATCCGGCATGCTCTCTCTACGGAGTAGTTGCACCGCGTGTTTGGCATAGATACGCAGCATGCAAGTCACCAGACGGCTGCAAGAATAACAACAGCTACGGAGTAGTTATGACTGATTACGGCAGGCAGTTGACAGGATATTGAAACCCACTCCGTCCCGCAAATATGATACCACGGCTCAGGTAGCACCGGGGTATCTTGTATCTACCGCCTCACCGCATGGTGACCGTCCCTTGGACTCACCGATATTGTGGTAGGCGTCCCCTGTTTAATATCTGTCAGAGTGGAGTATTGCGAGTGCTCTCAGTGGCCAGCTCGAGGACAGTTTGATACACACTTCGCCCAGTCGATTGGATGGCTAGCTAAATATTGGATTATCCGATATAATTAGTTAGCCATGGGCTGTATCTCCGGTCAGCGCATATTCTTTGAGATAACAAGGAGACGGGGACGGACTTACGTGTTTACAATGTCCACCAGAGCGGAATTGCAAGATATCAGAATAGGTATGAAAGGAATAAAAAAGCAAAGAAAAGGCGGCCGAGCAGTTCAACTAAATCCACTGCTCAACCGTCCCGGTAGGTCATGGAGACGCTCATCATGCTCGGCTTCAACGCTCATGGTCAAGGCCCTCTTCTTCTCGTCTCTCGTTTTCCTGCATCCTCCGCCTAAAGGAGAGCACAAGGCTGGCCCCTATCGAATCTTAGCCTCCGCCGGGGCTGAGCATATATACACAACATGTCTGTCTGTCTGCGTGTTATGCGTGTATGTATCCTGCATGTCACAACACGGCATCCCCGACCAGCGATCCCTCGAAACGCAAAATGCATGATATAAAAATAAGGATGCCGTTGAGTGGAGCAAATCTCTAACATCTGTTCGCCTCCGATGGCAAAGTGTTGTTACTAGTTAGTTAGTCGATGTAGTGAGATTTTAATGCCCAAGAAACCGGCTTTCTTTTGCTCCCTGACGCTATGTGATCGTTCCGTACGACCCATGACGTTTCTTGCTCCATCGTATCGTGTTTTTCTTTTATTTTTTTGGTCCTTAGTCTTCTATTTTGTTGCTGTTTGGGCGTTCGTTTGCTGTCATGGCCCCCCCCTTTTCTACCCACTCACCCCCTGTTTGGCTGGGTGGTGAGATCCGCCCTGTCCAGCATATGAATATATGCGGACGGAAATAGTTGTATATGGAGTACACGGGCAGGGCAGAGATATATAAATCTATATCTCCCTCCCCGGCCCACGGGACCTGGTCTTATTTTCGTTCCTTCTTCCGTTCTTCTTGTCTGAGGCGCTCACTTTCAGGAGAAATTGGATGACTACCCAGTTGAAGATACTATATCTCAAGGGAAAGATCGTCAAAGGGCTAGCAAGTATGGCTTCACTCGGAGAATATAAGTGCCATGTGTATTGGCTAAAGCTAACCTGGACTCAGATCGTATAGGCCCTGATCCATGAGACAGACAGCCGGGATTCAGCATTGATATCTCCAGAGCAGAGCAACAGAGCCTGTGCAATAATCGGTCAGCCTGACCAGCCAAATATTCCGCCATTTCAAGCCAACCCTAGGCCGCAAGAGAGAGCACGATATCTCTATATCCTACCAACCATGTGCAAGAAGCTGCTATACTATCGATGCGGTGCCATCGAAACCATCTTCTCTCGGGACTGCAACTGCTCGAGGAAGGTTGGAGAAGAGCATTCCCGTCTTCATTGTGGGATTTGCTCGGACTGCCAGCCTTGACAATAGAGACGGCCATTCAGTCGGGGGTGAAGACTGTTTGTGCCTCGCGTTGGGCTGTTCAACTGTATATGTTTTTTTATGATTAACGACTTTTCTTTTCTTGCTGTCTCTTGAGATGAAAGCCCCTGAGAGTGACAGGCTTCCTCATACCCTCCAGCCGCAACATCCAATGGCTGCCACTTTCTAGGTTTCTTGCTCTGTGTTTCCCATTCATTACTTTCTGAGCCTCTTGCATTTATACACCATTGTCTCTTTTCCTTACTACTTGATATACCCATAGTGTGCCTCGCATGCAATTTAGACCGCTCAGTGTTTTCCTTTTGCACTTAATATCGGTTCTCGGTCTAGAATTGTGCCTCGTATATTATATGAAAACAGTCCTTTAATGAATGTGACTTTATTGTGTTCTGCTTCATTATATGTCAATCGATAGGCACAATATTCATAAGAACTGGGTGTACGACGCTCAAGTTCTCCTTGGCCAGGGAAGCCAGGAGATATGGGATAATTCAAAAGTTCACGCTAACCCGACCTTTTAGATCTGACTGGGAAGATTTTAGAGATACGACTGGTTGCGAGTTTCCAGTAACATTCTCGCCAATAAAAGAGGGAATAAAACAGAAACGCCGGTAGGTATAATATTACATAGACCTAAGACAGAACCAGGATGGTAAAATAAAAGCCTGAGCAGAAGGTTGCGTTGTTTAACCGGGTGGTAGGGTGCTTGTATCGACAATGTCGGCAGCTTCTTTTTCGACCTCCTCAGCTGGCGAGGTCAAAGGAGAACGAGGCAGGGCCATGAGACCAGTTCGAGTAGACTCGAGGATACCAAAAGGCGAGATAAGCTTAAGGAACGAGTTGATACGGCTGGGTTTCGCGGAGCTAATGATAGAAAGTTAGTCATCAGACCGGTTTTCGCTTGTTCCGCCTAATTACAATTGAATGGAGGGCCCAGCTTACAGCTCAACAATGCAGTTGTTGGTACTAATATCCAGCACCTTTCCTCCGAACTGATGTGTCAGATGAGTAATAGCCTCTAAGTGCTCATGCTTATGTCGAAGAGCCTCACTGGCAGCCAGTCTATTTGGATGATAGTCGGCAATTTCAGACAGTGACCCGTCCACCTTGTGCATTTCTCGATGCTGAGCTTCTTCGGAGGACGGGTTATTGGTATCACTCTCGGGAGTAGACATTTCCTGGTGATGCTGAAGCAGCTCCTCAAAGACTTCGGGTCCCAGGATGCTGACCTTCGCCAACAGCAGCTCTCGCTGGACGAGGGCAGAGTCTGTGTAGTCTAGGACAGCCCAGACAGGGACAAGGTCGTCCAGCTGGCGGCGAGCCTGCTCGACAACGCCGTCCAAGCCGCGCAACACGATGGTCATTCTTGACAGGTCCTCGACTTCGGTATTACATACGACAAGACTGTCAATGTTAAAGCCTCGCGCAGCTAGGATCCCGGAAATGCGAGACAGCACGCCAGGTTCGTTCTGTACAAGGCAGTTAAGAACATGGCGCTTCGGAGGCTTGGTGGACGGAACAGGGGTCTCGTAAAGAATGGAGGACACTGCGGCGGGAGCAGACCATTGCGGCGATGTATCAGAGACGGGTAGCGGAGGAGGTGAGCGCCTGTGAAGAGCCTTGTACGCGAGGGCAGATGTTGAGCTGGATGACAGTCTGATCTGCTGCTGTTGGTGGTATCTCTGGTGATGGTGATAGCTCTTTAAGCTCAGACGCTGACATGGATTCTCGCCTGCAACCCATGCCAGGCGCAATTGGCCGCGACAGAGAGCTTTAGAGGCCATCGAGTTGATGCTGGACGGTTCAGCGAAATCCCACTCGTTCTCCAGGAGGAGCGGGAGACCCTTTTATCTCCTTCGCTTCGCCTTTTTGAGTCAGGCAGCTTGTGAGTAATAATAATAGTAGTTCGAATATCCATCTTATTTCTTTTCTTTTTTCTCCTATTTTGCTGGGCCGGAGCATGATCATGTGACAATGACTAAGAGCCGAGATCGGAGAAAAGAAGCTTGGCCATTTTAGGACTAGCTCTAGTATCATGTGATATTCACGTGATATTAATGACTAATCAGATCGGCCGACCAAAGGGAGAAAAAAATAAAATAAAATTAAACTAAAAAAACATCCAAGCTTTGATCGCGAGGGATGGAATTGATGAGAGAGAGGGAAGGAAGAAATCGTTTCGCAGGAGAGAAGAAGAGCTTCGCTCGCAACCTATTGGTCCATTTATACCTTTTGCCCAGCTCTGATCGTCGAAACGGCCAGAATGTCGGATAGTGACAGGCGAACTAAACGCTCTCGGTTTGACCAAACTGAGCCTGAACCAAAACGCCAGTCTCGATTTGATAGACGCTCGCGCTCGCCGTCTTCTCGAGCTTCAGAGCCGGTGCGGGATCGTAGCCCGATAAACCGTCGATCCAGCCCGGGCTCAGAGGATGCGAGCAAGCCCGCCACTCCCTCGGACCCGGCGGCCGCCGCTGGTGAGTTCGATCTGATATTGGCCCCGTTTGCTACATGAGAAATATATGATGGATTGAAGGCTGGATAGCTAACCATTATGATTGTGATTCGACAGCTGCCGCCGCGGCCAGAATAAAGGAGCAGATACAAGCAAGACAGGGTTATCAGCCATCCTCCACTCCGCCAGGACGCTCGGTATGTTCAAGCAGTAGTACCCTTGCACCTCCTATTTGGCTGACTGTTGGCTTAGGTTTCCAGCCCTTCTACAAAGGCATCGTCCTCGGTTGCTCATATAAATGGTGAAGTATACATGGCAGATGGCGATTACATCAAAGACATCGAAGTCAACGATCTCCGAAACCGATATACAATTACGAAAAGCACTACTCAAAAGATGGTAAATATCTCTACAATATATCCGCTGATATTCCCAGGCTCTTGTGTGGCTCGAGATATTATTCCCCTGGAACTAACTCCAAGTATGGGGCGGGGCATTACCAGCTACTCGCTGGGGGATGTATTCTCACTTTCTATCATGATTGATCTTTGATCAGCACGTCGTTGCGTCAACTTTTGTGATGATGGATGAAGCTTACCCACAATTCTTCATAGCACCTAACTCCCGCTATTTTGCATCTGCTGACCTCCGCTGCGTGATTTAGATTAAAGAAGAAACTGGCGCCGGTACGACAGTTCTCCTCCCACCCCGTTTTGCATTCTAGAAACAAACTTGTTGATTAAGAGAATATGCTCATTATTTTTGAAAAAGATGTCACCACTAGAGGAAACTATCTTCCGGATAAAAGCATGGCAACCCCTTCGGTAAGTCCTCGATAGTATACCCCCTGTTTCTGTTTCCATTTAACATTTTATATATGACCAAAATCTAACATTACTTTGTTAGAATCCGCCACTTTACTTGCATGTCACTAGCAGAACAAGAGAGGGCCTGGATAAAGCTATCAAAAAAATTGAGGAGCTCATGAAGCAGGAGCTCCCCGCTCTGGTTGATGAACGAAGATTCCGCCGAAGGGAGCCACCAGAGCGCGTTGAGAGGGATGAATTTGGTCGGGTAAGTTGGAAGCTATTGTAGCTAATATTACTCTCCCGACTCCAACGCTAACTATGGTATGTAGCCAAAATGGCCCGAAGAACGCATTCCAATTGACCTGGAACCCATCCCTGGCTTTAATTTGCGCGCCCAAGTTGTTGGTCAGGGAGGTCAATACGTGAAGCACATCCAGCAGAAAACTCACTGCCGTGTCCAGATCAAGGGCCGCGGATCAGGATTCAAGGAACATGGCACTAACCAAGAAAGTGATGAACCAATGTATTTGCATGTCGCGTGAGTTTTGCTAACGGTCTTTATTATCCCATTGTTCTTGTTCTAACATTTTCTTAGCGGGCCTGACCCTAATGAAGTCCAAAATGCCAAAGCCTTGTGTGAGGATTTACTCAGCAATGTCAAGGAACAGTATGAGAAATTCAAAGAAAATCCACCACCACAACGAGGTTACCACGGTGGCGGAGGCTACGGTCATCGCGATCGCCATCAATACGGTATGGGCTACTCATCCGGGGGCGGTCATCATGGTGGCGGAGGATATAACAATCATTCTTCTCCTCAAACACCATCGGGGATGACTCCGCAGTCTGGCCCTGGAACAACGCCTACTCCATCTGCAGGTGGCGCTCAGCCGGATTATAGTTCTCAATATGCTCAATATTATGGCGGCCAAGACCCCTATGCTGCGTATGGAGGATATCAAAATTATGTTGCTTATTATCAATATTACCAACAAGCTGCACAACAACAGCAGCAGCAACAACAACAAGCTGGATCTACCGCGCCTCCACCACCTCCTGAGTCCGCCGCGCCCCCACCCCCTCCACCTCCGCCTTCATCAGAAACGCCCCCTCCTCCACCACCGCCTCCTTCTGGCGGGTACAATTCTGTAAGTTTTGTTCAGCGACCTCGATTGATGCGAACTTACTCGCTAATGCTACCTTCTAGGTTCCACCGCCACCAGGTCTCTAGCTGCCTTTCATTCTAGATAGGTGTCAAGAATCTATTAAAGTCTAATAAAATTGATTATTGCACCTTTGGGATAATATGAAATGTCAGAATGCAAGCAATGTTCCAAGTTCCATTTGGACAGCAGGCCACCTTTCGAAGCCAACTTTTGTTTTGCAATTTTCCTTAAGCAAAAGGTTTAATATTCAAATAAATATAATAACAATACTCAACTCTTGCCACCTCGCAACGGATGGGCCCATTTCTTGGTATGGTAGATCTAATATGTGTTTACTCGGTATGTAAGGGGTTGCTTGTACCTTTCTCTATTAAACTTCTAAGTTCGGTACCCTTAGCACATAAGTTATAGATAGTATATTCAAAGGGAGAAAGCAGACCTAAAAAGCAAGTCAGGAACGTAGGCGTATAAAACTGAGAAAGTGTACAGATAGTATACCTAGATTCCGATATATTCTTGCTTATTGACCGACCATCTTTAACCCGACTACTGTCGAGCCTGCTGACCCACATTCCCAAGGCTTGTTCCCTATAATATATTTATACGGATCAGAGCAACGTGCCTTCTGTGTTCCAAGGTCATGTTCTAGAAGGGAAGTTGCAAATAGCCGCCTCCTACGCAAAGAAGAATGAATTAACTCCAAGTTACCATGGGAACATATCGACCAGGTAATTAGTCTCGCGTCTGGCCAGGTATGATTCCATAAAATGCAATAGATTCATCTTGGTGTAGACGGCGTCTTCCCCTTCTTCATTCTCGCATAGTTGGTTGGCACTTTTCAGCTCGGCCTTTTTCCTCTGTGCCAAAACAACACTGCCCTCTTTGCAGTGGTCGCATGCATAGTCACACACAGCAAGGCTCTTTGGCTTTGACTCAGATGATCTGCATGCAGTTTGAGACGATAGCTGGGGTCTATCCCGAGCAAGCTCCAATTCAAGGTCATCTGAAAACTCTCGAATCATAGCATGTCTGCACCGATCCGTTGTTTCACAATATTTAACAACTTTTGCAAAACTTCTTAGAATAGCTTCTGTATTTTGAGCTTTTGCTTCTTCCCGGGCTTTGAGTTCGGCAGCGGTGAGATGTTCAAAGGTCCTTTTACTTGTCAACCGGACTGTTTCGTTCGCGAAGTCTCCCGTTTGGCGGATTCGGTCGATTATTCTGACACATTCAGACGGGTTGTAATAGACGAGAGAAATAGCCGCACAACCGTCTCTACCAGCACGCCCAGATTCTTGCACAAAGCTTTCGAAGGTACGCGGCGGAGTCCAGTGTACAACAAAGCGCACGTTAGGATTATCTATGCCCATTCCGAATGCGTTTGTAGCAACAATAATGTAGAAAGCCGGGGGTGTAGATTTCTGATTTCGTGTATCAGCTATCTTGGTTGGATTTTTAGGTGGCGTTGCATTCTTATGAGGTGCCGCCCACATTGCTTGGATCCTCTCCCTTTCTGTAGGTGCAAGGCCGGCATGGTAAGAAACAGCTTTTATATTGAAACTCGAGTATGAGCTTAGAATGCTGGCGATAGCGCAGCACAGTGCTCTCAGTGGCACATATATGATCCCGTACATTGGAGGAGGAACCAGAGGACTTGCATTCATTTGACCCTGTGCATCATTGGTTAGCCGTGGTAGCCGGGACAGACGACGATGATGTATGCCTTTTAGCCACGATATAAGGTGGTCTATTTGGTTATCTTCTGGCACCGTCAGGTCGTAAGCACATTCTGGGAGATATTTCACTTCATAGTGAATGTTTGGTCTGGCCGATGATGTACTAAATTTCTTTAAAGTGCTTGTATCCAGCCCAAGAAGATTAAATATGTCATGACGAACACGAGCTGTTGCAGTAGCTGTTAGAGCAGTCATGGGTACGATAGGGTCCTTTAGTTCTCGCCTGAACCAGGAAAGGGCCTTATATGCAGGTCGAAAGTCATGACCCCATTCGCTAACACAATGAGCCTCATCAATTGCAACTCTTGTGAGCTCCCCTTGTTGATGTACCGTTGAAATACTTCGCCTGAATGTTTCAGTCTGACAGAATTCTGGGGTAACATATAAAAGGCGAGTCACTGGATGTCCTGACAAAATGTCCGCAAGGATCTCCTTGCGTTTGGACCCTGAGGTTGTAGAATTAATAGTTGCGACTGGTATTGCTCTAGCCTCAAGACTCGCAACTTGGTCCACCTAGGTAGCATTAGAAGTGAGATATTTGCCTAGGATTATCCGCAGATCTGTTTAATACAACGTACCATCAACGATAAGAGTGGTGACACCACAACAGTGACTTTAAATGCATTCTTAGCCACCCTTCCTAGACGATAACCTGGAAGCTGAGGGGGTTAGCTAACCTCCATGAGCAACTACCGCTGGTAGTTGGAAACACAGGCTTTTGCCAAAAGACGTTGCTGCCTGAAGAAATACATCATGTCCTTCGATGGCAGCCTGGATAACTTCGCGTTGAAGGGGCCTTGGAAGAAGGTCAGGATTGGTATTCATATAACATCATGAAGTATTCTCTACTTGCCTAAACGACTTTTTCCCGAAGACTCGACGGAGCGTGAAGTCGATATCAATAGGCTGGCGACTCATCCCGCTGCCATAGCATCTAATTGCTGTAGCTCTGAGTTTGATATCCTGCCGAGATGGTTTGAATAAATGATCCCTTCAACTTAACGCGACGAATTATCCAATTTAGGCTAGTAATTACCTCGAGATTTCACGTGATATTAAATTATCGCGGAGCTAGTTATTGGTGGAACTCTAATTATAAGCGCGCGGTTAATTTGAATTTGATAGGTGTAATGCGATAATATATACAATTCTCTGGGTGTTTGGTATATAACGAAACGGCTCATTAGGCGCTAATGGATAATACATACTGTACAACATGGTAGAATGGGGTATCTAGACAATATCTTCCTAGATGAGTAGGAGAATAGGAACCATAGTAAAAAAAATTCATTCAGTTACATCGGGGCGGCACGAGTTCTCGGAGAACTGCCCGCACTGCATCGATATCTCTCTGTTTCAAATTTCCTTGCCATAATTGATCAATCTGTTCCCATACTCCAAGAACAGCAGACCTTCCACCGCAGGTAAAGAAGGCGCGGAGGCATGCAATGATGACAGTTCGGCCCAGATAGACGCTATTTTCGTATTTCCACTCGTCCTCGAGTTCTTCGCGAGCGTCATTAAACGTGCCGTGGAAAATTCTATTTGCCTCTTCCTTGAATTCCTCCTCGGCTTCTTCCACTTCCTCCGCGGTTGCTTGGGTTTCTTGTTCTTTGCCTTCAAGGAAGGATGTTTCAGTCGACCAGGCGAATCTGGCCTTTCTGTTTACAGTGCGTGGTTTTGTCTGAATAGACGCATCATAATCACGCACGGCACGAAGGAAGGAGAGCCAGGCACGCTGTAGGCGAGGATATGTCCATCTGGTGTTCTTCTTTGAACCATGGATGGCAAACCCCTGAAACAACAGGATATAGACCATACCATGAGAGGGAATTGACAAAGTGCCTTCCATCTCACTCAAAAGAGATAGAAAACGGCCCAAATCACCCGTAACATGTGCGTGGTAGGAAAGAAGTATGTGAAAAGTCTTTGCATCTGGTGTCAAAGGCATAGCGGCTTGAAGCGCCCGGTGATGATCTGGGAGCTTGTCATGGAGATAAGAAGTCATTCCAAGAACCCTCCCAAGCCGTTTGCTGGCTTTACGATATGCAGAGTAGTCTTGAGAGGGCAGCGGATACATGACAGCCTTCTCGGATGTATTCTTTTTGAGTCTCTCGTGGGCTTCCTTCATCCTTTCATACATGATTTCGGCAAGCTTAGCTTCCCCGGAGCGAATGAGCGACGCAATCACGCAGTTCAAAACCACGGTGTCCACAACTTCACCGGCTTTGATGAAATCATCGTATGCTCGACGGACCCCTCGGGCGTTCCCCTTTAAGCCATTGAAAAAAATTTGCGCAACCCTGCCAAACCGGGAGAACTTGGCTTTTCGTTTCTTCATGTCCGCTATAATCCTTTCCGCTACGCGGAACTGCCCGGACTTTATGGCCAGGTCAAAGAGAATGTTGAAGGCAACACTGGAGCTCGATATATTGCCTTCATGCTCCATTCTCCGCCATACGCCAATAGCAGCGTCAAGATCCTCCCGTTTCACAGTAGATGCAGATTTTCCTGCGAGATGAATCGCTGCAGTCCAGAGAGATGGAGACATTTCAAGGGAGGCATCACACATATCATCAACCAAAGTAAGGTAATAGAAAACGCCCGTTCGACCCTTACGTTCGGGTTTCGCAAATCGATGCAATAGTTTACCCCTGGTTTTTGAGCTAAGGTAGGAAACTCCTGGTGAAGGGATCCGTCTGTAAGCTGCGAAAAGCTCTTGGTCACCACAGTCTTCTTGGTTGAGAAGAGAGATAAGGTGAGAAACCCCATTGGCGTCTAGATCATCATTCCCGGCTTGTTTGCATGGCCGAGATGGCACCAAAACCTCCCTCTGTGGGTTCGATAGCACAACCTTTAGACTCGTCGTTCCTTCAGCTTTCCCAAGGACACCCAGGTATAGTCCAAAAAGCAACTTTGACTCCTCAGTATTAGCGTGTTTTGCTCTGTTGTAGGTTAAATCATCCACGTTAAACTCTTGTGGAAGCGTGCCCTTTGACTGTAGACCGTGTTTAGGTCCCTTAACTATCACCGCAGGGCTCCTCTTGTCTGAGCGATAGTCACCTTCTCGTATATATTTCGGCCGTTTTCGCTTGGTATTTCGCTGTCCGTCTGTTTCTGGATACGGCGTGTCATTGTATTCGCTTCTATCATCGGTTGAATCTGTACATAAGGCGCTGTTCAGGGTAGTCTGTAGCCTGATGGCTGTCGGGGGGAGAAACGGCCGAGGCATCCGGGTTGGCGACGTGCTTCTGTAGGGTGCATGCCTTTTGCAGAATCCCGCTGCGACCAGGCACCTTATAAAACTTTCTGTAACAAGAATGTTGTTGGTCCATACAGGAAGAGTCGACAGCGGCCGCCGCATCATTTCGGGGCGATTTACTTGCGAGGATCTCAAAATATTAGTTCGCAGGCGACTGCGGCCCGCGTTAATGATATGCTGGGCGCTTGCCGGCCCTTCCAAGCTTCTATACAGAGACATGAGATAGCTGACATGGTGTCATTGAATCCAAGTGCTGCGGGTATGCGCAAGTAGAGTCGAATATCGGATATTGTAGCGCCTGTTCTGCCAATAGGAGAAGTAGAGAAAACAGAAGCAAGTGAAAATTCAAGGAGAAAACAAGAGGTTCCAGCCGAAGACAAGGGATATCAAGGGAGGATGTGAAAGATTGATTCAGCATTTGTATTTGAACGGCGTGGAATTGGATATTCAATTTTTGCTTACGCCGAAGAGGCCTGATCGCTGATTGGCCAATCAAGGCCTTTTGAGAGTTCCTCGCAAATTTCTCACCAGCAGGAGAACCAAATCGCTCCAGCCCAATATCTACAGCTGCAGCGCTGGAGTTTCCCGGAGTCTTCCACTGTGTTTCATCTGTTCTGTCTGTGTGAAAAGGGCGAGTGCCTCTCAATTGAACAGTTTGGTGCCCTTCGAGTGCGCCTGTTTGCCTGTTGAGACTCTTCCTCCAAGCACACCAGCAGCCATGGGAAAGCTCAACTTCACGGCTCTCCAGGTCCGGAGAACGGCCATTGCACAGCAAAGGGCAGGCAAAACCTCAAAGCTACCATGCTGGATTGATATTATGGAGAGAATCCCCCCATCGAGCGTGTTGGTGCGAAACCTACCACAACAGCATCCTCTTACCAGAGAGAGAATGAAGACGCTACCTGGAAAGACGGAGCCCCGGAGCGTCATCGAAACTCGCCCTACCCGCCGTACAAAGTCTAAGAAGCCCAGTCGCATGTTCCAACCGGTAAAAATGGAGTTCGAGGAAGACCAGCTACGAAGAGAATTTTATCGTGACCACCCATGGGAACTTGCGCGGCCGAGAGTGGTATTGGAGAACGACGGAAAGGACCACATGCGGTATAACTGGGAGAGCCTGCAACAGAATAGGAAACGTGTGGATGGAGAAAGGTATTTATTTACCCTTAAGCTCTTCAGCTCTACAGGACAGTGTTTTCCATCGTTGACTAACCACACTATAAACTTGCAGTGTTGTTCAGAGACAGTTGCATCTTCTCAATACGGTACCGGACATCACCAAGGAGCAAGCTTACGATATTGCTCGCCGTGAATTTTACAAACTTCGACTCCAGGAGGACGTCGAAAGGAGAATTGCTCAAGAGGAGGCCAGAGCAACCGGTGCATACTTCGGCCTAGACGCAAACACTATCGGAATGGAGCTCGAGAACCAAGAGTACGACCGCTGGAAGAAGTGGGCAGAGACTGAGATTGTGCTGCAGCAGAGCAGCAGGGCAGCTTTCGCTGGCACAGAGATTACAGAGGCAGAGGCTGAATCATCTATGGCGGGCAATGACCTGAGTGCTCCAGAATCCAAGTTACTGGAATCTATCAAACCGCTTTAATAGGCAATAGCTAGATATATGATACGGGTACGATAGACGGCGGTAGGATACGGCTTTGTATATTATCATCTGTACTTTTACCTTCGGCTCGCCATCCTTCGTTTCCTACATTTCCTGAACCCCCCAAGCAACTGCCACATCACTCCCCCCCCCCCCCCCGGCGTATCCTCGAACTCGTCTGTAGTTTCAACTATATCTTCGCTCCACCGTTATTGAAACCGCATCCAGTTTCATTGTCACGGCTAAGCGGACTAGAGCTGGCAACCCTCTCACTATTTTGTCGGCTCTCTTCTCGCCGGAAAACTTCCCCCACATCGTAGAGTTCTCGACGCCCTCAAACAGACGCAGGACAGCATCAGTTTCGCAGTTTCGTCTCACCAGCTCGCGTAAAAAGGACCGTTCTTCGGCGTGAGGAGGAAAAAGAAAAGGGCGGAGGCCTCAGAGTTGACTGTTGGACCCCGGCTTGTTGTCTCCTGCTTCGTTTCTCCCAAAAATAACCAACACCTCGAACGCTGTTCATCACTCACGTGATGTGTACGTTTCATCTTGCGCCAAAGAGAACGACGGCGGCGACGTTGATGACAAGAAACCAAAGGAGCAGCCAAAGCAGCCCAGACGGCCTCGAGGGCAGTTTAAAAGCTTGCTTGTGCCGTGGATAAAACGGTCTGGAGCTGGCCAGCACGACGGGAGACGCTGATCAAGCCCGCCATCCGACTCCCTTTCTGGTGAATGGTCATACGAGCCTAGCCATCTCCCACTACGCCCACCAGCGCCTCCGAATTCTCGCCCTTGAAAAGCTCCAGAAGCGAAGTTCTCGCGATCGGTCTCGTATACCTATACCCGCCTCTCCCCTCCCGAAAACAAGAGAACGGCCGAATCCCAATTCTCGAGCTCAATTCGCCGAAATAGAGAGTGGCTACCCGGAGCAGCGTGCAACACACTCAAAAAACAATACTGGAAGGCTTTTAAACGATGTTTCATTCTTGTCGGCCCTCGAGATTCCTGGTGGAATTCAATATACATTAAAATCACTTTTTAAAATCCCTGGATACGGCTTTTACATTCCCGTGAATTGCCAGTTTCTGGCCAACGGGGAATTCCCTCCCCTTCGTACCTTATCAATATACAATGAGTCGAATGGATGACACAGTGCGGCCGCATCGGCCTCATAGGACAGATGCATCAAACGAAATAAAGGAACCGACATATGCCAGAACAGGCTCCCCAAATAATGGCAACTCCAGTCGTGACGAAGTCTCTACAAGGCCTCATAAACCAGCGCCCTCAAAGCTCCTGGCCGAAGACCTGATAATAGAGCTTGCCCAGAGAGCCGTGGATAGCGGGATCCAGGACACAAAACGCTCATTAGCTGGAAGTGAGGCTGTAGAAGGTGTTGTTCGGCCAAAACTTACAATTGACCTGGGCCACGCGAACATTGCTCGTGTCCCAGAAGCGGTGGTCAATATCATAAAGGATGAGGTCGCCAGGTAAGACTACTTATTCAGTTAATATATCGGGCGGTTACGGGGTGGGCTTTCTGTCTCTACCCGCTATGCTATGTTCCGGTTGCATAAGTAGCAGATTGTTAACAAAAGAAAATATATATATATTTTTTTTTCAGGTTATCACTCTCGAATAATCACATTGACCGCATTCCAAACCGTTTCTCGGAATGTATTCACCTTCGATACCTCAATATCCGAGCAAATAATTTCACAGAGTTCCCGCGAGTGGTACGTCCTACAGTTTTCTTTACTTTTTCTTTAGCCACCTCCAAGTACTGACATTTCCTAGGTTTACAGTCTCACGTTCCTGGAAATCCTCGACCTAAGTCGGAACAAAATCACGAAACTGCCTGAGGAAGTCCGCAATTTGTCTTCATTGCGTGTTTTTTCTATAATGCAGAATTTCTTGGAAGACCTCCCCAGCCAACTCGCGGACATGAGTAAATTACAGGTTATCAAGGTTTCCGGAAACCCACTTAATAGTTCCTTGAAAGCCGTTCTGGAACTCAGGGAAGCGGATGTCAACCATCTTGAGATGGCGGATAATGAAAAAGACAGTGCAATTACCACGGAACTAAAGAGATTTTTGAAAAGCAGACGAGCTGCGGCATCCCCTGAACCTGAATATCATGACCAAAGGTAAGTGTATATTCATTTTTGTTGAGTTCACACCCATGAGGTCCTTCTTTAATAACAAATACACTCAGTGAAACAACCGAACCACCCAGACCACCAAAAAGAGGCAACCGCTTTCCAGTGATACCCAGGTCTAACGGAACCGACTCTACGTCTGGCTCCAGATCTCCCTCATTATCAAGACCACCACCGATACCCACAAGATCACACCACAGAATGGCATCCGGCCAAAGTGGACTCATCCATCGTTCAAACACTTTGGCAAGTGTCAGTGAACGCAACCGTAGCAACAGTGAAGGCTTTATTGCTGGTTCAGGAACATCACGCAACAAGAGGATGGGACTGATTAGCAGGAAAAACACGGATCTTGGCACCCTCGATGAGATGCGCCCGTATCGTAACAGCCATCTACGTGGCCTAAGTCATGGCTCCCTTCTACGATCCCAACGCGGGGGCATGCCGAATGATGGCAGCAACTCTTCGAGCCCGAGCAGCCCAATGGACCGGAGGCGCCTGAAAGACGGATTTGTTCACAGGCTTTCAAGCCTCCCCGAGCAAAGGGTAAAAACTACCACTAAAAACCCAGTGGTCAATTCTGCAAGAAGCGTGCTCTACGCACTTTATCAGATTCATCCTCACATCTCCTCTTTGATCAATGTTATCAAGGCAGAAGAGTACAGGCGAAGCAGCCTTGAAATAGTTTTTTACAATGCGACAACGCACCTTGATCAATTGAACGAAGCATTACAAAATATTGGTGACGCAGATTTGCAGGACAAAGAGGTTGCCAAAAGAGTTACCGAGTCCGTCAAGCAAGAGTGTGCCACTTGCATCACTGCCTATACTCATGTTGGGACCCAACTTCGTGCCAACGTTGCCAAAGCTGTGGCATTGAGCGACCCGAAATATATCCGGACTCTCCTCCTAATGATATACGGCAGTTTGATCGAGCTTCGTAATGCCTACGCCGTTTTTAACGTGAAACCGAAACCCCGACGATCCAAGATGGCCAAGAAACTATCCATTACAACCACAAACCAACCCATGAGCAAGTTTATACCCGAGCGGGAATCGGAACCATCTGTTACGCCAACAAGGGAGAGGCCTCCAACTTCTCGACGGCTACGAAGCGAAACCACTGTGCATCTCCCACCCATTGCCCCGTTCCCTACTGCCTTGCCGCCATTCACTCCACATCCACCCGGTCATCCATCACACTCGGCCCATCCAACGGCTCCGCCGCTCGCCATTGGAGGTAGAAGCCGTTCAAGCAGTCGATCTAATGCATTTTTGCATTCGTCAGGTACCTCATCTATTGCAAACACCCCACGATCAGGAGAATCCTTCAACTTGCTCCAGACTCCAGTGAACAACAGGATTAATCCTGTCACCGGCCTAGATGAAATTGAAGAAGATCGTATATTTGAGAAAATCTTTATTCAACTCTCGTCGGCATATAAGGCTACACTCCAAGCTGTTCCCTTGGCTGCGCAACAGTTTTCTCAGTGCCTCAAAGCCGCTGAAGAATCTAGGGCTCCCCAACAGCTTCGAAACCTGTGCCGGAAATTACTTGTTCGCTGTCGTTCATGTGTAGATGTTGCTGATGCACTAGACAACCGACTGTCCAACATGAAACTCAAAGAGCCCGGCGGCAATCTGCGAAACCAACGTGAATTTTGGCATCTTTGCAAGACATTCATCCAAACGTTTGTTGAGCTAGTTCTCGATATTCGAGAAGCAAAAACGTTCTGTCTACTTCCTTCCGAGATCGTTGCTACTCTTCGAATAGTACAGAAGACAATAAGGGAAGCTGGACGCTTGATCGATACCTCTCCTTGGTCGTATCTTGCCGAGCTTCATACCTCAAATCCCTCCAATGCTGTTTCACAGCCCCAACCTAATGGCCATCTTCATTATTCAAACTCTTCCACGTCAATTGCATCGCAATCCGGCCTGGTCAATGGATCTTCCCCGCAGTCAGCCACCGTTCCAGCTACACCTTTGAGCGCTGCACTTGGTCCGGCAGCACAAGCCACTGTCCCTTCAACTACTACCTCTTCAAACACTTCCAATACATCTGGTGATCGCATGTTTGCTGGAGATGTCTTCCAACGGGCAGATCTCCTGCTTTCCATGGCCCCTTCTGCGCCATTATTTTATCGCCGCTAGAATCTATACTCGCATAGATCGCAAGTTACTATATCACGATCTCCTTCAAAATATGTCTTGATGCCCGCGCTGCCACAAACAGCATTCGAAGCTCTATATCTCGTATAGAACCAATTTATATTATATCTATAGTTTTCTTTATTTCTTACTGCATGTTATTTCCCACGATGAACAAGCATTCTCAAAATTGTCAGTCCTATTTCACTGTTCCGATGTTATATTTGGGAATTTTCCAATTTTGCTCTTTTTTTTTGGGGGGGAACGGTGTTGATAGCATGGTGAAACACAAACGGATTGCAAGCGCTACTGATTATTTGCCATTTATTTTTGGCCTATCATTTAGGAGAAAAGGGGTATCCCGGTTATATTGCACAGCGAGTTACATGGTTGACATTTTCGTGTTTTGTTATTACTCTTTACGTACTGTTTCTGACTTCTTTTGTTTACATGTTTATGGATATGATGACGGATTATAATGTTTAAACTGATGATACTCTCCTTTCCTTACTTCGCCCCTCCTGTTACTTGTTGCCGTCTGGAAGGGAGCCAGTCATGATCCATGGACAGCGCTGAACGTGGGATCCACGCAAGCGAGGAAACAACAGCCAGCAGACAGCCTGGCACCGCTCAGACGCTGTTTTATGCCATGACCAAATGAATATTGTTGCCACATGTTCCCGGATCCAAACC